TCTATCCTGGATCCAGACCATTTAGGGCACTGTTGGTACAATCTAGTGTATGTTTAGATAAAAAAGTCCCACAACTCCTAGCATCGTGCCAGCCAGGTATGCTGAGACCTGTAGGACCTTTTTTTGGTCTAAACGTGCATCAGATTGTAGCCTAAAGGAGCAGAATGCTAGCACTCTGCACTGGGACTGGTAGCAAGTTGAAACCCATAGGAATGTATTCAGAATTGTCACAATATGGTTTTTTGCAGATAGCAACTATTGGCAAACAGGCAGTGGCAGGACTACCACCTGGTTTTTAACCACCCTTGAAAGGCAGTCTCACATGGAAAGTTTTGTTTCCATGTGAGACTGATTTAAATAAGAATTTGAATGGGGAATGAAAACACAAAATGGGGTGGGCAGAGCAGTGGACACTTCTCATCGCCTGAAACCCTCTACCACCCTGAAGCTCCCCTTCCTTCCCTCAGCATTAGGGCTGCAAGCACTTGCCATGTCTTTTGTTATTGTGAAAGTCTATCTGCTTACCCAGAATGGCCAACTGTTAATTAGCTGCCTACTTTAATTCATTTCATTGACTACATTTTGTACAGCCCAATAAACAGCACTCTCTGGCGGGTTTACAACAGCTGACACCCTTAAAGGGCATGACAAGTCCATTGTGCTTGAAGGCGAACTCAAGCAAGCCATGGGATTGTGGCTGAAGACGGGCCTGCTGCTGCCTCTCCATGGAGGCCTTGCAAGTCAGATCCAGTTGGGATTTCACAAGATTCTGCAGATGCCACCTAGAGATCTTAGCAGGTCTCTTTTGGAAGGCTCCGCAGGGACAGAGCAGATCTTTCCAACCTGGCACCCTCCAGATGGTTTGCGCAATTCCCAGCATTCCTGACCAGTGGATAAGCTGACTGGTGCTGATGGGAGTCAAAACCCTAACTAATTGGAAGGCACTAAGCTGTGGAAGGTGGGAATAAAGGCTAAGATGGCAAACTGTCTGAGGGAAGGAAGCTCGTGAAGTCATTTAGCTTGGTACTGTGTTTCACTGTCACATCAGAAGGAGGGTCATATTTTAGGAAAGGATACGGTGGGGAAAGCCTTGTCACCAAAGAATGACTGATGTGTTGATGAATGTGAAGTGTTCTTCCTCTACTCTATACCCAGGGAACTGTCTAGCCTCTGAGTTTCTGCCTGAGTTACTGTGAGGCAGCAGGGCTGCAGGATAGGGTCGAACAGCTGGCCGAGAGTCTGTATGCATGGATGGCTACAAGTTTCCATGGAAACAGATGATGGCTCTCCTCCTCCAGTGCATGCCTGATTTTCAGAGTAAGGGGGTTTTCTGCAGGAAGACTGCATAGTTTTTGGGTACGGTGCCCCTTTCTTTAGTGAAACTATCCAGAGGCTATACCTCCTAATGGTTACATATATAGATCTCATCCCTGCAAAAGCAAAGAGAGTTGTTGACTGTAAGAAAATTTCCAGAAACAATTTTGCTGTAATATTATCAGCCCAACAGAAAGATCACCCCCAAATTGTATGTGCTTTGGAGATTTCTAGGAATTTTCACAACAGGCAATATGCTGTAAAAAGCAGATGGAAGAAAGAAATGGTGACTAGATAGGGTTCCCCACTGTCAGGTTAACACTTTTTAAAGGGGACACAGAGTTTTGAAAGCTAGCTGTCAAAGCTTTCAAAACTCCTTGCCCAAGAAAAATGTATGTATGTATGGAAGCACTGTTTCATTTTCTGGAGCATTTAGAGTCTCAGGAAAAAGTGTTAAGATGTGCATCATTGTGAGGACTCTCAGGGTACCAAAAAGGTGGGTGATCTTGCCACAAAAGGGGGTATAAATTCTATTACTCCCTTTTCGCAAGCGGAGATAATTCACAACTTTAGTTTGGCTTGACAGCTTGCCTTCTGAAAGCTGCCAAACCAAACCCACCCAAGTTGCGGGTATGGGAGGAGCTCCTCTGGTCCCTCTTTGGGTCATTGTCAGGTATTGATACCCTTCCTCTTGACATTGCCCAACTGAGCTGCTGGACAGTACCCACAGTGGGCTCTGTCATCTGAGTTTAGATGACATGACAACCCACTGTGGGGAAAACAAGCCCAGAATTACCCATGGATTCTGGGGATGGCTTGTCTAGGGGAGCAAAAGCTACCGTGGGATGATGCAACACCCAACCATGGCTTACGGCCCATGTGAATTGTCAAGATTGTGTGACTCGGGTCGATAAGGCTTCACAATAGGCACTTCCCCCCCCCCTCTTCTCATCTCTGTATGATTGGTTGGCCTAATAAAGGTATTACAGCAACAAGAATTTTGGAAATACAGATCAGCTATCCCTGGAAAATCTATCCGTGTCAAATATGAAATCACTTCCATTCTTGCATATACAAACCAAATCTAATTAAAATGCTATGTAGGGCTGGCTTTTTGGAGCTAGATCCCATGAGCAATGCAACAAAAGAATTCACACAGTGGATATAGGCACTTGTTCACTTATTAATACTAGCATCTTTCACTTCTTGTGACGGCAAATTATGATTAAAAATATTTTTCCCCCTAGAAAAAGGATCCTGCTGCTGCTTAGCAATAAACATTGATTTCACAGTCGTAAAGTACTGCAAGTACTAGGGCACTTTGCAGATAGATATTTGACTGACATGCACGTAAATGCTGTTGGGCTCTACAGAAATGAACCTCAGATAACCTTTGCTGCCAGAAATTCAGAAGATAGGTGTTAGAAATGCATCCTGGAAATGAAACAGCACCACTGGCAGGAAAAGGTGATTTCTTCATAAATTGGGTAAGAACAGGACGTGCGCAAAGCGCTCTTAAGGCCAATCCGAGTGCAAGCAGCAAGTCTGTCATGCAGCACTGTTACTCTTGGGCCTTACAAAACCGTGGACAGGTAAAGCCACTCTGCATTTGTATAGAGAGAGGTGATTCTCTGGCTGGAATCCAAAGACCTGATTTAGGCATGGCTAGGCACACCCAGTGGAGCTGTTTTTACACTTCCCCTTTGAGCAGAAGATAGCTAAGCGGTGTGAAATGCATTTGAAAGTCTCCCTAGTTTCAAAAGTGGTTTGGGTAAGTAAGTAAGTGTGTCTGAGGGGTGGGGGTGGAGGTACTGCTGTTCAAGAGACGCGAGTCCAGCGCCTCCGTTGGCATGTGGAACGCCACACTGTTTTACACCCTTTATATACAGGGAGATGCTTTGATGCTTGCTTCATGTTCTATCTTGATGTAGTTTGGGCAGCCTGTGTATTTAGTGTAACCGAATCTACTCTAGCAGGTCTCCAGAGATGATGAAGGAAAAGCATTTGGCGTTTTTGCTTCTGAAAGAGCAGCTTCATGCAACAGATCTGCTCTGGTAGGCCCTGCCAGGTTTATTTCTGGAGCTCAAATATGGAATAGTTTCTTCTAAGTAGTGCAAGGCTGGGCCTAAATGTCACAGAAAGGACTTTTGAGTGATCATGTATTCAGCCCTCAGCTGTCTAGACAGCAGGGTGGCTCAAGGTCTTACAGAAGACTTCTCAGAGAATCTGGGCACTCAGCATACTTTATAATAATCATTGTATTACTTATTGTCGCATGGGAAATAGGCACCCCTTGGTGATAAAATCTTTCTACTGCACACGACACTTTCGTTGCTTGTTTCCTGACTGACAGCAAACGGAAACACAGGAGGTTGCCTAATGCCAGCCAGATCAGACTACTGTCCAACCTCTGATTAGAGTCAATGTTGCAGGGCTCCGTCCTGTGTTTTTCAACACTTTTATATACATAATGTGGGTGAAGGGTAGAGTGGATTGCTATTGCATTTACAGATAGATGTTCCAAAGCTCAGAAGGATGGCTCAACCAGCCTTTCCGAACCTAGTACCCTTCAATCATTTTGGACAAGAAGTCTGAGCATTCCTTACTAGTGGCCATGCTAACAGAGGCTGATGGAGGTTGATGTTCAAAAGCGGCACTAGGTTATGGAAATCTGACCAGTAATATCAAGGATAGTTTCATGATTGAGAAGAATCTTGACTGGCTGGAACACAGGGAAGATATCAAAATGAAATTCAGCAGAGGCAAATGTTAGGTCCTTGATTTCTGTACCAGTGAAAACCAAAGGCACAAGTATAGGGTTGGGGAAACTTGGCATGGCAGTAATATATGTGAAAAGGGCTTATGTGTCTTAGTGGAGCACTAGCTGAATATGAGCCAGTAGTGCAAGATGGGTGCTGAAAAGCGAATACAGTCTTGGGCTGTGTTAACAGAAGCATCATGTCCAGGTATAGGGAGCAAAAGTTCTGCTCTATTCCAAATCAGTCGGGTCACACTTGGAGTGCTGCGTCCAATTCTTGGGAAATTAAGCAAGACATTGAGCAATAGTGTCCAGATAGTGAAGGGTCTTGAAAACCAAGCACCACAAGGAGCAACTGAAAGAGCTGGGCATGTTTGGCCTGGAGAAGACATTTGAAATTATCCATGTTTCCTGATCTAGAATATACTAGCAAAATCTCAGGCCATCTCAAATGCTGTACATTTTGCATGTTTGCAGCTGGGTGTTCTCTAGTTTAGAACATATCTTGGATTGGATGCAACCAATTGTAAATCTTTGTCCTGTGGAGGACACTTCCGTAAAAAAGCAACATGTTACGGCACAGCATGCCTCTTTCTTTTTCCATCCAATTATCCTGCTTTTGTCTTATGCCAATTGTCCTCAAAAGGGAACTAGCTCTTTCTGTTCTACCCTCCCAAAACCAAAGCTACATGGCTATTGATAGGTTTTAATAGCAATCAATCACTGGTAGTATAACAAATCTACCTCCACAATAAGATTAAATTTCAGTTAAAAAAAGGTAGCATGACTTTATATGTTAAAGTCTTCTTACTTGGAGTCTGTTGGACTAGCAGACATCTTCACTGTGTAATAAAGACTGAGCTGATTAATTTTCCTGGTAACTACGGACAATATAATCACATTTAATTTTCTCTTTATTATGTCGTAGGGAACCCATAAAGCCTCACCATGGGAGCTGTGGTGATTGATGACGGTCCATCTGGAGTGAAAGCCCCAGATGGCGGCTGGGGCTGGGCGGTTCTGTTTGGGTGCTTCGTCATCACCGGATTCTCCTATGCCTTTCCAAAGGCCATGAGCGTTTTCTTTAAGGAGCTCATTCGGGAATTTGGTGTCGGATATAGTGACACAGCATGGATCTCCTCCATTCTGCTGGCTATGCTTTATGGAACAGGTAAATTATTTCTACATTTTACAACAGTAAGAGTTAATGGCAACAATGTGCACTGTATTGCTTTCAGTGGCACGTACGTTCAAATGTACACCCTGTCTATATTGTGACACAAGGCAAATAGTTTTTAGAAGCTCATTTAGTGCTGGAGCAGGGTGAGGGAGTGGATGACCTTTAGATGTGGTTCAGACAGTAACCAAAGATGCTTTAGAGAGCAGTCCTGTGGTCTCTGGGAGCGCCCTGGGACCACAGGATAGTTCAGATTCCCCCTCCCAAGGCGGTAGGTGCTTTTGTAATAACAGGAAGGAAAATCCGACCCTGGCTATTTCCCCCTCCCCTTTGCAGCCAGTGTGGAAAGAACCATAGCAGCTGTTTTCCAAGGTCGCAACAGGAACTTAAGATGATCTCACAGAGGTCATGGCAGGAGAATTCTGGTGGATGGGAAAGGGGTGAAGCCAGGATCCAAAGGATCCTACAGTCTCTCTGGCATCCGTTCCTGCCCACTGCCAGCGAGTGAGCTGGAGAGGCTGAGAAGCCCTTCTAGCTGATCAGGCCAGAAGTACAAAAAGGCCATGCACAAAAAGTAATGGCAAGCCAGTGTAAATATTGGAGTACTTTTCTGAGTCCCAGCAGCGACTTTGCCTTTTCTTACGGTGGGCCAGTGAGTCCCTCCCAACCATAGGACTGTGCCCCTTTTTATCTGCCTACTAGACAACCACAGAGTCTACCTCTTCACTCAATCTGGATGTGTAACATGATAAGGAAAACAAAATTTAACTGGTGGGCACGAGTAAATGTCATGCAACGAAGCCGAAATCACGGTCTCTTTTGCTCAGGTCCCCTGTGCAGCATGTGTGTCAATCGGTTTGGGTGCCGCCCTGTTATGCTGGTCGGTGGCTTCTGTGCTTCAGTCGGGATGATCCTAGCCTCCTTCTCCACGAATATAATTCAGGTCTATCTTTCTGGTGGTGTCATTACTGGTAAGTACTAATGAGCGTTAGATAGAAGTGGGTGGTGGATGTCTGCGGCAGAGGGAGAGGCGACTTGTTGCGATGATGCGCACTAGACTGTGGGCAGTCTGTGCTTTTGGGGGGCAGGGGAAGCAGGGGGTGTGAACTCTCTCTCCAGTGTGCTAATTTTGTATGTAAAGGGAGATTTCTACATAGGGGAGCACATATTTTAAAATGACATTTCCAAGTGGTATCATTTCAGGAGGGACTGAAAAATTGTGCTTGAGAAAAGCAGGGCCTGTGCTCACAACACTCTTCCTGTCACTCATTCCCCCTCATCTTCCAAAGCAGTGCTTCTCCCCCACCAGCCTCTTTGCGAGTCAGCTTCAGGCCACCTCTCACGCTCTCTTTCCTGCAGTTAAGCTCTGGTTAACATTTGTTGCGCTTCTGTGGGGTCTGGGAAGTCTCCAACTGCTCGCACCCCTGTGATTTCTAAGCAGCTTTGCCATTCAGGCTTTTTGGAAACAGCTTAAATAAAGATCCAGGAACCTGAATGCTGCAATCAAATTAGGTCTCCTATGGATGTCTGTATGCACATGTCTTTAATACAGAAGATTTTTTATTTTCCTGGACAGTAGAATAGTTCTTCCACTTAAAGCAGGCACAGAACAAGCCCGTGTTGTCACCTTTGTTTTGATTAACAGAGCTAGACTTGTTCAGGGCAAGTTATACTCTTCCCTGGGACACCAAGATTATGGACCTTACTTTGTTTGCTCTAGGCTTCTCCTTGCCTCCTCCTGTGTAGGTTTGGACAATAGGATGCAGCCCACAGTGATCAGGTTTGCACTCTCTGGGAAGCAGAGGAAGCCATAGGAGCTCCCCGCTTCCCCCTGTGCATTCTGGTTGCCCGCTGCCTTATTTGCATGGTGATCTGAGCCATCTGCTAGTTGCCATGTCATCATAACCTAGTGAGGGAAGATGGCAACAGTAACAGAGGCTTCCAAACCACCCTAGAACTCTAGAAAAAGTCGTGTGTTACAGGATGGCTTTTGCCCACCTCGTTGGGTTCAGACAACATGACAACCAACCCATGAAATGAGTAAATATGGAAATAAGGCAGCATGTGACTGGCACATGTAGGGCAGGGAACAGATGCCATGGTGGCTTCTTCCTTCTCAGTCATGCAGGTGAGCCATCGACATTCTCTTGTAACAAAGACATAACCGTATCGAAGGTTATACCTGCTATATTTGTCTCCTGAGGCTGAGAGTTGCTCACCTGCAGCCCTTGCACTACTGCGCACATGCTATTCAACAGTGTTCACCCATTATATACACTGGACCTAGTTTCTGCTTCAACTGTGGCATTTTTCTTTTCCAGGATTGGGTCTGGCACTCAATTTCCAGCCATCGCTCATCATGCTAAATCGCTACTTCAGTGAACGTCGGCCTTTGGCCAATGGGTTGGCCGCAGCTGGAAGCCCTGTGTTTCTCTGTGCACTTTCTCCCTTGGGACAGATACTGCAACATCAGTATGGGTGGCGAGGTGGATTTCTCATCTTGGGCGGATTGCTTTTGAACTGCTGTGTTTGTGGAGCGTTGATGAGACCGTTGGACCCTCCTAAAAAACCTGAAGCTTCCAAAGAGACCTCTGAGAAAAAACCCAAGAAAAAGCTGCTGGATTTCACTGTCTTCAAAGATCGTGGCTTCTTAATCTATACTATTGCTGCGTCTATCATGGTGCTGGGCTTATTTGTGCCACCCGTCTTCGTAGTGAGCTATGCTAAAGATCTGAAGTATGAGGACACCAAATCAGCTTTTCTTCTGACTATCCTTGGATTCATCGATATCTTTGCTCGGCCTCTTTGTGGAGTAATAGCTGGCTTGCCATGGGTCAGGCCCCGTAGTGTCTACCTCTTTAGCTTTGCAATGTTCTTTAATGGGTTTACTGATCTCATGGGGTCCACGGCTTCCGACTATGGTGGTCTGGTAGTCTTCTGCATTTTCTTCGGCATTTCCTACGGAATGGTTGGTGCTCTTCAGTTTGAAGTTCTCATGGCTATTGTCGGTACGCAGAAATTTTCCAGTGCCATTGGCTTAGTTCTTCTAGCTGAGGCGTTGGCAGTCCTTATTGGACCTCCTTCAGCAGGTAAATGTTCTGTTTAGCAAATTAGCTCATGGTTTGTCATTTTGTGGTATACAATGAGAATTACTATGGGTGACATTGTCTTTATTTTGAGCAAATGAATGGCTACCTTTGTTTTGAAGCCTCTAACACATGCCCTTTACCTACTGCTACATTACCCTCCATCCCACTTCTAGTTTGGCTGTGGTAGCTTGGAAAATGGTGGAGGCTGATTTGTTATTTCATATACCTGGGTACAAATCAAAATAATGTAAGAAGTCCAAAAGAACTGAAACTACTTGACAGGAGATTTAAGACAGTACTTCTTCACACAGAACATCGTTAAGATAGGAAATCAGCTGCCGCAAGTTTGGAGGATGGCTGTGTAGTGATGGCCACTAGCTTAGATGGCTTTGAAGGGGACTAAACACATTTGTGGAAGAGTGGAGAATCAGTCATTTGCTACTGGTCATCATGGCTACATGCCACCTCCAGGATTAGAGACGGGATGCCTCTAAATCTCCAGCAGTTGCTGGGGAAGAACAGACTTCATGTCCTTGTAGCCTTCACATGGACCCCTGGTTGGTCACTGTAAGAAATAGTATGCTGAACCTTTGCCTGATCAAGCTGGGTTTGTCTTGCAGCTCAGTCAGAGGTAAGAACATAAGGGAAGGGTCAACCCCTGTCTTCAAGTCCACAAGAGCAAAGAGGTGCAAAATAAGGAACAAGGGCAAGAGAGCATAGGCAGGCTTTGTGTGGTCACATGCACCCTACCTCAGTCATCCAGAAAATCAGAACTTCATTTGTAAGGCACTGAAAGTCTAAACAGTACAGAGGTCTAAATTAGAGAGGCCACAGAGACACCCGAATTTGCCCAGCACTGCCATGCATTTGGATTTGGCATGCCAACTTGTGCCTCTTTCTGGGATGTTCTGCTTTGTATTTATATCCATCTTAAGGGAAATGGGTTCAAGTGTTTTTCCGGGATTTTAGCTCACAAATTACTTATTTTAATGCGTTTGCTCCTTACTTCCCTCTCTTGAAACAAGGCTCACATAATTGAATATAAAAAATAGGATATCGATTAAACAATCAAGGTACACACAGACTATTCTTTTTCAGTGTTCACCCCCTCAGATCCCTTTGTATAAGCTGAAGTCTTTCATTAGGAATGTGTGAGGAATCCAGTGGGAGGGAGCAAAAATTGGATACATTGTCATTATTTGGCCCCCTACATTCTGGTTCATTAGCCCTGCACAGCTGCTAATTCCCTGTGGTGAGAGCTGAACCGGCTCACAAACGTCTGTCTCTAAGAAAGATGATGGTTTTGCACCTTTATAACTGCTTATAAAATATGTGCAAATAAGCACCTGAACCCAGAATGCACTACTGTGATTTGTGCAAATTGCAGCTTGGCTGATTTTGTACAAGTCATGCTAGAGCCATGTGGTTTGGGGTGTTTTATTTGTGCACAATTGGCCAATTAGCACAAATAGTGCAACATCTGCATAGTTTTTGGGTGCGTTGCACAAAAGTCATTCACTTTTAGAAAAATATGCACAAATCTGAGTCCAGTTTAGAGACAAAAGTCTGTGAAATTATCAGCTCAGAAGCAGGCAGGAAATCTGCTGAGCCCAAATGAGCTGGGTTCCCCTCATTTGGTACATCCCTACCTTTCTGACAGGCTTTCTAAGGAAAGTATTAATCTGGAAGTTTGCTTTGAAGTTTGTTGAACATTTTCTTCATGCTAATAACATCTTTTAAAAGCATGCTTATATCAACCCTAACTTAGAACATGTTTTTAAAATGTAAATTTTCTCTTCCAGGGAAACTCTTGGACGCAACACACAACTACATGTTTGTTTTTATTATGGCCGGCGTTGAAGTCGTTACCTCTTCTGTAGTGCTGGTTATAGGAAATGCTTTCTGCATGAAGAAATCAGGGCAAGAGCACACAAAGGAAGATGCATCTGAAAGAGAGGAGTTAAACAAACAACCTGGAGGCACCAAGGTGGACTCTATTGAAGTAGAACACTTTTTGAAAGATGAAAAAAATGGGGAAGTCGTAACTAACCCAGAAACATGTGTCTGAGTGTGACAAGGATGAATGCTGGATATTTAGGGAGAGATTCAGACAATTTCAACACTCTTATTTATTTTAGAAATAGGACTAGTTTAGGGCTGGGCCATTTTGTTTGGGAACTGGAGGCCAACCAGCTCATGAAATCACACTCTGAAACTGTCTTGTTAGAAAACCTTTCTCCCTGCTTAAAATGGGATTGGTCTTCAAGTTAAGCTGCTTGAGCGTAACGTTAAATGGCCTTCTAAACACGTACACCGGTCCTGCTATGCATCACCAGAAAATGCTCACTTGGATGAAAATATTTTAACTAGAGAGGAAGTATATGTAAATTTTCCTGTAATGCAAACGAAATATCCATCGTTTGTGTATGTGTTGGTGCACCTCAATGTATCTTCCATGTCAGTGTCCGCTTTCAGAGGAACGGCTTAGCAAGGAGAAATCTCAGGGACTTGGTCATCTCCAGTAGGTTTATAACCTATCCTTTTTCAAATCTTTTTAAATAATTTGGCTCAGCCCTAATCCAATTTTGATAACATGTATAACTTTCAATGACTTTTCGTTTGTCACTGTATTTTTATGAGTTGATCTTTTTGTTTTAATTGTCCTTTTTACTGGAAATATTATACATGTACCAAAAAAAGGCAACTGTGATGCTTCCTTGGAAACCTCACAACGGTTGTTTCCACATGATGATACAAACAAAAGGAAAGCTGGCCAAGAGAGCTTGTAGGCTATCTCTGTATGCTGCAAAGCTGTAAATACAGCCCCTTCAGAACACGTCTTGCATCAATGTCTTTCTTTCACATAGGAAGCCATTCCCCAAAATAGATGGATATTTATTTTCAGAAGTGAGCCTCCAACATTTCTGGGTTCCTCATGAAACTGGAGGAAGGGGAAGCACATACAGCTTGTGCAGTTAGGATTTTAGATTATTAAAAGGGCTGATACATGTTGACAGTGTTATCACCTGTATTGCTCAAACATGGTGGCACATTGATGGAGTTGTCAGCAGTCCCAAATAGGATGCGGCTTAAAGGGGATAGCAATTTTCCCTCTTTTTCTGGTACATATAGCAGCTGTGGAAGAGATGTCTGGGCCATCAGATGGCAAAGGGGAGCATTGGGAAGCATTGGGAAGCATGGTGAGCAGAACACAGACTGAAATCACTGGTTTCTACCAGCCTGTTCAATAGTGAAAGGAGCTCCCAGATTCAGAGTATCATGAAAAGTATTATTGCCATTTTTTCCATGACAGTAGTGGTAAATGGGTGGAATTTCTATGCTCCTTCAAGGAGCATTTTAAAGGTGGGCTGATGATTTAAATAGAAGTGTTTGAGATTCTCTTAGGAACATAGATGTCTTAGGGTTGCTAGTCATGAACGAGAAATTCTTCAGTACATAAAATAAGCTAAGAGAGTTTTTGCTTTAGTCATAACCTTGAGTCAAGCACTGTGCTCAATTTATTTTCAGAGGATCTGTCCTCTATGCCAGATATAAGTTGCCTATCCAGATAAGGCTGATATGGCAAAAGCAGCTCAATGTTCTCTTCTACTACTGCACTGTTTCCTAGAAGAAAGTTGGGCAAAGTGTGGCCCTCAAGATGCTGTTGGACTCCCAAGTCCTATTGGCTGCAGCCAACATTCCCAATGGGAAGGAATGACAGGAGAGGAGGTCTGGGAGCATCTGGATGACCACAGGTTGATTGCACCAGATCCATGTTGATCTTAGGTGAAGCTGTCAGAAGAGGAAGATATGGTCCTTCCACCCTACAGTTTGAACCCAGCAATCTATAGGAGGTCTCAACACAAAAGCCATTGGCAGTTTGGTGTGTGTAAGTGTGTCCGGCCCCACCGATTTATTACATGGTTTGTAACTTGTTTACAAGGTCACCTATTGGGAGAAAAATGCATTGATAGTTCCTGAGTTTACCAGTGATTTCTGGTCACATTCTGTCTGTTTCTAAATTTGTGGGTGACTCCCCTATAATAGTCCCTCCTGATAATCATATCCATCTGTTTTTGCTTGGGTCAAAAATCTTGAATTTTTGTTCCCTATTCAGTTGTCAAAGATAATAGCTGTTTCCTAGAAATGCAGTTTAATACTGTTAAGACACAAAGAAAATGATAAAGCAACTTGAAGAGATTTCTATCTTATTACTTAACCAAAGAGGGGATGCTGATAATATTATATAATAATTTTATGTTTGGCAGAAACTTCGGCTGTTATGCATTTCGTAAGAGAGACAGATGATCAAAGCCAGGTAAAAACTACATCACAGAGTTTAGGTTAAGCTGGGCTTCAAACACATTGCTTTGTAGATATAGAGCACTAAGCTAAGTTAATCTACATTATAAGAAAAAGTATAGTTCTGAGTAGCAAATTAAGATGTCATTTTGATGGCCAGGATCAGTGAAGAGGTCAAATCTAAGCCTCACCTCAGGAAAGGGAGTCTTGTTTCAGTAGCTTTTGAGAAATAGCCAACTAACGATTCCAAAGCAGAGGTCAAGTTGTAAGACTTAGCTGCTTCACAACAAGTACAAAAATCATTTGTAGATTCCTTAAGAAGTTTGTTGGCTTATCACTTTTCTAGTAAGAACTAAATGCTTGGCATCCACACCCAAGTGAAATGAATTAAAAAGTAATGAAAGAGAAGGATTAGATTTTTCAGTAATATTTTTCTAACATGCTCTTTTCCCAGAAAAGTATTATTTTGCTGTTATTGGAAACTCGGTGCACTAGTAGCATAGAATAGACTCCTTGCCTTCTTTCTGATCTTCTACATAACGCTGGCCATGCCTCTTGCTTGTTTTGGTTCTAAGTCTGTTACACAATATATGCTCCATTGCACTGACTCCCGTGAGTAACCATGTAAAGTCTACACAGCTGCTTTTGAATTCTATGGAGAGTTTTAAAAAAATCACATCTCTCAGCAAATATTCAAGTCTCCATGTCATATCAATGAGAAATTGACTTCTAGCCCTAGAAAGTAACATGCTGGTTTATTTACATGATGTTGAGGCAAAAACTTAAATATTAACTACTCCCCATTCTTCATATTTCCAAAGCTGAGTAGGGCTGCCGCTAGGATAAAATGATTTTTAAAGAGTCAGAAATTGACCTTAGTAGCCCCTTATATCACACCCACACTCACAAATGCCCCCATGTCCCTGCACACGGAAAAGGGGGATGCAGAAAATGACTTGGTCATGAAGCTGTTTGTACTTTCCAAGTCTTTACCAACCAATCACTCAGAATACTCACAAAAGCTAGAGAAAAGTTGCTCCCTTTATCTCCTTCAGTCTGAAGTTTCTGTTAGTTTTAGTTTCCTAAGGACACAAACTTCACTGGAGCAAAGGAAGGAGGTGCCTTTTTAACTCAGACAACTTGTCTGGGTGAGACAGGATATGCAGCACACCTAAGCCTCACACATGCAGAAGCTTCACAGGCAGAAATGCTTAACTCCATTGTATCCCTTCTCTTGGGCCGAAATCTGTTCATTAGAACTTACCAATTGCTAGAAAAATCTCTGCATCCTGGACAATTAAGAATATCTTCACACAGTTCTCTCATAACAGCAATGAACAAAAAGAATCTTACCTTTAGGAACAGTTACGTACAGCAAATCCAACACTGGTTTTTATTATATACCTGCTATAATGTGCACACTGCCAAGTAACAGGACAATTCTATATGTATCATTTTTCTTATCCCCTTTGGCATTTTTATATATGGAATGCATGTGAATACGTATGTATGAGCACAACATGTGCTCAGTTGTTATTGTTGTGGGATGCATGCCCATCAACAAATGAAAATGAGCTGCAGCAGCTTATCGATACATGCCTTGATCCAGAGACTTGTACATGCTCAAGTGTACCTGTACATCTCTTGCATGGACCAAGGTTCCCATTCACTTTGAAGGATGCAGCCAATCCAGCCCTGTAGAGGGAAATGAAGCATTCTCCCGAGATGAATGGGGAAGAAATACTATATGGGGGATGTGATGTGTCCAGCAACGTTCCTATACTTGGATCCCTAGATTTTCTGTAACAGACAAAGAACCAACATGGAATGTTTACTACATAAACTGAAACGACTACAGTATTTTATTATCTTTTAAAATGGATATAAATGTATATTTTTATCCATGTGGAGCATGCATGAAAAGCAGTTGAACCACATATACTGAAACAATTTAAACAGTGACCCAGAAACCGTGTTTCTATTTCATCAACACATAGTTGCGGCCAGCAATTAAACTAGGGCTGAGATGGGGGATTCTAACACATTTAGGACCCATACATTCTAGTGGGTCCCAATCTTACATGTCCATCCCCTTCTATGCTGTCCTGCCCAGAGTCTATGCAATTCTTTTCACTTTTTAACAATAGCAAATCCCCTTCAACCATTATCGCCACGTGACACACTCTGATGTGCGTTCCTTAATTCTCAAGGTGCAGCTGATGCTACCGTCAAGGACTGTAAGGCAGTGGTGATGGAGGGTTTCCAGGAGAACAAAGCTCTCATGCGCTGTGTTTATTATCGTGTGCAGAATTTGTCGGTTCAAATTGTCCTTCAGAGTGAGAATGTAGATGTGCGCGTCAACATACTGCAGTGTACGAGTGTGTGCTTGTGGAAGGACCGAGGCAAGTGGCGTCACTTCTGTCCTCGTTTTCATGTAAATGCACTTTAATGTAGTAAAAGTGGATGTCAATGTAATTTGGATTTATGCTTTTCTTAGCAAACTCTTGCAATCATAGCGAATAAAGTTATTCTTTCTGTTGTCAGTATTGTTGCATCAGGTATCATGGCCTAGAACACATACTCTTCTGCTTCTTTTCAGTTTATTCTGGGACTAAATCAGAGCCCCAGAATACTTCCTATAAGTCCTAAGCTCAGACTTCCTTTTTTAATGTTACTTTTACATATCTGAAACAGTAATAAATGACGTTGCCTCAGAAGGTGCAGAAAGCACAATATCTCTGTGCTTCTTTCTGCAAGGCAAATAGCAGGATTAAGCAGAGGATTGGACTGAGGGGAAAGGACTACCACCATCTGTCTCAGCTACAGCCCTGAGCAGCAGACTACTTATAATTAAAAAAAGCCAAAGAGATCTCTATCATGATCTCATGCATCACAACTAGATGGACCTTTCGACATAACAGAAAACGTAGCAAAGCCTGATTCTGGCCAAACCATTTATTTTACTGATTTGCAACAAACCTATTTTGCAGAAAGAAGAATTGCTCCAGGCACCATCAGAAAGAATGGTTTTGTATATATGAGCATCACAATTTTCTTTTTTTTTATAACAAGATTCCATATATGCATGCTTTATACAGTACAGTAGGTGGTTATGGATTTCTCTTTAAATGGCTCTCCTGCATTACCAAATATTCACATATGGCACAAACAGAAAAGAGGCGCAAACATGCCACTTAAAATCACCTGTTGCCAGAACAGACACTTGAGTTTCTAGGTGGCCTTTCAATTTGTTAATTCAAAACCTATGTTGACAAACAGAGCTGAGGCAGTAGGCCCTATCATTCAGCTGAAGGACATTGCAATGTGACCAAATTCCTCTGAGAGCTGGCAGAGGGATCACTAATCTAGATAAATCAACTAATATATTTGAAATAACTAAAAAATGGTGATCTCTGCTTTTGTAAGACATTTAAGAAAAGGACAAAGGTCTTTAACTGTCAAAAAGATAATCTAGTGGCAAAACAATCTATTCCTTAAACATGTGTCGTGCATTGCATGAAAAGTCTAGAAACTAGTTTTGGTTGCAGAATTAAGATCCTTAGGATTACTGTATCTCAGATCTAGGTTAAATCTAGATGTTTCTTTGTTTTTATTTTGAGTAGCTGACCATATGGCAGTGTACCATTAGGCCAAAACAACAGGCCGACTTTGCGGCATGACTGCTGAATATTGAATGATTTTGAATTAGATGGAGGCCAGATGGTGAATAGCTTCTATACAACCTAAATTAAGAAAGAACATGCACATTAAAGCAAACAAAATACCTTGGAATTCCAGCAATCACAATAAAAGGGTAGTGTTTTTCTGTGTGGTTTGATCAGCTGTGTATTTTCGGGAGGTATAATTTTTTCTAGACTGTAAATATAGCCAGCATTTTAAGCAAGCTAGGTACTGGTCACCTGGATTCATTCATAGAGCAAAATTTCAAAGGATGTTGTTCAGTAAGATGAGTTTTGAGCAGCCCTACCTTTTTTATCGGTACCTTTGTGAAGATCAGGAAGAAGCAAGTGAGCCACTTGGCAGGGGTGGCAACCCCTCTGGGTGTTCTTGCCAAAATTGCCCGGAATACAGCCAGCGAGACCCATCCTCAGCCTACCAAGTGCCGAGCAGCACGCTGTGGCAGCCAATGCTGTGTCTTGGTCTGCCTGTGCCAACTGCAATCCATCTTGTGGCCTTTTCATGGTTTCTTCTTTGAATAACTGTATCAACTTTGAATAACTGCTTTGTCTGTCTGAATTTTTGGAGATTGCTTTTCGTTACCTCTGAAGCGACAGCTACTAACAGCTCCTTCAGAGAGCCTTCTTGATTTCTTGGTTCTCATGTCATGGCCTCAGAGTTGAGTCTACCAATAGGAAGAACTGCCATTTTCCATCATCTTGATGTTGGCAGGAAGTTAAGCTTACACTTCAACCTGGTGCTTAACAGCATTTTTGCAACTGAATGTTTTGACATTAGAAAGGATGACAAGCGTAGTGAGATAGACCCAGATCTTAAAAATAAGAATTGTCTCCTATCCCTTCTATAACAAGCATCCCATTCTCCTCTTCCAACTCCCCATTATCTGCACACCCAGTACCTGCTTTCAGGATGCCTCTGACCAGTTTCAGTATCTACACTCCAGATCAGCACTTCTTTCCAATAGAGTGAACACTGCTCTCTTCATACCTCATCTTGGCTACTGAATACACAAGCACATAGAAAGGGAAAGGGACACACACTGAACAGGAAGGCTGACCAAAAAGGGTCACATTAACTCTGGACCAGAATTTTTGTAAGTTAAGGCAAACCATCTTGCCTTTAATATTTACTAGCTGGGTTATATGCAGAGAACCCGTTAGATATGCAAATATGGCCCCAGTGCAAAACAAAATTTAGAAGTTCTTATGAATTTATTTACACAATTATTAAAGTACACAAATACAGTGGTAATACAAATGAGGTGTTCTGATATCTGTTACCAATACACAGGTTTATAGAGACATTCTAACTATATTTTCAGCAGGTGATGGTGGGATTCAACTATAATGGAAGGGCAAGGACTGCCCACAACCAAGTACAAGTTGAAAAATTTGCATCAGTCATCTTTTTAAGTATAGTACAGCAATTGAAGGTTCCAGATATATAGAGAGAAGAAGAGGCTGCCTTTATAAGTCTCTAACATTACATCATTGACCACAAGTATTTACAAAGAAAGCACACAGAAGTGTAGAACTGTACAAATGGAAGTGCACATGCCCGGAGAACCAACATCTACAGTAACCAAGTGATACAGTTATTCAAAAAAATTTTCCATGGACCAACATTAAAACATTCCCATTGCACTCCCCCAATCATAGGTTGCATCAAATCAGACTGTGAATGTACAAATAAGCACTTGGTCAATGTTCTAAAGCAGCTAAAGAAAAGTGACAAGATTGTTCATACTCCCAAATTCACAAAACTGAAAAGACGTGGCAAAGCTTTGGAACAATAAAAATACTTGCATATAAACAGAAAAGGAAAAGCATGGAGTTATATCAGCCACCAAGTTTCCAAGGAGGCAAGAATCTCACATTAGTTGATTAAAAGGTAGTAGTAATACAACACACTTAAGTATTGCATCTTCATTCCCCCAAAATGGGACTGCTGTTACTTTGAGTGGTATTTGGTGTGACTTACATGCCTTCTACTTTCCCAGGTTACAGAGGGATAAATATATTGCTCAAGAAAACAAATATTCTTCCATATTTAAAACTAGCACACATTTGCTAAGGTAAATGTTTTGGCCATTATAGAAGTAAATATCTTCAGCTGAAAGCCAGCTGTTCCAGACTTGCACATTAAATATTGAACAATTCAACAAGTTTGAATAGTCACAAGTCTCGGCATCTTGCAGCAGGAACATTTTGTTATAGCTCTGAGCCTTGGCATAATGCAGCAGGCTGTAAGTACTTGCTGTTCTCCATGTACTTAAGAGAAATGCATCTACCATAACACTGCAGGGGCACCATTCAGATGTTACTGGCATCTGTACCAAAACCCAAATAGGAATGGCAGAAGCTGTCCCATGAAATCCTATTCTGTGAATAAAGGATAGTGTACATTCAATAATAAAACCTTCCTGAATAGGTTATATTATAGCTTTGACTTCTGACCTTCAGTCTATAGACTATTCTTATCATCTCTACTGGGTACACTTATTTTTCTTCTAAGTATCCTCTGCTCTTCATCGGACAGTACTAGAGATGAATGAACATTTAAAAAATACATATGTTTCGGCACTGCATGGAACTTTTATTAAAAAAAACTGGAAGAACAAGACAGCCAAAACAAAATAAAATTGTTTAAAAAAAAACCCTTGAGAACACCCTTCTCCTCCTCTGTAAAACGGGATCGTACAAAAGTAAACAGTGTAAAATAAAAGCAGGCTGTTCTAATTCATTTACACATTCCCTGCCTGAACTTAAGTTTACAAGAAATTTCAAGTCTTTTTTTGTTTTGTTTTAAGCTTCAGGATTGTTCACATTTCTACACAGGTTTTAAATCAGACAAAAGCAAGACAGTTCTTTACAGAAAGATTTAAGCCAATAATATTAGCAAAATGAATACAAAACTTCCTTAAACCAAGTAAAAGATCTATAGTTACAGTAGAACAATAAAAAGGGGATAAAGGCTGCCGCCTGTGGAGGGAAAACTGAAATGGCTATTAAATAACAGGCGGTTAATGCTGTAAACCGTCTCTTCCTTTTCCAGCCCTGTTGCTAGAGTTCACGTAAGGTTATCAGGTTCTGGCCAAAGCCTCTTGTGTAGTGGCAGCTGCTGGATTCTGTCCATGTTCCTGCAAGTATCTTTAGTAAGTGACAAGGAGAGATCCAGTTGTAATATCTTCTTCTGCTCTAGTTTGGAGTAGTTTTGCTAGTAAAAGCCATTGGTAACATAGGAGATCAGCCATGCATTATCTGCCCCTCAGTGGCAACATTTCACCGATGCACAGCAGACTGGAGAACGCTGGTCGTCGCCAGAGCAGGAATCTATTGAAGCCAAGGAACAGGGCGTCAGTATCAGCTCGTGCCTACCGCAACTGCACAGAAATGGATCAGTTAAAGCTGTCTCATCCTCTTCCCGTCGATACAACTGAGCAGATGCATCGATTTCGGAAGGATGACGGGAGAATGCACAAATCTGTGTCTCAACAGAATCAAGGTCGCATGAACCTGTAGCACCGATGGCATTTCCTGTCTGGGCTAAGGAAACTAATGCACCTCACAAGCAAGGAGAAATAGTATGAGGAATGAGAGAAAAAAGCACATGCTTGCAAAAAAGAAGACTGATGACTTAGGTGGCTCCTGAGTCAGTAATGAAACTCAAATCAAGAGGCAAGATGAGAAATGCAAGTGTCACCTAAAAGTAAATTTTCTTTAGCAGCGATACTGTTCTGAGCATGTTGTACAATATCCTTCCCATAGTAAATGTGATGATAAGCAAAGCTCCATGAATTTGGCTATCGGAAATTTGTGCCAAATCCGGGAGCAGTGGTAGTCAATCTCTACTACGATGCTGAAAGTGACAACGATTAGACAGGCTCTATTATCAAGAATTAGTCACCAGCTTGAATCTTAAGCTTAGGCAAAATGAAAAGGCCCGTGAGAACAATTTCAGAGAAATTGCCTTCCTCTGATAACAAGGCTATGTTGCATCTCAATGCATCTAACAGAGAATATGTGCCAGCAAGCCACTCATAAATTCTATAAAGGACCTCCAGTTTCTCAATTCAAGATTCAAAGCGAAGGCTTGTTTCTTATGATCTGGACTAAAATTTGCCTCTGCCTTCTAACCGAAGATAAATATGGAAGCAAGGAAACCACTACTTTTTAGTAAGTGACTGCATGGATTGGTTGTCCTGCGAACAAACCACAATGTGCCTAACAGAAATCAGGTTTACTGTGTGTTCTTCACTGCCTCTCCAGCCTTCAGGCCTTCTAGGCTGTATCACCGCAGGAGACACTGCAGCAGGAACACGTCACATCTTGATCAACATTTTTGGCCTTCTGTATATTTTCTTTTACATTTCAGCCTTCTTCCTGGAGATCATGACAGCTGGCTTGACAGCTGGCTTTCACAGACTCTGTTTTGACAGCCCCTTCAAAGTGCCCAAGTTGCACTTTGAAGAAATGTCAGAATTTCAACACACACACACACACACACACTTACGCAACTGCATAAGTGCAGGAATTTGACTCTTTGGTTATGGTACCTGCTGCCAAGGTGTAGCAGGCATGAACCACGGTCACAGACACCAAGAGAGGCCAAAGAATCCTCTTTGCGCACAAAAGTGCATGGAGTGTGATTTACACCTCCTCTGCAGCAAAATCCTTAATTTTTCTTTTTACCCTGACAGTTCTCAGCATGGTACACAATTTGTACATTTTCCAAAGACTCTAGGTACTCGGGAAAGTACATCACAACCACTTTTCTGGGGAAAAGGAGTTTTGACAGCTAGCTGTTAAAACTTTAGTCCCTTTAAATGAGGTTCTGGTAGGGCAATGTTTGTTTTGGTTTGGGTCATATATAGCTCTATGTCCTAGTCCAAAACACCCTAGTCCAAAACACCCACTGTCCCATCAAACACTTCTTTTAAAAGGACCCAGAGTTTTGACCACTATCTAATAAAATAATAAATACAAACCTTTAATAAAAATACAAACCTATTTGCATGCATTTAACATGCAAATGAATAAATAAAGGCCTGACAGCTTCTCCAAGGTGCAATTCAGGCATCTTGCAGGAGCTGTCACTTGCTGTCAAGATGGCTTTTGCAATCTCTGAAAATAAAGTTAAAATGAAAAACAAAGGGGGGGGGGACTTTATCCCTTGTGCCAACTACCTTTTTGCTGTGGCCAGGGTGGGTTTGGGAAGAGCGGGAATAGGTTTTTGACGCTCTTACTAAGTGAACTGCTAGCAGCTAGACTTTACCCACAGTGAGACTGATTGTTTGGCTTCAGATGACATGAGTAAACACCCTTGCAACAGTCCATGTGTTCTCATCAGGGTGGCTTGTTTGAAAAAGACAAGCTACCATGGGTAAACCAGGCCAGGCTCAGAATAACAAGGCAAGCACCCATATCTTGCTGCCCAGTTGAATTGCCATGTTATGCATACTATAACGGCATTGTGTATTCTGCTGCTTAGGTAACAGGTGCCTTTGCTGACAACAGCAGAATAACATTTTGGTTGCTAGGGGAAGAAACATTTTTCCACCAGGTTGCACAAAGCAAGAGTTGGGGAAAGGAGGTTTCAAAGTATCCCTCCTACCTAGCTCAATCCTTGCTAAAACAGTCCTAGTTCTGTAGAGAAGTAAGACTACAGCAGCTAAAGTTAAGCTAGTCATATCTGTCCAATATTTGAGAAGACAAATAGACTGCTTACACTGTTTCCATTCAACATAGGCATACTGGGACTGCCCTTTCAACGCACAGTTCACTGAGACCTGGTCTTAAATTAAGCAGCAGCAACACTACATTTTCTCAGGCAACAAGAGGTTAAATATTATAGCCAAGGGCCTTGATAGTGGATTGGATCATGCAGTTCCCCCCTCAAAACTCCCAGTTCAAATAGGGATTGTGCTTCAAGGCAGGCAGTTCAGCTCTCCTAGTTGTAATTTATATATTGCTTTGACTATCGTTCACCTCAGCCAGTTACTCAAATGGTGATCTTAACTGCTCCCTGCTGAATTTCTATCTCCTTCCTACTGAAAAGACATGCAGGAACAGTCTGTTGGCTGAGTAAGTGCCTGGCAATCTACCATACAGTGCATCCTATCCCTCACCTCATTCTCTCCACAGCATAGAGCATCACATACAGGCTCTCTACCTCTTTGCTGCAGCCCTGCCTTTGTTATCAGAGTGTTCATATCCAACAGCTACAAGCAAGCTTCCCTTTAGCACAGCTCAGTGTGAACTCTGCATTCAAGGTGGTTTGGAAGAGAATCCTGATATTCTAAACAGCTAGATTATCCAGATGATCTGACCCATGTGGATAATCAATTTGCTAATGTAATTAGCAAAGTAAAGGGTGGTGGAGTCGGACAAACACAAACGCAGCAGAGAGAGGGAGAAATAAGAGGGATTCTACACCGAGGGGTGAGATTAGTATAACATGGAGCTTTACCAATGACAGGGAGATGGGAGAGCACCCAGTAACCCAATCTAAGCAACAAGGCTTCTCAATCCAACTGAAAAAGCAAAAGGAACAGCTGCTAAAATACTTAAGATTGGCAACAAGCTACAGATTGTCTACGCATACTTCATTTTGCTCTAGTGAAGCCCTATTTACTGCTGAGATCAACTAAGAAAGCTAAGACAAAAAGAAGGCTCAACTGTTAAGCTTACAAATGGTTGCTACCACAGACATGCATTCATTTTCCAACCCAGGCATCTAGGAGTTTCCTGTAAAGAGTCCAGTGTCCTATGTTTTGAAAATGTTTTTTTAATCTTTGGCTGCTTGTAGGAAAGGGAAAATAAGAAATGTCTGCATTAATGTTCTGTTCTACTCAGGCCAAGTAGTAATTAGATTAGGCAATAAAGACTTTCCTAGCATAATTTTTCATAATGCTGGAATGCATGTTTGTTTTACTGACTTGAAAAGTAGTTATTTCAAGGCATAGAGCTGTGAGAGAAGGGCTTGGCTGAGTATTGCATAAGCTGTGATGATTCTCTAGATAGGTAGGATTCTTTTTAAAATTTGTATCCTCTCTCAGGAAAATGGGCATGGAAGCAAGTTATTTAATATTCAGATTCTGCAACCAGCTCCTTGCAATCCTAGGGACCTGTGAGGAGCAAGCAGGTAGCAAACTTGCGATGCAGTTGGTAGAGCATTTGGTCCCTCCATCATGTTCTTCTGAGATGGGCTGCTCCATCTATGCATTGTTCCAAAATGGGTATATGGCTAAACAATGCAAGTGCATTCTCTTACGGGGAGATGATCTCTATGTAAGAAGAAGTGCCACATAAGGCACCTCAAATGTTCCACCCTTACACAAGGTTCCCCTGCACTTTGGGGGCAATACATACCACCTGGTTTCTCTTACAAGTGCACAGGTGGAGCTGTTCTAGGAAAGTAAAGGATTTGTTAACATGAAGCACACCTAATGCTCTTCATCTGCAGCACAGAAGGAAATAAAGTGCAGAATTAACATGAAAAGCCCCCCAATTTGAAGTCCCCACCCACCAAGCTGGTGTCTAGCGAGAAGGGACTCACCCAGGGCTGCTTTCCAAGGAGGAGGAGACGAGCAGCTACTTGCCATGGTGGTCGAAGGGAATGCTATTCTGAGGTGGGGGGAAAAGACAGCCATTTGTAACAATTCTACTGGCCCATATATAACTTCAAACTGAGATTCCAGCTAGAGGTACTCTTAAATTTGGAATGGTCCTCCTCTGAGATGCCCTGCAGGCACGAGCCCGCTGATCAAGAGCCCCCCGCCCATGCCAGAAGCTGAGAGACTCACTTCCCGGCCTGATGGGACAAGCTTTGACGACTGATGCAGCAGGAAGGCTGCTCCAGCAACAGGTGGCAACCAACAGCCTTTTGGAGGTGCATTTTGTTGCACTGACTGACTCAGCACAAAATGATCTCTTCCACTGTTTATTGCCAGCCCAGGCCACTGATTCAAAAAAACATTTTCCTTTATCATGGTGACTGCTTTGCAGAAGGCTTTGATCTTTCTGTAACTGGAGAAAACCCTCCTTGCTCCTAAGAACTCAACTGTGCACAAGCTCAGCCTGGAGCCCTCCAGCTGCAATTTACACGTACATAGACAGCACTGCAGAGAGAGAGCTCTTCACTAAGTAGCAAAGTCATAAGCCTCCATGGGCAGTGCCTGCTTCATCATCAAATGCAAGTCTGATGCATTCCCTGAAGCGGCGATCCTTTTACTTCTGTATCATCCAAGACAGTGTATGTTTATGCACATACAACCCCCTAACCATGATCATCTTGCAGACCTAAAAGCTTCACATTTTTCTGTGTGTTGCTGGTTGTTCTAAAGGACCTCATTCTTCCAATGAAGCAGATTTGATGTAGGATGTATTTTAATGTTAACCAAGGTTTTTCCATCCAGTCTGGTTGAATAAGCATGTATTATTATCCAGCCCCTGCATTCATACTTAATGTCCCCTTTCCTTTATGCACAAAGCTGCATACAATACATGGTCACATACATGCAAACCTCAAAACCAATTCCTAGGGGGTGGACCTTAAATAAGCAAAAAAATAAAACAATAAAAAATCATCTTCATTTCTGAATGCCAATCACTCCCTACTGCTACCATGGAATGAAATGTGCAGATTTTAAGTCTTAAAAACATCCAGCACATGGCAGGAAATGCTAAGTTCAGGAAACTTGCATAGAAAACATTTGTGAACAGTGTATCTCATCTAGAAATGAAAGGAAATTTCAATGGTCTTCTGCTAGAGGGGTAACAAAATAATACTCTCTCACACTGCAGAAGATGGCTAAGTTTGGAAACCAACATTCTCTCTAAGTCTGCAAAAGACACCATACTATTAGTTAAACTAATATCTGTGTAAAATGATTATCAAGTATATCACCAATTTTGTAACTAATTCCTACCAACACGAAGTACAAAATGCAGCTCTTAAGAAAGGAAAAGAACACCAATCTTAAATACATATTAAGTGAAATCTTGTGTGTTTGCCAGTAGCATGAAGGAAGATTATAGCAATTGGAGGGCATGAAAAAGTGCTCAAGTTTGAATCAACCTGTACAAAATAATGCAAGCTAAAGGGAACTGTCAAGAGCATACATACAGAAGCACTAGAAATACTGAGTGAGACAATACAGCCCTCCCACCCCGGCTCCATTCCTGAATTTAGTTCAATATCTGTGATTGCCTCTGACCAAATTTATTGTTCCTGCTCACTGCCCACCATTACAACTCCAAAACTGGTAAAGACTGTTGACTACAGTTTTGGGCTGCAACCTGGCATTTATTCTATTCACCTCCACAGAAGGCTCTCATCCACACTACCTCCCAGAGAACTTTGGCTGCTAGGCAGGTGTAGAAATGAAATTAGTGAATACTTAAAGGCTCTGTAACTGTAGCAAAATTGGCATGAATCATCCCACCAATTCTCAGTGATGCTGCATTTGACCGCTTACATGGTGAGAATATAAAAGTAGAATTATTTCACTTGGTCCACAGTCACCTACTGTTTGTACTGGAAGAAAGTTTAAGCAGAGGCCAAACAAGAATCTGGCCAGTGTACAGGACCTAGAGGTTTAGCAGTTTTATTTAATACTAAACAGCACAATTCAAACATTTGAGAAGTAAAATGTCCTTTTAAAATCCACTTCTCTGCTCTTTAACAACTCTTCTTTCTTCATCATCTTCTGCCTTTTGTCTCATTTGCTCTTCCTTCTGCACTTCTTTCTCTGCAGCAACTTCAAATTCTCAGCTCCCCGTAGGCTCCACTCACACCCCATCCCCTGGTGTACCTGCTAGAGTGGTCACCAAGGAAATAGTTAATGTTGACTGCAATATATTGCTGGTATTTAATGTTGAAAGATTATGAACTAGGGTGCCAGGGTAGGAATTCAAACAATTTAATCATGTTGGTGCTTTAGATCTTTGGAAGACGCCAATTTGTTTAGGTCAGAACTATGCAAATTACCCTGAGACTTCCTAGCAACAATGCAGGCAACCATGAATACTGTAAATACAGCAAACAGGCTGTATTCCACCTACAGAAAGAATTGTAACCACTCAAACCACTGTTTTAAGAGGGAAATACTAAAAGCAACTGTAAAAAGATTTACTCTTTAGCCTTCTTTGGCCAAAACCTCAGAGAGAGAAAGGCAGTGAAAACCTTAATTATTCTTTTCTGTGTATCAGCACACAGATACATAGGAACCATACTTTTGCTACATGGTGTCCTACCAAGAACTAGTCCATCCATGGTTTGTTTTTGGCCTCAGTGACGACCTTCCTCCCTTGCTGGCTGGCAGGAGTTATCATTGTACTACACATATCCAACTGGGAAATGTGTAAACCAGTGTAGCAGTATGGTTGATCACAACCTTTTAATCTTTATTCCCTTGTGCAACATTCTTAAGAATAGAAATTAATTCTCATATAGTTGTGTATATGATATCAAGAGGGTCATTTAGGTTGCTTTATAACAATTTTGTGTGACGTATATAAGCCTCAAGTTTCTGCCTCTATTTTCAGTTAATCACAATTCACAGGGTCACTTGGACCCACTAACTATGGTTAATTTCAACAAGTCAGGTTCAGAAACGATACTTGCAAGCTGATTTGAAACTGACCATAGCTAGGCTTAACAAGCACAACAGCCCAAAAGTAAGAACTTTAAAAGTTCTCCTAGCCATGCAGGAGGGAAGAGTGAGCCAGTTCGCAGGTCCCTCCTTGTTCCTGTTTCTGCACACTGCACTGTCTCTGTAACAAGTGGCCAGGTTCACACCATCACTGGTGGAAAAGTAGCCTCAGCGGCTTCCTTCACCTGGTCCTCGGGTGCCAGTTGCACACCATACAATTTCCATAATTACCTTTGCAGAGCACCATTTTGCATGCCATCTAAATCTGGCAAGGGATGTGGTGGCTTTGAAAGCACTCCAGAAGCTAGAACAAGCCATGAGAAGCCACACTGAGGAGGATAATTGTGGAAATCATCCAGTGTACAGCTGGCATGCTGAGATGAGGAGAAGAAGCCACTGTGACCGTTCAAAAATAGCCAGTGTATTAGAGTATAAGGTGTTTATATCCTGTCAGAGAACACAAGGTGGCATGCATAATTCTTCCTCTCATAACAGTAACCATGTGTGGTGGGCTGGGCTGAGCGTCTGTGACTGGCTCCAAGGGAGCCAGCTAGCTCCATGGTTGAGAGAGGACTAGAACCCGGATCTGCTGAGTCCTAGTCCTGCATTTTTAACCACTGTACCACACTGGCCCAATTTATATTAGATAGCTCTATGAAACAGCTATTTTGTTTGCTGTTTTTAGACAATGTGTTACACATTCTTCTAACAGAAAGTTGTCAGGACTTCTTGACCCTGACTGCTCTTTACTAGAAGGAATTAAATAATTGGGATAAGACTATATATGAAGATAAACCATTTTGTAGCAGTTAAAGTCAACATATGAAGGAACTTTGGTGCTACTGGACTGGAACAGAATCCAAGCTGCACTAGACAGGATGAAAGTCAATGGAAGACAACATGAATTATAAAGACATAGGAAATGTGTCTTTTTGGGTTTATTTCAGCGATCTAAACCTTCGCTCGTTCTTACAAATATGAACACAAGACAAGGCTTATTATATTGTACCCCTGGGGCTAGTAAGTCAAAGGAGCAAGAGTAGCAATGCAGCTGGCAACGAATGGAGCTGCTAGATATTTATAAACTTGCAATCTCATTATTTGGCATTCTCAAGCTTCAATTAGTCAGATTTCCATTAGATAGCCCATTTACTTCATAAGAAGAATTGACAAATTAGTTAACCTCTGAAATGCTTTTTTGGACAGAAGGTATCCCTCTGAAACCAAACTAATCTGGACAAAAAGAGAAGCAATCTTCTCAGCCTCAAATATTTTTAAACATCTGAATCTCATACATTTCTAAGTCATTAATTTAAATAATGCATACTTTCAGGGACTGAAACCTAAATTGATGTAGAGTACATATCTGAACTAACAGAAGGGTTAATTAACTTAACTTTTAATCAATCCTTAAAAAATACCTGCACTAAATTTATGAGCTGATATCACTATTATCTATTCATATATGACTGGGGAAAGGAGGAGGAGCAGATTGCTCTTTTCTTAACAGAAAAAACAAAACAGAGGACCCTTTGTGCACATGAGGAATACTGTTCCTTGGAATACAGCTATTTCCATCATGGGGCTTCAGAATGATAGATATCTCTCCAGTTAAACACAAATCATATGAAACCACTCAAATCCTTGACAAATTCTACCTGATCTGTACAATAACTTGCATCACATATTTCCTCTAAAGTGCAACCTTCATGTTCCATCAGATATTAAAATAGTCATGGGGGCGGGGCGGGAGGGAATTACTAATAATTCTACCATTATTTGCTTCCTACTCCTACCAAGCATGCTATGCAAACATTCCCCATATATTAAGACTCCCTAGGTAAGTGAGATATTGCTCTATCACATTACTGGATTTAAGTTCAGCACTTTCTAAATTCTATGACAGAAGCAGTAAGATTTGCAGATATTTGACACAGTACAGCCTGCTGGGCTTCAATTGCCCCAGTGTAAAGGAAAGCAAGCAATTACATCTCAGAGTCTAAAAGTGCTTTATTCCAGGTAATTTAAGTGGTTAAAATACGCACTTTCTTCCTCTTCCTTCGGGGTCTGCAGGAGCTTGGCTTTACAGATGGAAGGATAAAAGAAAGAGTCTCAAAACCTCACAAGGTTTTATTTCTTTAACATTAGCAAGCCTCTAATATAACCCTAGGACATACTCCACCCCAGCATTCAAAGTGAGACCCCAGTTAGGAACCAGGAGAACCATCTTACCCATTGAAACTTTGGGAAGTATACAGTGAATTAAGATGTTTAATAGAACATTTGCTCATTTTCTGGAGTATTTCATGGGTAGAAACAAAGGGAGCAAGTTTCTGAAACTTATTCAGAAGGCCAGTAGCGCATCTGCTTGTAAAGTGAATTCTTAAAATTGTCAAGACAAGCAGGAGAATGGCATGCAAATATATCTGTCACCAGTATAATGCATATTAAGTGCAGACTTTAGGTTTGCAGGAAAAGTATTATTTGCCCCATTGAAATACCTGTTTCACTCTGCAGCCTTAGAATAAGCAATTTACTGAAAGAGTTTGCATTCAGTGACAATTTAAGTTCCATTGTGCTGAAACCTTGAGACTCCATATTCTTCCAAATTAAGGACTGCTGTTTCCCTAAAATATGTCTCTTTTTATCAGAGACAACTAAGTGTACTAACCATTTCTTAGCAATTCTAGCAATTAGCAAGACTAGCAATTCAAGTACTTCAAGCTACATTCAAAAAAACATACTTTAATCAGTGACCACTGGTCACAGACAAAAGCATTCATGTGGCATCATCAAAAAATGAGGTTTTATTTGTTCTTAGCAGGAAATAAAAGCATTTTTTGCACATTTAAAAGCAAGTCCCACTGTGTTCAATAGATCTTAAACCTATGGAGTGTGAGCACTGAAGCCTTAGCATAAAAGTCTTGCTTGACTGTAACTGCAGCAGCTAAACTTATTTAATTGGAATCAACACATTTCTTTATGCTTTCTTTCATCCATAATTCTCTCTTCAACATAGCCCACCTCACAGGTTTTTTGACTGAACATTTCTAAACTGTAACTCTTAGTTCCTTAAAACATCTGACTTTCACATACTCCAGAGAACTGCTTCCTGAGATCCTTAATTCCCTGCTATTAACTTCCATATGAGAAAGTCCAATTTTGTAAAGTTGCACAGGACTTGCAACAGATCTCAGCTCGATTAAGTTGCATGCCACATATACATTGTAAGGAAATGCACAACGAGGTTAAGAAACCTTGCTACCAAAATCAGTTAACAGCATCTCTTGAGGCACCACTCATAATTTCTTCCGTCTCTCTTTGGAAAGTCTAACAAAAAGTGATCAACAAAAAAATGTTGAATGTTGTCCCAATTCACAACCATGCAGGAAATATGTTTATCTTCCAAACATTATCCTATTTATACAATAATCATTTATAGTTTAGCCTATTATGTGACCTATACTGCCTGCAACTAAATATTGTGAATGTTTGAAATACATTACAAAAAACAGTCCAAGCTATGGGGAAAAGTTACAATAAGTGGTCCTGCAGTCAAGAAACCTGGTTACTGCATGTACAGATTCATTCACAACAGCTAATCTAGTTGTGTTTCATACTTTTGACAAGGATGAATCCCCAGAGCTGGCTTGGTAAACATTTTTAACTTTTCAAACTTTAGAGCCAAAAAATAAAATCAAAGTTGCATGAATAACACCTAATAAATACAAAGAATGCAAGACAGATAAGACAGGCTTATTCCTCTTCCAACCTTTTGTTTCATCAAGCATAGTAATTTCAGACCTACAGCAGCTTTAAGTACATTCTTTGTATTCCAGATATGATTACAGACATTTGCTTATACCAGGCAGAAGCTGGTAACTACTTCCCATAAACAGCAATTTATTTGGAAACACAGCCCAAGCTATGTCAAGATCTCTGAGCGGGTACATTTTTGCCACTAGACACAGCAGAACAAATGATGGATGACTATGGCTACAGTTGATATTGTCCATTGAGTCAAATTGAGTCTGGACTAAGCATGAAAGAAGAGCACTTATTGATCCTTCTTCACCATGAAACGTAATAAATACTAGTATTCATTCATTTGCACAAGGCCTCCGAGATCTGCAGTGGTTAGAAAAAAACGTGACCTTTAAGTCAGTTGATGATTCACATAGTATAGAAAAAAGTCACTGAAATTTCCATGGCTGTTAAAAGTCTGTACCCTGTGAATACACAAAAACCCAAAAATGGCATTAAATAAGGGAGGTAACCAGCCTTAGATTTTAGTAACCTATAGGACACCCTCCTTCAAGTATATGCCTCAAAATTAGAGAGTTGGGGCCTTCACAAGCAGCAATTCTTCAGCTGATTCAGCTCAAATAAGCAACTGTCTAAGGACTTGTGAGGTGAGCTTTCCTACCCAGAGTATATTTATAGTAGAGGATCGCACCAAAGAATGCTGACCTGTTCCCATTAAAAAAAACAACAACCGATATGTGTCGTACCTGTGAGGTTGACATGCGCGAGGTATCTTGTCGGCCTGTTAAATCAGATGAGGAAATATTGACTGGGGCCCCACGATGCAATCGCATACTCACTTTCCGTTCTCGTTCCATTCCAGACACTGGCCGAGGAGATGTGTTTGCTGAGAGAAAAAAGATCTGTTTAGTTTTGTATATGTAGTTACTGGCCAAAGGCTGCTCTTGCTCTCCCTTGGTCTCTTTTGGTTGAGTCAGTTCAAGAAATAGTCTGTGTCAGAAGAATGAAAAACATCAGCCCTTTTTGCGTGCCTATTATGAGATTTTATCAAGTTATTTTATAAAATCCTGCTGTTCTTAAACATACAGTATCGAGGAAGGTCCAAGAAAGCATTGGACCTTCCTCATCTCTTCCCACCTTAATGCTACATCCAACTTACTTAGGAAGTAGTATAATTGACATGTATGTTTGTCAAGAAGAGGTTAGATAAGTCATGTCTCATACATGTATGATATTCTGTGGAAAGCCCAAAATGAAATGTATGAACTGAAAACCAAGATAACATTTTTAAAATCCTAACGAGACTAGCAACCTTTTTTGAAATTGCCCAATATTTTGGGGTAGGAGAGAATGATACCTGAATATACAGATGGCCTGAATCCCAAACACTATGTACATGTAAGAGATCTTTGGACTCATGTTTGTTAAACAGCAGTTCCTACTCTATCCCCTTCATTCATAATTTGAGGATATTCAAAATCATTCTGTGGTATGGGGCAGAAATCTACTTTTCAAGAGACAAGAGTAAAAAACAAAATCAACTCCGCCTATGTTCAAACCTTCAGATGACCTTGCAGCAACTCCTTAGATCCTAAACAACTAGCAGAGACCTTGAAAAAGCTTCTTCATAGGGCCATGATGAACTATTTTAAAATGGTTTGTAACAGAATGCATGTGCAGCAAACTGGACAGCAGGGCTCTAGAAACTGGCACTAATGAAAAATGCTTCTAGGTAGCTTATTTGCCTTCCAGCAACACACTGTCAGCCTATCAGTAGCTTTGTAACATTTTAAATTATCCAGACAGAGTAATTTCTTATTTGCAAGGAGACAAGCCTGAAAGACCACAAGCAGTTAAAATAATCAAGAACTTTTTCAAGCTTTTGTCCTGCTAAATCCAAATCCTTGTATACCTAAGCAATACACCTTAGAATCAGCCTAGATGGCTGATCCCAGCTATAGGATAAATGTGCCTTTGAAGTGACAGTGCTTAACCATTTTTAATTAAATATCAAGCTAACATTAGGCCTTCATTTATTCCAGAGGTTTTGGGAAATCTATGCTGAAAAATGTACAAAATGACGGTTAGTTGAAATTTATTTTGGGGAGCAATACAAAGTCTGCACAAAGTATAGTATAAAAACAAATGTAGTAGTCCTACAGCAGTAAGCAACATAATTTGGTATATAAAACAGCCATCTGTAATGTTATGATGCCAAGAAAATGGGAATTTAAAAATTTAAAATGGCTGCCATAATCGCTGCATTTCAATACTGTAATCAAAGATGAACATGTTTTCCACCACAGGATTAGCACCTAATATCAGTTTAGACTCCTTCATGGATCATTGCCTTGTCGTGGCGAAGGGGCTTGCGTAGCTCAATGAAGGGCCACCCAAGACGGACAGGTCATAGCAGAGAGCTCTGACAAAACGTGATCCACTGGAGAAGGAAATGGCAACCCACTCCAGTATCTTTGCCATGAAAACCCCACGGACAGCACCAAAAGGCAAAAAGATGTGACGCCGGAAGATGAGCCCCTCAGGTCGGAAGGTATCCAATGTGCTACTGGGGAAGAGCAGAGGGCTAGTACTAGTAGCGCCAGAAAGAATGAAGCGACTGGGTCAAAGCCGAAAGGACACTCAGACGCAGATGTATCTGGTGGTGAAAGGAGAGTCTGATGCTGCAAAGCTCTATACTTCATAGGAACCTGGAATGTAAGATCCGTGAATCAAGGCAAGCTGGATGTGGTCAAACAAGAGATGACAAGACTGAACATTGACATCTTGGAAATCAATTAACTAAAATGGACAGGAATGGGTGAATTTAATTCAGATGACCATCAGGTATACTACTGCGGGCAAGAATCCCTCAGAAGAAATGGAGTAGCCTTCATAGTCAATAAAAGAGTAGGAAAAGCAGTACTGGGATACAATCTCCAAAATGACAGAATGATCTCAGTTCAAATCCAAGGCAAACCATTCAACATCACAGTAGTCCAAGTCTATGCCCCAACCACTGGTGCTGAAGAGGCTGAAGTTGACCGGTTCTATGAAGGCCTACAACACCTTTTAGAATTAACACCAAAAAATGATGTCCTTATCATCATGGGGGATTGGAATGCTAAAGTAGGAAGCCAAAAGATAACCGGAATAACAGGCAAGTTTGGCCTTGGAGTACAAAATGAAGCAGGGCACAGGCTGGTAGAATTTTGTCAAGAGAATACGATGGTCATAGCAAACACTCTTTTCCAACAACCCAAGAGACGACTCTACACATGGACATCACCAGACGGTCAACACAGAAATCAGATTGACTATGTGCTCTGCAGCCAAAGATGGAGAAGCTCTATATCAGGGGTCTCAAACTCAACTTACCTGGGGGCCGCTGGAAGTAGAGTCTGGGTGAGGCTGGGCCGCATCAAGCATTCCACCACCGCGGTGGTGGTGGGCTGCTCATCCCGCGTGGCTCCCGGAGGCCGTCCCGGGCGCCGCCGGCGCTTTGAAGGCCGCTGGGCCCCTCCCCCGTCCGTCCTGGCAATTGGCCCGCGGGCTGCAAGTTTGAGACCCCTTCTCTATATAGTCAGTAAAAACTAGACCAGGAGCTGAATGGCTCAGATCATGAGCTCCTTGTTGCAAAATTTAGGATTAAATTGAAGAAAGTAGAGAAAAGCACTAGGCCACTCAGGTATGACCTAAATCATATCCCTGATGAATATACAGTAGAGGTGACAAATAGATTTAAGGAATTAGAACTGATAGACAGAGTACCTGAAGAACTATGGACGGAGGTTCACAACATTGTACAAGAGGTAGCAACTAAAACCATCCCAAAGAAAAAGAAATGCAAGAAAGCAAAATGGCTGTCTGAGGAAGCTTTACAAATAGCTGAGGAAAGAAGGGAAGTGAAAGGCAAGGGAGAAAGAGAAAAATACACCCCACTGAATGCAGAATTCCAGAGAATAGCTAGAAGAGATAAGAATGCCTTCTTCAATGAATAGTGCAAAGAAATAGAAGAAAACAATAGAATAGGGAGGACCAGAGATCTCTTCAAGAAAATTGGAGATGTGAAGGGAACATTTCATGCAAAGATGGGCATGATAAAAGACCAAAATGGCAGGGACCTAACAGAGGCAGAAAAGGTGGCAAGATTACACAGAAGAACTATACAAGGAAGAGCTTAACGTCCCTGATAACCACGAAGGCGTGGTCACTGACCACGAGCCAGACATCCTGGAATGTGAAGACAAATAGGCCTTAGGAAGTCTGAGCAACAACAAAGCTAGTGGAGGTGACAGTATTCCAGCTGAGCTATTCAAAATCTTAAAAGACGATGCAGTAAAAGTGCTACACTCAATATGCCAGCAAATTTGGAAAACTCAACAGTGGCCACAGGATTGGAAAAGGTCAGTTTACATTCCAATCCCAAATGAGGGCAATGTCAAAGAATGTTCAAACTACCACACCATTGCACTCATTTCACATGCCAGCAAAGTTATGCTCAAAATTCTACAAGCTAGGCTCCAGCAGTATGTGGACCGAGAACTACCAGATGTACAGGCAGGATTTCGAAGAAGGAGAGGAACTAGAGATCAAATTGTCAACATACGCTGGATCATGGAGAAAGCTAGGGAGTTCCAGAAAAATATCTACTTCTGCTTCATTGACTATGCTAAAGCCTTTGATTGTGTGGATCACAACCAACTGTAGCAAGTTCTTAAAGAGATGGGAGTACCAGACCATCTTATTGGTCTCTTGAGAAACCTATATGCGGGTCAAGAAGCAACAGTGAGAACTGGACACGGAACCACTGATTGGTTCAAAATTTGGAAAGGAGTTCGGCAAGGCCATATACTGTCACCCTGCCTATTTAACTTATATGCAGAACACATCATGTAAAAGGCGGGCCTAGATGAATCACCAGTTGGAATTAAGATTGCTGGGAGAAATATCAACAACCTCAGATATGCAGATGATACTACTCTCATGGCCGAAAGTGAAGAGGAACTAAAGAGCCTCTTGATGCAGGTGAAGGAGGAGAGCGCAAAAGTTGGCTTGAAACTCAACATTAAGAAAACTAAGATCATGGCATCCGGTCCTCTCACTTCCTGGCAAACAGATGGGGAAGAAATGGAGGTAGTGACAGATTTTATTTTCCTGGGCCTCAAGATCACCGCAGATGGGGACTGAAGCCAAGAAATTAAAAGACACTTCCTCCTGGGGAGGAAAGCTATGGCAAATCTAGACAGCATACTAAAAGGCAGAGACATCATCCTGCCAACAAAGTGTTTATAGTCAAGGCTATGGTTTTCCCAGTTGCAATGTATGACTGTGAAAGCTGGACCATGAGGAAGGCTGAGCGCCGAGGAACTGAGGCCTTTGAATTGTGGTGCTGGAGACAACTCCCGCGAGTCCCTTGGAGTGCAAGGCGATCAAACCGGTCAGTCCTAGAGGAGATCAACCGTGACTGCTCTTTAGAAGGCCAAATACTGCAGATGAAAATCAAATACTTTGGCCAGCTAATGAGAAGGAAGGACTCCCTGGAGAAGAGCCTAATGCTGAGAACAATAGATGGCGAAAGAAGAAGGGAATGGTAGAGAATGAGGTGGCTGGATGGAGTCACTAAGTAGTTGGTGTGAGCTTAGGTGGACTCTGGGGAATAGTGGACGACAGGAAGGCCTGGAGGAATGTTGTCCATGGGGTCATGATGGGTCAGACACAACTTCGTGACTAACAACAACAACCAGTTTAGAACATTTTACAATTTCTAGCTGTTTTTATAATGGCATATTAAGAGAAAGCTATCAGTGGCTACTAGCCTTGCTGGCTATGTGCTACTTCTTTTACCAGAGGTGGCATGCCTGCATACACCAGTTAAGGAGCCAGGGCAGGCAGAGGTCTTGCACCCATCCTGTTTGAGGGATCCTGTGGGCAGCTGGTCTGCCTCTGGGTGTAATGAGTGCGGGCTAGATGAAACATCCATCTGATTCAGCATGGGTTGTCTTATGTTCTTAAATTTCTGACAGAATCTAAACTGACAAAAGAAAACAAAGGGGGGATCTAAAGAGATTTGGATTCAGAATTAAAAATAACCTTCAAGCAAATCAATTTCTCTCAAAAGGCCTCAAAACTTGGGAAATCTCCCTGACTAAACCTTTATCTGCTGTACGTGACTGACATTGTTAATGCTAGTGCATAGTGCTGTGTCTGGATACTGGAATCACAGAATCAAAATTCCAGCTAGTCATGTTACTTACTGCCTAATCCTACCTCAGAGTTGTTCCTAAGGGAAAAGAAATGTGAAGTATTCTGCACAGTGAAAAGAACCAAAGATGGAAATAAATACTTAAGACTTTATTTTTAAAAAATGTCTTTAAAAAAGACATTTAAAGGACCATTTCTCCACTAATTAGGAGACAGCCTCAATGTATCTTACCAGTATGTGAAGTTGGGGTAAGAGGGGTTGGTGGAGCTACATCTTGTGTCCCCCTCAGCCTGCCAGAGGCAGTAGAAGGTAAGCCACGAACACCTGGATTTCGTGTATGTCTCATTCTTTCCTCTCTCTCTCTCCGTTCACGCTCAACGTCTTCAACTGCACGACTTGCACCCTGCAAGTAAAACAAGGAATATGGCTACCGGTGGAGTACTGGATTTTATGCACTGCAGCTGATGCACCATAATAGAATGAATACCTGATGACTAAAGCTAATATTTATGCTGTCTGCACTGCTAAACAAAGTGAATTTGGATCAATAGAAATGCATCACACTGAGTTTCAGATTATTAAAAAATTAAATGCATGTATTATTTTTTCTGAAGAGATTAAATTTCAAAGCTACACTGCAGAGCATATTTATACTAAAGGACAGTCTGCAGAATCAAGCTGATAAGTGTTCCACTTAGATGTGCGTCCAAGTTAGGTAGTGTCTTAATAAGTGATCTTGGAAAAGTTTACTTTCTCAACCCTTTCCTCATTTTATATGAAAGGAGCCAGTGGGGATCTCATCCTGCCATGATTAAGGAGCTAAGCAATACTGGTTAAAGAAAAGGGAAGGGAGCAGGATGGATCTAAACACTTGCCCTCCAAATCTGCCCCTCCAGCTACAGCCCTTTTGGCCATATTCCACCCATTTCCAAGGCTCCCCTCTCAGCACCCAGAAGTGATCTAAGGCCTGGCTGGTGGGGGGGGGGGGTGTCAGGTGGCACAATCTGGAAATGCTCTGCTTTGAGAGCAGAACACATCATGCAGTTCACAACATCCTTTCTTATAGGGTTCAAAAACCATTTATGCTATACAGAGGTAACTCTTGCCTCAATCTTACTAGCCTGTGAAGGCTCACAGCAAGTTAGCATTTGCTACACTTTCTATCAAGTAGCTAGTGGAGAAAGCTCTCTATTCCACCTTCAGCAGGCAGCTAAATTTCTCTGCTGCTTATGGAGGAAGGAGCTTTCTCTCCTCCATGGCTAGCGGGGAAACTAAGTGGCTTGTTTCTTCCATCAGGTACAAATGCTGGCATGGAATTCTTGGTTGTCTATGGCATCCTACATTACAGTGGACTTTGAGAATGTTGAACATTTAGGCAGACTTTGGGGTAATTTAAGCCCTGTCGTGCATTGCATTTAATCAGAAACAAGGTCCAGCTCATTCAGTCTACTTTTGAACATAGATACTTACGAATTTGAGCATGTTCCAGTCAAATACATAGTCATAGGAGAAGCCTTGTCTGTGGAAGAGGTTTCGGAATAATTGCCTTAGATACGAATAATCCGGTTTATCATCAAAACGCAACGAGCGGCAGAAATTCAGGTATGTTGCAAACTCAGCTGTAATAAGAAATCCTGATCATATTACTGCATAGTCAGTGCAAACAAAAATATCAAGCACAGATTCATCAGTTCACTGTACTTCCAAAGTATACATCAGTGCTTTGCATAATATCTGGGTAACAGAAATGAAACCTGAGCTATTTTAAGTGATCAATCTGCCCCATATATAGGCAGCATATGCCTCCAATACATAGAGCAAGTGCTTCCATGATGGTCACTATGGTCTTGTTTTCATGTAACAATGGCAACTCAAGGATTAATTTGCTAGGTTGTATGCCATTACCAAACTGATTATGCAACTCTGAACAGCCCAATCAGAGAGTATTCTGTGAGAACCCAGGCACCACAGGTTAATTGTGGGTCAAACAACCAATAGTTAGCCTAAGAACTGATCACTACCTAACTGCGGATTGTCCAATGCATGATTAACCCATAGTGTCTGGGTTTGCACAATATGAAATAACCTCCAGTTGGGCTGAACGGAGGTTGTGTAGTTAAGATGGTGGTATCACATGACCACAATAAATTATACGTTAATTAAACCATAATTTGCCACTATTACATGCAAGCTAGGTCTTTATCACCATGTAGGAATTTATTAGGCTGCAGTGAGAGGAAAATTATGAGTATAGAGCCTGCTATTTAGTCAGCCTCAGGTACAAACAATATAGGGATGTACATTTCTTCTGAAAAAAGGGCGTCTTCCTCTTTCAAGTTAAAGCAAAGCATTAACAATAAAACTGAACAATTTTATTGAGTGCTTCCAGTTTTCCAGTTGAATGAAAAATGCAATCCATGAAGAAAATGGTTACTAGCTGTGCAAAAAAGTACCTGCCTCATTAGTGACTATGCATAAGTCAGTGTATACTCATGTGCTAACTGAGCGTGCATCTTATTTTCCTTAGCTAAGCACTCAGCAGTTTGCCATGATAGATAAACATGGCAGACAGGAGAAAATCCATATATTGTAGCTCTCTGAAGAGGTGGGGAAGAGATAAAACAGCAAAAGGAAGTTGTCCACAAAACATCCAAGAAACATTCATTCATGTACCCAATGCAGGTATGAGTTAAACTACACAGCTATGTGCCAGAATAATGAATAAGTTGCTGGTGTAACAGAACATGTGGCATTTAAGTGCAAGCATGCTTCACAGAAAAGTTAGTTTGAAAATCAACATCCAAGTAATCTATTCCAAAGAAAAAACTTACAAGGGTATCCTTTACACAAAACCTCAATGGGTGTAGACATTTTCTTTTCACTGATGCGTTCATATTTCTGTCTCTTTGTAGCTGCCTTCAATCCCTGCCAGGGGAGGGAGCCCAGGTTAAAATACATGAGTACATAGCCCAAGGACTCCAAGTCATCTCTGCGAGATTGTTCTACAAGGAGTATAAGAGTGGAGCCATTAGATTCTATCATCTGGTGAAATGATACAAAGATGTTTCAAGCAACAGATTATACAATGAATTTTGCCTGCAAGAAAAACATGGCTAAATGGTTATTTTAAGTATGCCAATAAATCAGTAGGAAAAATGGCTTATTCTTGCAATTATTACTAAAGATCACTTGAGAACTGGAAGACCAAAAGGCTGTCAGGTGCACCCTGCCCAAAGCTAGAATCATTCATCCACACACTTGTCAATCAGCCAGGAGTTCATAAATTTTGGCTTGGCTCACTAGCATCCCAGCTAACTGCCATGGATTTTTCCTACCCTAAATCCTCTGTGTTATAAGATTGGGGAGGGGGAACTGTATCTTGTTTCATTTCGCACAAAGCCTCTTCAGTTTCTTGTGCTGCTTTTGGCTAAACTAGCATGATGGGGGAAACGCCTTCCCTAAGTTCTCTGAGAAGAATGTGAGGAATGGTTATAAGGAAACATATACTGAATCCTGAAGTGAGACTAGGTACTCCAGAACACAGTGCAGAGAACACAGAATTAGGATTCTGCAAGAAGCTGTAGCTGATTCACATAAACAAATCACAAATTGCAAGATTAATTACTAACTTGCAGTTGTGTAAAATACAATCTGAGATGAAAGGTAAGGTACTCTCCATCCCATAGCCCACAGAATTATAATCTTCCTAATGATTAGGAGTTCTTTATCGCCACTGGAAAGCTGATATAGCAAGGTAATTATTTTATGTGTATACGAGTAAAGGCAAAAACTCCACAAATAAACTAAAATTCTCAGGTGACATTTGTGATATTCACTTGGAAGACAAATTTCTTTCCTACCCCAAATTCAGCAATCCATATAACCCTGGGTAGAAAGTATCTACCAGGCCATCCCAGAGGAAATGTATCGCACAAACCACCACCTGTTATCTTGTTTGGAACAGTATGTTGCTCAAGAGAGCCAGGAACCTAATAATTATTGGAACACTATGATTCCTCTGATCATGTTAGGGAAATTATGCATACTGAAAGCAGAAAAAATTGATTTCTCCACATTTCTTATTCAATGAACATTCCATGACAGTGACAGAAGTAATCTACTAATAGCTCACCAATTCCAAGATGAGTATTGATGGAGGCATAGCGGGCAGTTCCTGTTAAGTTTTTATTTTCACGATATGGAATGTGTTGGTGGGTTCGAGCATCTCGGTATTTCTTGGCCAGCCCAAAATCTATGATGTAGACAAGATTGCCTTTCTTGCCTAAACCCATCAGGAAGTTATCAGGCTTTACATCTCGGTGAATGAAGTTCTTCGAATGAATATATTCTATTCGGCTAATCTAGTTGTAGAAAAAACAAATTCAAAGTTATTGAACATGCAAGTGCTCTCAAATTTCTGAAATGTATGCACGCACACACACACCAATAGGAGGCCACATTTAACAGCTAATAATGATGGATTTCTCCATGAAGATGCCTAGTTCTCCTCAACTTTAATCTTTGTACAGAAGCACAAACTAAAATGCCTTTAGTTTTCATTTGGAGGACCAAATGAGTTGTTCAGAATTAAGGATTTACATAAAAATGGTTGTTATCCAATGAAGTTTTTATGTATTATGCACTGATCAACCATTTCTGTGGTAGCAGCAAACAATATTCAGAAAAAAAAATTAAATGAGGTGGCTGTGAAAAGTTCAGAAGATTCCATGTTCCAATGTACTGTGTTCAATAATCTTCCCTTATGTTATCACATAAGTCAATGTTTCATGGTAACTATCTAGCAATACACTAAAAAAACCCTATCTGACTTGAGGATTGGAAATTATTTTAAAAGCTGGTTTATCCTGCAGGAATAACAAAGGCTAACATAAATGGTTACTGATTTTTCAAATTAAACAGTCAAAAAGATTCTTAGAAATACAACCTAATATATCACAAGCAGGAAAATGCTTTAGAGTCCAGCTTTATAGCCATTTCAGATTTCTACCTCATGAGATCAAGTTCTGGGAAAAAGCAAACCAAAATATAAAATTTAAAGGTGCACAAATGTTTCCCACTGTAAGTACATGCATTAGATTCATAAAAGCAAATATATCAGACATATTTGTCAGCTGGATTATGTAAAGAATAGCTTAAGCGGTAAGCATTCTCACTGCCCTCTTAAGCAGGGGTGAAAATCTTGTTATTTCCGGATGCTTTGGCCTACAATGTCCATTATCCCTTACAAAACTGATTTCGTTCACCCCTTTGATGATTTCAATCATCCCTTATGCTAGCTAGGGCTGATGAGAGCTGTAGGCCAAAACATCTTGAGGGCCACAAGTTACCCATGCCTGCAAAGGGTTTCTAGCTCCCCAACTCCCATGCAGAACAACTAAGAGAAAGCATACACATTCGAAACATGACTTTCATGGGTTTAACTTTTGTATATTTGATTATTTGCGAATTTGCCATCAATAATTAAATAGGATTTTTTTTGGAGGGGGGAGTTTGCAGCCTACTGCCTACTACTCCACAGACAGTTGAGTGGGGAATGCTCCCCTTTCTGGCTTCCGCCATAATTGGTGTGAAACAGTGTGCCACCCCCTGGTGAGGGTTGGTGCCAGACTTCAGACATGTGTGCGGTCACATGCAAGACTTGCAATACCACATGGTATGAGCTCCCACAGAACAGGCTGCGCTCTGGCATATCAGGTCTTGTTTTAAGTGAAAGGCTATTCAAATTGCAAAAGAAGTAACTGTAATACAGCTACCAGTACACATATGGTCAACATATTAAGAGTTAAGATGGGGGTAGAAATATTAGCTTTTTTTCACTTGAGTGGGAATCCTGTGCCCTTAACTCCTGTAAATGTAGAGGGCAAACTGTATAGCCTAAAGAGTTACTAGTTTTTGCATTTTTTAAAGGAAACCCTCCTATCCAATAACTAAGAAACTGAAAGATTTTAATACCATTTGGTCAGCAAGCAAAAGGACTGTCTTGAGGCTGAATTTCCTTGAACAGAAGTTAAAGAGATCTTCAAGGCTTGGTCCTAACAACTCCATCACCATTACATTGTAGTCACCTTCGGCACCACACCATTTGATTGTGGGAATGCCCACTAGAACGAGGAAAAAATGATTATTCATAGAATTTTGTGAAAATTGTAGTATATAAAGGATATTGAGAAAGAAAATTTTCCATGTTTCCACAGATAATGATCTAAATTTCAGCACCCTTTGTTCTGTTTCTTGGGGACAACAGGAATTGAGGAAACCACTGGGGCAAACTGGACAGATATGCTCCCAGTGTGATATGGTGCTTCCATCAGTCATCTAGGAATAAATAGATCACATTATGAGATCAAGAAGTAGGCCCATGATAATAGCTGCATTATGAATCCTAACTGGATGGGGTCATCTAAGAATGTCAGATATAAAACTAGATTACAGGATAGAGATTGAGGCTCTTACACCAGCACCTGAATTTAAATTCATTTAAATGAATTTAAACTTGTCTTTAATCTGTATAATTTACTCTGTGTGCAAAACTTGTCCCACACTTTCTGTAATGGAGACCACACACAGCCTCAATTGCAACTTGCTTCAAATGATTCTTCCAAAGTAATTTGGAGGAAGGTATCAAGAATCTCCATTTTCAAGGCTGCCAACCAAGGCCAACAATTCTAGCATGTCATGATGCTGTATTCATTATTATCTTTCCCAGAGAACATTTGTTATTGGATGACTTAAAAATATACTAACAAAATAACTTTAAGACAGCCTGAACCATTTGTGTAGTTAACTCAAGAATTACCAGCATTGGAGAGAACCAGAATCACACAAGTTTTGGCTTCTTTTCCTAACTTCAAAATCCGAGCAGTTGGTTAATTTTTAAGAATGACAGTCCAGGGTTGACGTTACTGGCAGAACATAACTCCAAGAAGATATATCACACAGGAGGCTAAAAACCTCTTACATAATACCAAACACCCATATTTCAATAGTTTCTTCCTTTTAATAATAGAACTCAGAGATGATACCTTGCAGTTTTAAAAGTACAGTATCTAGAGCTGCATTAAATACTGAACAGACAGATAATATCTGAAAACTCTTCTCTCTTGAACTTGCACACTAGGTTTTGAGATCATTAAGTGATTCATGATCTGTTAACCCCTCCTGAAACTCAGAACAAGCTACCCAGCCAGACCACTGGGCAGACCAGAGCAGTGTAATACTATTCAAGTGGGCTGGGCTGCACACAAATTATCAGTGTGGTAGCGTTCAGCCTACATTTTATTTGCACTGAACAGCGAATTCAATGTGAATTCAAAGGCTCATTTGATTCTCCTAAATTACAAATTATTTATTAGTCTCACAAAAAGGAACCATGCCTTACCATACAGGAATACTAAGAATGAAGATTAAGCTATAATTCCATCCTAACTTAGTTACTCAGCTGAGGTACTTCTAAGGATGCAAGCTGAAATGCATTCTGCAAATTAAAAATATTTAGTGATAGCTTGCTAGTGAGTGGCAGGAAAAATGATTAAGCAACGATGCATACATTTCTCCTATACTATACACCCTTTTTGTTTATACCTCGAACAGCTGCTTACCTCCACCCTGCATCATCTTGTAAATCTTGCTCTCTATATGAAGTTGAGGATGTTTGGTTTTCACACATTCCAACTTGATGGCAACCTCTTCTCCAGCAGCTATATCAGTACCTAAAAGAAAAAAAAAATGGAACTCAGTGTCATAATAGAAGACAGTCAAAACTGAATTGACCTCAATAACTGCTACTGATCCAAGGCTTATCTAGCCTAGAATCCAGCATCACACAGTTATTAGAAGCACATAGTTCACAGGACCTGCAGAGTACAGATGCACAGTGAATCCTACACAAAGAGACAAAAAGGGTGCATCTATAGTGATTATTGGGATAACAACATGATGCCCCTCAGATACTTTTGCCCACAGTTCCCATCAGCCTCAACCAACCTGGCCAATGATGACCAATTACAGCAACTGGGTGCAACTGGTTCAGGACTCCAATTTGTGAAAATGAAAAGCTACTGTTGTAATTTTGCTTGACTGAATCAAATTAAAATCAATTAAATTTTACTAATTTTAGTACTTTATTAAATTTATCTTTATATACTTTCTTATATACTTCTTTAAGGGCTGTCAAACTAATTAGGAAAATTATCCAGTTCTATTATTCAAGTATTTGTTAAAATTAATAAATGATTTTGGAATACAGACATGGAAAGTGCAGACTGAAAACCATGATTTATAAGCTTTTTGCAGAATAGGAGTTCAAAATGTATTACAGAAACAGATCAATTACAGGCAAAGTTAGTTCATCTTAAGCCTCACTAATTTTAATGGGACTTCAGTTCAACTAAGTTTGTCTGGATCCAAGTAATTATTGCTACATTAATTAAAAGAAACTAACAATGAAAAATGACCTTGGAAAAAGGCAACCCCACGTCACTTCACTTGCATGGGAAGGTGCCATAATCAATTCATAAGAGCTCTGGGGACTATGAAGATAGTCCCAGTTGTTTGGATCCTGACCAGACTATTTGTTTAACTAAATCTAAAACAGATTAAATGATAGACATATAAAGCTAATGAAAAGGAAGTATAAGAACACAAAAGCAGCCATGACAGGTCAGAATAAGGCCTAACCAGTCCAGTGTTCTGTTTGCACAGTGACCAAGTAGCTGCCTGTGCAGAACCCACAAGCAGGTTTTGAATGAAACTGTACCCTCCCAGTTGTGCTACCCTGCAACTGGTGTACATAAACATACAGTCTCTGATACTGGAGGCCATATGCAGTCATACAGATTAGTAGCCACTGCTAGCTCTATTCTCCGTGAATCTGAAAGAGCTTCTGAATATTCTCCTGTCATAACAGAAGGTTCTGACACAGGGAGGCTTATGACATATTTTTAACATTTATAGATTGCCCTATAGCCCAGAAAGTTCTCTGGGCTGTTTACGATAAAATATAGTAATATCAACGGCAGCTACAACAATTGGCCCCACCAATTATTATAGATTGCTCAGCAGAGAACACAATGACCTGGTTCACAAATAAGGTTAATGTGTCATTCTACCCAGCATTTGTCTAGCTGTTGATTGAACATATGATGGACTTTTTCTTAATCCTAGAGTTGCTGTTTCACTCCTCCTTTGACTGCTCCCTGCCTATATACCAATTAAATTTGTAGCATGATTGTACCGGCATAGAGAGTGACTTCTTTAAAAAAAAATTTGGCTCCCCCTCTGTAGCCTGGCAAAACAATTCAGAGTTTACAACTCAACAATTTTCTTTTTGAGTTGCTCCAGGTTAGGAAACCATGGTATGTTAGTGCAGCTGGGTTCACACATCACAAAAACCCAAAATTCCACAATAAGTTAGTTTCATCAATCATGGGTGTTATATGCAAACCAGTTCAATCACTAAGGTCACTTTAGGCACACCTTGACCATATGACTAATTTTGAAAAGTAAAATTAATTTCCACTCTACATCACTTGAAAAGCAGCTTAAGCTTTTCTGAATGTACTTTCATGGTTAGATATTGCAGTGATACATTTTATGTTTTCAATCAATATAATCTGCATTCATACAGTGGCACTTTTACATTACCTACTCTATGCACATTCAAATCTACTGATTTCTGCAGGAGAGTTAGCACCTCGTTAGTTCTAGTTCAACAAAATCATTCTTAAATAAAACGGGCCATGTCCCATTATTTTATCTACTGTGTGCAAGTCAGTCATTAGATTGCAATTAACAGTTTCATATGGGTTTTCAATTACTCAATTTCCCAGTATTCACTAAGGATACAATCCTATTGATTATACTCTTGATGCTCATAAGATCCTGAACTCAGAGGTTTACAAGATCCCAGTGCAGAGTGGCAGAAACTATCTCTGCCTCCCTCTCTGCATTTCAGCTAGTTGGCCACTTATCTCCTGCAACCTCTCTGAGGTTGTTTTTCTGTGGAGAAAAAGCCAACATGGTTCTTTCCATGCCAGCTGAGATGGGACGAGGATTGGAGGTATATTCTCAGCTCTGCAGTTAGAAATCTGTCTCTGATCTCAGATCAGGGAATCCAAAAGACCCTATGGCTCACAGATGGCATCACAGGATTGCTCTCTAAGTTGTTTTGCTTTTGTTTGCAATGCAGTACACTCTTTCGTAACATAATCATGTGCAAATGATGTTCTAGACCCAAGTCAAAGGAAAAAGAATGCCAGGACCTTTGGATGATAAATAAAATAAACCCTATGTTCTGTCTTTTCCAAGCCCAGAAATTAATCAAGTTGGAAGAGGCTGGAGCAGACCACAAACGACAGCTGAGTCCATGGGTGCTCTAGAGTGCAAGTAACTTGTTAACTATGCAATAGGTTTGCATATAACAACTCACTACAGTATGCCCTTGTCATGGCTTTAATATTGTAAAGGTGCTGGCTGCCACAATGGGAAACTCCACCCATAATGGATCCTTGTTACATGTGACCCAGGCCTAAGGCATGCAATAAACTCAATCATTCCTTTAGATTCAGGCCCTGATTTAATCAAGATTTCCGGTTTTAAGACACTTGTCAGTCATGAAGCATGTTCCTCTGTAGGAGATTTCCACAATGTTTAGCACTAAAAATGTACACAGATCTTTTAAGATTTTAATTTTATCTTTTAATTTAATGAAGTTATATGCTGCTACAATAGCCCATATCCAGATTCTCTGCACAACTCACAATATAAAAAGGGTTATTTAAGGTTGTAGTTTATTTACTTATTTGTTAGGGTATGTAGGCATACTTTTGCATATATATTCACTAAGACAACCCTATTTAACATCTCTTGTATTAAGTCTTCCATCCTGTATATGTACAATGCTCTAAAAAAAGTGATCCGTAAAGGATCACTCATTTAATTGCATATTCTCAGTTGAAACATTCTCAAATTAAATATTAAGTCCACCAAGCAAAACCACATACATAAATAATGTATTTTTATTCACTTAACATGGAAAGTCCAACTGCAACAATACACATATTCTTAGTGACTGGGCAGAATTTCATAAGTCTTAAGAAAACAGAAGCTGACTGAAGGTCAGGTTTTGGGAAATACTTTGGCATTAAGTAACAGATTACAAGAAAGGTTTCTCCATTTCTAAATGATGTTGTTGGCTAGCATTTAGAACTGATGCACAAAGCTGAATGCTACTCGATTCACAGCTTGTTATAGTAGCAAGTGCTTTTTAAAAATACTGGCAAAAATAACTTGCACATGAAAGCTTTGAAAACCCACACCATCCAAAAATTTGGATTACAATGCATTTTATGTGAAGTTTAAGTAGATAATTCAGTCTAAAACAATATGAAGAATTAACAACAAGGCACAGCCCCTAAACACATCTGCCAAATTTCAGATACAGACTTGAATTTTACAGCTCTACAGAATGATTCTAGGTGGTTCTACTCAGAAGTTCACAGGTACCCATGGAGTTCACAGGTAAGTGGGTATAGGACTGTATTGTTAATGACTTCAGAATTTCCCATCAGATGTTTACATTGTGCATACAGCAGAAGCATTGCTGCTGAGAAAATTCCATAATCTCCTCTGTGGAAACAGAACTTTACTATGGATTTTCTGAGAGCCTTCCATCCTGCTTCAAACAACAAATGTCAGCTGATCTCCAGAACATGTTAAAGTCATACACCTACATATCAGTTGATACAAATGAACAGCAATGGGACCTATATTTCAATGTAATAATTCTCTCTTAGTATACATTTATTTCAGTTAAAATGGCATTCTTCAATACCATTGCTGGAAAGGCAAAATTGGGAGTAGCGAACATATGAATCTTTAAAATACATACGGTAGCAGAAGCATTCTTGTATCAATTTAATGTATTTCTCAAAATTTCATAGGAAATCTCATACTACTGGAATTACATTTACTTGATTGAAATTGTTCTGCTTCCTATAAGAGCAATCAACTCTTGAGAAGGTCCTTTATGCATTTTAATCAATTAGGAATCTAATTCAGACACTAGGAATAACTTTAACTCAGGTAATAAAAACAACCCTGTTAGAGAAACTAGAAGTAGCACCTTAAGATGAGTAAGGGAGGCAGGCAGCCAATCTTAGCCAATTAATTTCACTGAAGGGAAATTTCTCCCATCTCTATTAATGTGACATCTTTCTTAGTTCTATAAAGTGGAAGTAAAGGAGGAAGGGATGTCAACAGTCCTGAAACTGAGATACAAAACTGGTGGTGTGATCTCATGAAAAGCTCTGGATGGAATTAATTTTAGTAAGCAAGACTACTGCTGTCGGGCAACTGCTGAAACATACTGGTGCCAAGCTTACACACATTACAGGCAATCATATTAAGAAGTTTGTTAATCATATATATGAAATTAGTAGCATATGCATGACTAGCAACTGTGCAAGCTTAAAAAATAAAAAATAATGTGAATATTCTCAGTTTTACATTTGTGTGAAGATAATGTATCAAAGACATTGTCTCCATTATGGTACATAATTTTCAGAAAAAAATAAGCAAATTAAATGCTCTTCCTCATGAATTAGAAAACCCAGGATGGTGTAAACTAGTGTTCTGCAACAGCAAGGGATTGGACCCAGTGGTCTTCTAGGCCCCCGTCAACTCTACTATTCTATGATTCTTATTAGATAGCCAAATTGGCTATGAAATTAGGAACAAGAATATTAATAAAAGTCCTCTCTGACGCTATACAAAGTTTCCCAACCTGCCCAACAACTTTAATTATAGGTGGAGCTGCAATAGATTGACAGTTCTTTCTCCTGCTGTACTGGAAACACGCCCTTTTTCAGAGCTCCAGAACCACTACATCATAACCCTCAAATGAGCAATGATAATCTATGGCATGAAGCAAGGGGAAACTCTTAAAAGCAGTTGGAATACTTAGAGATTTCTAGTTCAAAATTAGGAAAAACATCACCTAATAAAAAAACTTGATCATTGTATTTCCAAAATCTTTTGAATCAGACTTCTAATCCTGGTTAAGGTATACTGAAATATTGATTGTTTAAAACCCTCTCCAAAAGAGAACTAATAACAAGTAACTTTGCATATTATTTAATGTTATTACTCATCTCATACAAAACAATGTACTGGAGCAAACTCATGGGGAACTTGGTATCCTTTCATTTAACAAGAAATATTAGATTTCACAAAAGGATTCACCGCTCCTCACATGTATACATTAGTGTATTTTTAAACACAAGAGCTCAGACTGGGATTGACTGACATCCTTGTGCAGTAGCATGCATAGTCAGCAATCCTATTACAGGCATTCAAGTGCATACTGCAATGCACAGGCATAAGCCATTGCAGGATTGAACCCTGAACTATTTGCCAGCATCATTTTCGGCCATCAGGCATTTTTCCAGCTTACCTTTCATAAATTCTTTCCAACTGAAAGGAAACACCCAGGCTAGCTTACAACATACAAAATGCAATAGAAAATCTACATCTACCCTCTGGGTGTATGAAAGATTTATTACCAAATATGTAAGTTAGCAGGCCTCTGAGTCAGATTCACAATCATACACCTAGCTAGGTGACTAGGTTGAAAATAACTGGGTATGTCTTTCTTCTATAAATTAACACTAAGGTATACTTTAATGCAAAGTTAACATTATTCTTTTTTTTTAATCATGGCAGGTATGACAAGCAACAAAAGGAGTTAGTTTACAAAATAACCTTAGATCTAAGCCACAATCTTTTGAAAACTATACTACTTCCTGGAGGCCTCACCACAAGCACAGTTCCATCCTCGTACAATTTTCTGTCCATGGACAGCTGGTATAGTCCCAAGACTCAGACTCTGGTATCAGGTATCAGAACCGGCCAAACCGTTCGTCTCCATAACGTCTTGTAGCCAGGTTTTTTTCCAAACCAAGCCAGCAAGAGAGGATGGGGGAAGGCAAGCAGCGACTTGCCCAAGGTCACAAAAGGAAGTTACTGGACACTACTGTGGATTCCAGTTTTCATTTCCCCCCAGTGAGAACTAAAGCTATAGTCGTAAACATGTTTGCCTGGAAGTAACTCCCACTGCAATATGTGGGTCTTTCCTCAGGGTAAACATGCTGTAATAGCGCGGCCGAGCATACCACCATTTCGGTCGATTATCGTGCTTGATGCGGCTCTTGGGCGTTCCTCTGACACCTCAAAGGAACAGATTCAGTCCGTTGGGAGAGCTCGACCAAAAGGCCCCATCAAGACGCAGAGTAAATTCACGTCTCTCCCTGAAAAGAGTCGCCCTCCTACCGCAGCCCCCAAAGCCGGGGTCCCCGAAACGCTTGCTTCATGCCAGAGCAGCGCCTCCTCACCGAGGTAAATGTCCCCGAAGGAGCCGCTCCCGATCTTTCGGCCAAGCCGGTACCGGTTCCCGACTCTCAACTCCATCGAGGCAGCTCGATTGGACCCAACCCAGTCGTGAGGACCCTGACTCAGAGCAGGGGAATGCCAGCGACCATCGCGCCCTTAGAGCCGTCTCTCGACACCGGAGGGGTTCGGGGGCGACAGCGCACCCCGGGCGGGGAGGATGGACGCAGATTCCCCGAGACCCGGATCCCCCCTGAGCTGAGCTAAGTCCAAGCCGCCATATTATGTGACCTCACTTCCTTGGCAACAGGGGGTGGAGCCTGAGACGGAGGCGCATCCCTCTGATTGAAAGCTGGATCCAGGGACGGGTCCCGGGCCGAGGCCCGACCGCCTCGTCCCCACAACCACCTCAGGACTACTACTGCTGCTGGCAGGAGCCGCCTGGACCTTTCTGGCGCTTCGTTAATCACTTGCAGTCCGATATAGCTTGGTAGCGGGCGGCATCTAGCATGAGCCAAAGCGGCCATTGCCCCATAGGCAGGCTCAGTAGATTTTGTTCAAGAGTGCGCGGTTGCGCCGCCCTCCTAAGTTGTGAGGAAGTTCATAAATAGCCAGGCTTCTTCAGGCTAATAGTCGAATCTCCATCACAGTACTCTCTCATTTAAAAAGTTTAAAATGTTGACAAGCCCCATACGCGTTCTGATGATACTGTGACTTAGTTCACACATAACATAATGGCGCATACTCAATTCATACTGTAATTATGTGCAAATGAGTTTCGTGCGTAAAAGAATTTCAAACCGGTTAAGCTAATGGTGTGCTGTCAGAGGCCTTGTTAAGTTAGGGTATCCAAGGTACTTTAGGAGTTATCCTGACCGTTCCAAACAATTTTAATTTATCATGGTGATAAATTTAGCTGTATCATATTTCAAATGCTCTATTTTAGCTGGAGATAAGAAGTCAATCCACATGGAAAAGAGAGCTTCCTCATTTCTCACACTCACTCAGCCAGAGCTGTCAGTGTTCTGAACATCAAATGGCAATTTTTGCACAATATATTTGAACGTTATTGGGCTACTAGGCCTTGCCATCTGTCCACTTCCTTTGAACATAATTCTTATCAAGAGCATATTTCACAAATCCACTTGGCCAAAAATAAACCAAAAAATTCACATGTAGTGATACTCAAGTGATTCATATTTTTCAATAGCCATGGTCTATTTCACAGACTTGTACCATAAAGCAATTGGTTTCACATTGAATTCAGTCAAAATGCTTGATAATGGAAATTTCCATCTGTAATCTTGTTAATTAACATATTTTTAAAATCTGATCCTATTTTGGGCAATTCTCCCTCAACCAGCTGCCCCATATCCCCCCTTCATTATGTTCAGGAACACCTCCCTCACTATTCAAAGGTTCTTTGTGAGCTGTGGGGGGAAAAGCTAAGAAAGTTTTATGTCTTACTGAGCTTGCATTATAAAGCAATTACAAAATAACATTTACAAGGCTTATCAAGTTAATTTTCTTATCTTTCTTTTAAAATATACTTAGAAAACACTAAGTAGATTATAACTTTATTAGGCTGTGAATCACACTGATTTCAAAGGTATACTCGGAATATGAACAAAATATTCGATGTATTTTGTACATTAATAACAAAGGACAATTTTTCCTTTGTTATGGGCATATTTTATAATTGATTTGACTGCAATTTTTATTTGGATTTTTTAAACTGTGGATACATGCATATGAGTGTATGGATATTTTGAAAGATTCTTTATTTCAATGGCCCAAAGGAAGATGCAACTTAAACATGTGTTTAGTTTCCTATTTATCTTGGTAATGTTGGTAATTTTCCATTTTTGCTGGTTTTTTCAGCTTGATGAGACTGTGAAATATAGGCTAAAATACTTCAAATTGCTTCGACTTAGATTCACTATTTGAAACCATGTTTTGCATTCTTTAGTTAAGCAGCAGTACATAGGATAATGCTGCAGAATTATGAGCTAATATTGCATATTGGGTTTTAACTAATTCAGACAACTTTACTACTGCTGGGAACATTTAACTGCACTTGAAAAATAAGGCTTTAAAAGATGCTTTCAGCCTATTATAAGGAATAAAGTATCCACCAGTGACCACTTGGGGCCAGTATGACACCATTGCTATTGAGCACAGGAGACTGACTTGGAAATTTAATACTTTTTACTGTCCACATTATACAAAATATCACAGATTTATGAAATTCTCAGTATATGGAAGAGAAACTCAGTTTACCCCATGAGGGAAAGCAAGTAGTCTAGGCCCAAGCATGTATTATTGGAACAGACTAATACTCGATTCCTGCATTTGGTTTCAAACACTGGTGATGCCATTCCAAATTATTTGACCTCTATATCTGGTTCTCAGAAATGTGCTATGTGTAGCAGTAGATACCGCATTCTTTTGGCTACAATGCATAGGCAGCCTGTTCTCTGTGAACGTGCCTAATCCAGATACCTGATGTCAAAGAGTACTTCCATGCACGGTCAAACAGTACTGTCTAAACAATGGGTACCCAACCTTTTGACTTCTCTGGGCCACATTGGAAGAAGAGAAATTGTTTTGGGTCACACATGAAAGCTGATGAGCCAAAAAGTCTGCGGATTATTTTCCTGATATCCATCACCACAGAGAAACAAAAGTCTTCACATAATAATCCTAACTATACAGTACCCTATTTGGAGAGTATTTAAAATCGAGCAGAAAAGAGGGCAACATAAATCTAGTGGGATATTTGAAACTGTATTTGAGAAACTAATGCATCAATATCTGATTCTATGGAAGTAGTCGTAATTCTCAGTGAGTTCTCAAGGTGCTCATCGGATATTTTGGTTCTAATTTTACTCTTAGTTGCTCACAAATGTAGGTACTGCCAAAAAGCGAAGACATGAATAAGGCATGATTGTGAAGCGAGGAATATTTGTCTCTGGCAAGATAGGACATATAAAAGTCCATGATCAATTTTTTCTTTAAGCTGAATATCAGATTGCAGCTCTATGCATTCCATTTGAAAACTGGCAGGTAACATTTATGTCAACTGAAAATGGAGTTGCAAATACACCAAGATGGTGATTATTTTCCCAGAAATCGTGAAATCTTTTTTCAAATTCTTGTATCAATTAAAAAAGCAAGGCTGCATGTTTCACCGTTCACTTAACTGTGTTTAGCCAACATGTCAAAATGTATAAAATTGTTTGCAATGGTAGGTTGAAATATTGATAATAGGTGCTTTTCACTCGTCAAGTCACCGTGAGCACATGTAATGTATGATGGTGTCAATTCAACTGTCTGTACTTGGAAGACAACACATTGGAAGCTGTACACCACCATAAAACTGAACCTATGAATGTGTACAAATAGCAAGAACATGTGTACATTTATTTTGTGACATTGCGACATGATGTTGTTGTCTACAAAGTTCACGCTAGTGAACTGTGCAAGCAAGTTACAAAAAAAAGTTTTAAGTACGTTTACAATTTTGTGTTGGCCTGCATTCACAGCCATCCTGGGCTGCATGCAGCCCGCGGGCTGGACACCCCTGGTCTAGACTACTGAACTTTAGTGAATATAAATTCTAGCATTTTTTGTGAAAGGAAAAATGCTATTTAAGCACATTTAACTAAATTCCACTGAAGATCAACTACTTCAGACTGCAAGGGAGGGATGTTTGTGTGTACTGAATGTTCCATCTGGAGAAAATTTCTGTACAGAAAAGGAGCATGATAAAAAAGGACAACGCTAAAACTATTTTCTCCAACATACTTTTGCCTCTCTCCTTCACCCAGGCCAATCTGTAGTATTATATGTCTATCCCACCTTTTCCCAAGACTTCATGCAGTCCAGATGGTTGCCCCACTTGACATAATCATACAGAAAAGTTAACACATTCCAGAATTGTGTTTTTATATAGATCAGTGATGCAGCAGAAAAATATTGGAGACCAATTTCTGTAAGTTACCAAAAATAATATGTATTGATACTCATGTACATACATATAAAAACATCAAGGCAATTCACAGAAAAGTCCACGTTAACACCATCTGTAGAAAGAAATGTAAGAGCAGTAGTCAGCATATTTTCCCTTTTAAAAGTGTTATCTCTCTTAATATATAATTGTGCATAACCTTAACAAGTCATTGAAGTAACTGACAGCACTGAATGTCTATCATTTAAATTTCACATTTAATCTTTTCTACAAAAGGTAAACAAATCCACTTGGATCAAGATAAAATGCATGTTTTACCCACTTTGTGCAATGCAATCCTACGTATGTATACTCAGAACTAAGTTCTAGCAGGTTCATTGGGTCTTTTCACCAAGAATCTGTAACCTAGGTACACCTGTGTGATCAAGTTTCCTTTCTTCAAATTTAAGTTTCAGTGACTCCACAGCAAAGTTAGGTCAATTTGAACACCTTTACAGGATTTGCAGTAGCTTTAGTTTACCATGCGGTCCTCTTCTTGCCCAGAGGCAAGAAAAGCTGTTGTGCAGCAACAGGTATGAAGCCTGCAGGAAAGTCTAGGTGTAGACAGCAGCCTTCACACGCAACCGAAGTTGCTCCCTGATGGTTTAGCATGGGAAGTTTTCTGTATATTGATGAAACAGAAGATTAAAAGCTTTGATCTCATATTCATGGAACTGATGGGTACTGCTGCATCCAGTTAATACCTTTCTGCTGATGAAAGGCTCTTAAATCCAGCAAAGGTATAGAAATTTTGCAGCCTTTGAGTTACCTCTCCAATTGCACCAATACACCTTCCCAACACATTGGTGGAGATCAGGAATAGTACAGGAGAAGAATTGTTAACACACATGCTTTATCATGCTGCCAGAAGCCTCTGTTGGTGGAGGAGTACCAAGTGGATATAAAGAACTCTCATTGGAGAGTATGGTCAAATAGAGCAAGATTAGTTAACCACCCAGACAGCCTCAGCTATTGGGCAAATATGTAAGATTATATGTCATGTTTTAACATGACACATAGCTGAATACTGTCTACTAATGACACAATTCTAAAATGAATACTTGTACAATATATATGGCCACCTGAGTGCTCTGCCAACTATCTGTATTTTAAAATTTATTTTCCTGTACAAGATGAGGGAACATGCTCTTTATGGGGGCTCCCAAATTCACTAAAAATTAGAGAACTTAACATTGTTATACCATCAACCATCTGATGAAAATGTCTTTGTTCTTAGGACAAGGGGAAAAAACATTTAAGCTCTTGAGCCAGCAATTCCCCTATAGTACTTCTGGTTCAGTTGATATTTACCTCACTCTAAAGCAACCAGTTTAGAAGTCCGAGTAATGTTTCAGCCTGCAAAGTAAAAACAGAATTAATACATAAGGGTTTAGGAGCTATTCTCACCCTATGTTACACACCAGTTTGTTCCCGTTCTTTAACATACATTAGTTATAAGCTATTTTATGAAAAAGATTCTTAGATTTTCATCTACCAAAAAAAGTTTTATTTTAAAATGTTAAAAAGCAAGCAAAAAATGTACAAGTCCTCAGATAATACACGGAAAGTGTAAGCATCCTTATATAAACTTCTAAAAAGGGGTGAAACCTAGCCAGAGTTACTATGTATTAAGGTTGTAATCCTATGAACCATTAGGTGCACTTAAGCACATTGCTTTGGTTGTTCGGTATGCCTAGCTGCCTATATTCAGCCTGTTATTCATTTAAATAGTAAGGATTTAATAACATACTTTGCTCTCACATTATTTGCTTAATCTTAGCTAAAACATTATGCAATTGCTGGAAATCCATTCATTTCTTCTCTTACCCCCCACTATCCCAAAAACATGATACAACTTGATTTGATTTAGTATGATTAGGTATTAAAAGCAATGACAGTAGCATGCTACAAATCTGCAGCAATCTCTGAGTTAAGAGCGGTATGTTTACAGCAGTACAACCTGATACATACCTGTACAATAATGCTTTGCCTTTACTATTTGCTATTGAAAAATATCCACTTCTTGGAGAAAAATCCATGGAATTAGCCAAGTATATTAGCTTTCTTCTGAATACAGGAAAATTTGAGAATACAGTAAGTGAAGGAAGGTGGACCTATTAAGAAAAATGAAACAAAGCAGTCAAATAAGTTGAGGTGAAGGAAGAGTGAGAGCACAATTGAGTATCGTATATGCCACCCTCTTTCAAACATTAATCTTTACAGCTTCTCTCCTAGCTATGATCTTACTCTGAAGAGCTCCTTAAGCAAAATTTTGTATATGCCCATTAAGGTTTTTTCAGTCTCCCTCCTGCAGTTATCTGTATAGCATCACAAGCTTTTAATATACCCCATAGGCTGCTTTCAGAGTTTTGTTTCATCCGTGGTAGCATCTCCAAAGCAGGGTTCTGCTCAGAATGGTCCTGCTGGTGGAAAGGAGAGCTGATTTGATCTTACATCTCCTAATGCTACCTTTGCCACTGGTTCCATAAGACTTTTCCTTTGGAGCAAGTTTTCCGGAGTTAAAGGGAAGGGAGAAATGGAAAAATAACAAAAACATCTTCTCCCATTTTGCCAGTGGGATTCTTCCAATGAATTAGAGACCTTCTATGGATGGAGGGACCCCTTCCATTGGTGAGACACCTATTCTGGATCTAACCTGAAATTCAAGTCTGTAAAGATGATTATTTATGTAATAAGCTAGCAACAGGAAAGACAAATCAGTTGAGATGATGTTTTCACACTATAAGAACTTTGAAAGAGAAAACTTTTTTAAAGTTCCTATAATGGGAAAACATTACCTCAAGCAGTAACAGGCACTTTGATGTCTCTACGGCTCTGGTATTTATTCTTATTTCCAAAAAGAATATCCCAACTCAAGTCATCCTCTCTATACAATCCGCACACAGCTTCTATGTATGGAAGAGCCAAGACTATGTTCCTGGTCTCAGTTAAGACACACTACATCATAACTACTGAAGCGGCTAGTGGCTATAGAATATTCAAATCTGCTAAGCGCTCAGGATGAAAGTGCCAGCACTACAATGTGAATTAAAAAATAACACTTTCTAAGGGGCAATGATCAACAAGACCACGAGCAAAAACATCAGAAAAGTATCCAGTTAAAAGAGAAACTGCATGCTGTATGCTGGGTTGGAGGCTGAGGAAACGGATAACAACAAAGGTTTCCTTTAGATATCATTCCATTCTAGAATGCTGAAGAAGAATGCTATGATGGAATTACTAGGATCTGAAGGCAAGGAAGAGAACTTTGACAATGCAAATATGGATCAGGGAACCAAGAAATCTATCACTGAACATAATCACTACTTTGGCTACTTGTTCCTTGTTATGAGTTAGTTCAATCTGGTACAGAAAGATCGGTTGAACTTGAATCTAGCAGGAAGAAAGTAAACGTCTTTCTGAAGTTTTAAAATTGGAAAAAATTTAAGGCCAGATGTGCAAGCAGCTGAAATTCTTACTTTAAGAGGATATATATGCAGCCATTGGTTTCCTGTCCACATGCTTTTAAATTTTACTTTACTAAGAACTGGTTCAGGAACTTTTACATGCAGGTCCACAAAAGGAATTTATTGAACCCTTGGCAGCCTGCTGCAATGAGTTTTTATTTGGCATTTTAAGGATAAAATTGCTTGTAATCTGCTTGGATGTCACACTTCCTGTAGTACTGCCTTTGGAGGTGTCCAGTGCACTGTCTGGTCCATCTTTGTGGGATGAGTTTTTGCCTTTATAGGCCAAACGATGTGGACAAAATGCTTGCCCAAGTCCAGCCTACCACAAGCTTTGTTCGATCCTTGCCCGTCATGGTTTTGACTAGGACATAAAGCCCTAAATGGCTTAGGGAGCTCCTTACTCCAAGCATCCCTGCTTGTTTAAGATCATCAATGGAGGCCTTTCCCCACAGATTCTTCTTCCTAGGGAGGTTAAGGGGAAGGTTATGAGGACCTTTTCTGTTGTGGCACCCCAACTGTGGAACACCTTACCATCAGAGATTTTTCAGGTGCCTCCTTTATTGAGTTTTAGGCACCTGACAAAAACTTCTCTTCCAATGCACCTCTGACACTATTTACATTATTCATAATGACAGCACTCATTTTAACTTTAATATTATTAATTTTATTAATGTACTGTTTTGTCTGATTGTATATATGGTGTTTTATTTTGTTTCTGTATTACAATATTTAACTGAATTATTTTATTAATATTGTTGGCATTTTATTGTAATGGCTGCTGAGAAAGCATAATGTCAAATGGGCGGCTTTTATAAAAATGTAGTAATAAATAAGAACCACCAAACTCTCTCTGAACAAGAAAACATTCTTACCAGCTTCACTGCATCGTCAACTTGATTGGAAGCCATTGCCAATATTTCAGTGGTGGGATTGAAGGATAAGGATGTAGCAGCTGTGACCAAGTTCATTATAGCTTTAAGAGGTTTAGGACTAGTTTCTTTGAGACAATCATCATGGGCATATACATTCACAACTCCAGAACTGGATCTGGAAAGAACAACAGTAGAGTATTAGCATTGTGGAAGCAAAGCAAATACAGAGAGCTACAGCACACTGTAGTGCAAGATCAAATGCTTATCCACAGCTATTGAGAGCTACAGCACACTGATACGACCTTTTAATGACACAATTATAAACTTGGACATTTTGAAGAGCTTGGAACTTGAATTCAAGTGCCTGCAACTGCTTAGGTAACAGACTGAGAAGTTTTTCTGGTAGCTTATGCAAATATGGGTCAAATACTTGGCTAGGCTTCCACTTACCCACATGCCACATATTGGCTGTTTTTGGAAATGGCAATAGACGTACCACGAAGACAACCTTCATCAGTAAACCTATTCAGACACCGCCTACTTTTCACATCCCATATGAAGACTTCACCCTCACCTGAGAAACAGACATATAAGGCATTAGCAAAAGCAATATGTTACTTTTAGACATCAAAATGCTGGATTTAGAAAAGTCTGCTAAACTATGAGTGCTATGAAGGCATGATAAAATAGTAGCTCTACCACTTTAAGTAATAAAGTTTTAAATAATAATTATGTTCTCGTTGGATGTTTTTAATAAAAGCACTGACAAGTAAACTCTATGATGCAAAGGGTCAAAGCCACTGTTGTTGCATTTTATAGGAATTTGATCTGGATTGTAAATATTACTGTATAATTTTACATTTTAATGCACGCTAATATAGGCACTCATGTACTAATATAGTACATAACCAGTTCATACTACAACAGCAGCAGCAGCAGCAGCAATAGACATCAGACTGTCCTTTTTCTGAACAATGCATACCTTCAACCAGTCATTCTGCATATCAAGTGTGAAAGCCTTACCCGAATGTGTGTAAATTCTGCTGCCGTCTTGAGAAAATGATGATACTACAGCCCTCCCATTTATTTTCATGCTTCCAATGAGCTCCTTCGTCTATGAGAGATGCATAATAGTTAGTAACACCAAGGGGTTACATTAAAAAAAAAGAATAATCTCATTAATGAGGTGTGCCCTTCTGCAATGAGGGACAGATATTACGGCTACACAAAAACAAACATTTGATTGGCCCAATGTGTTTCATAATATATATCCTGGACACTTTAAAAGCACACCATATTCTTGCTCTTGGTTCCCCATTTTCTTCATTACTGGTGTCTCCCCTCTCATTTCTTTTCCTGCTGTAACCCCAACCTTACTACTGGTTTATTCAGAAGCTGCAGTTTATGCAAAATGCAGCAGCTACACTAAAAACTGGGACTAGGTTTGAACATAACAGTTCTAGTCCATTTGTACTGGGTGTCTGTATGTGCCCAAGCCTGATACAAGGTGTTGGTGTTATGAAGCCTTACATGGCTTGGAAATCAGAATATCTGACAGAGCACATCTCCCAGTGTAACCTTACTTAGACATGACAATCAATATCTGAAGTCCTCCTTGGTGTGCTGCCTTCAACAAATGCTTGGAAGGTGGCAACCAGGAAGAGGGTTTTCCTAGTGATGGCCCCCTGAGTGTGAAAAGGTCTTCCCACTGAAGCTTAACTGGCACCAACTACAGTAAAACCTTGGATTGCGAGCATAATTCATTCCGGAAACATGCTTGTAATTCAAAGCACTTGTATATCAAGGCAAATTTCCCCATAAGGTTCAATGTAAATAAGTTTAATCCATTCTGTAACTTTTTTAATCAGAAAAATTTCAAGCGGGTATGCTCGGGGGAGGGGGGGAGACGGGTGATTGCGATCATGGGCGCACTCGGGGGGGAAGCAGGTCTGATCGCGGGCGGAGATGATGCTGTACTCACACTCACAGCGAGAGAGAAAAAACAGTGCTCAGTTGTGACGTAACATTCGGCAGGCAAAGCGAGCATAATACTTGTACTGCAAGACATCACTCGTTTATCAAGTTAAAATTTAGAAAAACTTTTTGCTCTTCTTGCAAAACACTTGCAGACCAAGTTACTTGCAATCCAAAGTTTTACTGTATATTGTTTTTTTGGTGCCAGGTTAAAATTGCCCTCTTCTCCAAGGCATTTGACAGACTGTATTTTGTACTAAAAACTGTCTAAATGTTTAAATTGGGTTAAAATATAGTACTTATAGAGACTTTATGCCATTATTTTATCATGGTTTATGTTTATATGAACTGTTCTAAACTGCTTAGAGAGCTTCAACTATTGGGAGGTATAGAAATTAATTAATCTTATTTATTCATTAAATGAAGACGTTTACCACACCTTATTCAAAAGTTGATAAACAAAATGGCTATCGGACATGCTATCTGGATTTAACAAATCCTAATCAAGAGTTCCACAGATCATCAACCCCATGAACTATCCATTTGATTAAGTTTAAAACCTCAGCATCACATTAATTTTAGAGTGTTAATATCAACTAGTGTTCATTCTAAAAATAATGCAACAGGCTGCCTGCAGAATTGCACTGCTGTCTGAACTACAACTGCTTCTTTCCAGACATTTGAAGCAACATTTTACCTTCATTGTTAACAAATGCAGGTAGCCTGATGTTCCATTCAGGAGGAGGAAAGTACCATCTGGAGATACTTCAAATTTTCTGATGAACTTCTCCTCTAAACCTTTAAATTCAAAGAAAAGAATGTGATATATTGTTTCAGCATACAAAGGATTAATTTCCATAAGTAACGCCTACTCTATCAGCATAATCCTATGCATGTCTACTCAGAAATAAGCCCCCTGAGCTCAATAGGGTTTGCTCCATTCCAGGTAAGTATGAATAGGATTTCAGTCTAACATATGCCAAATCATCTGTGGCAAATACTTATAAAGGGACTTTTGATTTTATAGTATGAGAAGGATATTGAGTTAAGCTTGTTTATAGTTTAAAGGAGCTTTTAAAAATTGGAAAGAGATTTCACAGGGACTCTGAGAATATTTCATGGGGTACTTTTATAAGTTGAATTTTTAAACTGTTGAAGAGAATAAACAGTTCAGTCCTTTGTCCTGTCTATATAGATGCCATAGTTGCAAAGATACAGAGATATGTACATGCAGTTTGAGTCAACAGATTGGCTTATTAGCCACCTAAACAATGTATTCTCAAGGTGGATATATCCTGTCTTGCACACCTGAACTTCCTGATATCATAAATGCTATTTACTGAGGGTGGGATACAGAAGCTGCTTCTGCAGTTCCCAGAGCCCATCTAATCTACAGAAAACATTCATCTGAACTAGTTATTTAACAGAAGCAGACATGTAATAACAAGATAAAATACCTGCCTAAGTACTTGTGTCTACTTTTGAAAAAATAAAATTATAATCTTGAAGTTTAACAGATCTTGTACACATTCCATTTTAAGCAGAACATAAAGAGCAGTTAAAACCTCACCTCTGATATGGTTTACAGGAATAATCTTTCCACCCATCATGTCATATATATAGAACAGCTTACTGCGAATGCTTGTGGCTATAACCTGCTCGCCATCTGCACTGAAACGTGCCTTGTAGATTGGGAAATCTTCCAAATGAATGCTCTGTATCTTTGGATTAGAGACACCATCCACCTTTAAAGAGAAAAAATGCCAAGATGAAAAAGGAAAGCATGTGACTGTTTAGGATGATTTATAAATGCAAAGATAAACAGCTAGTACCACCTTTCCCTAAACTTAAGTACCTGATTAAAGAAATCTTAGCCTTGTAATAAACACACTGCATCCTTCCCCAATATAATGACTGCAGGTCACAACCTGGCTCATGCATGGGACTGCTACTGCCTGCTCTAGCAGATGCAGCTTCAAAAGAACACAATCTTTTCTGCTTCTGTGCAAACAATATTGAGTTCCTACTTGCCTCCTTGCATGTGCTTGGGGTCATGGATAGTCCTAAGTTTTATGAATTACATGCTGCTTTCATTTCATATACATAGGCATCAGTTCCAGTAACAGTATACAGTAATGGGGTTTTTCCAGGAAAATTAGAACTGGAGCATTGTCCAATGCTCCAAATAACAATCTGTGATTTAACATGCTTGAGTCATGTTTCCTCCCCAAATCACATTCTCCCTGAATGAGCACATACAACTTCATTTTTAATAAAAGGAACTAGGCATATAACAGCTGTTGTTTGTGTGTAGTACAAATGTTTCAGAATTTTTCAACAGCTACAACATATCTGAATTGAAAATTTTAAGGAGGAACAAATTAAATCAACCACAAAATTTAGCTTAAATGTTACATTGTCACATTCAAGGCTTTGTGAAAACTTATTGTACAATTGTAAAAATGTAACTACAGTAGCATATAATTCCTGATGATTGCTTAAATATAACAATGTGACCTGAAGCAATAAACTGTTTCTGAGGATATATACCTGAGCGAGCTAATGTACATTATATTAAACGTTAAAATTCTTTTGCTGGAATTAACAATACTTCAAGGTTTGCTCACTCTCTGCACTGTTTATTGGTTTCACTTCAAGTTGAGAAAAAAATCTAATTGAGAAATAATTGAACATTCTGCTTCACTAAAGGATGGGTGTGGGTTTGGAGTCATAGGCTGGGCAGGAAGTTGCTGCTGTACACGTGTCCTGCTTGTGAGATATTACAAGTGACTGGTTGGCCACCATATGAACAGAATGTTGAACTAAATGTATCCTTGGTCTGATCCAGCAAGACTCTTATGTTCTTAAGTGAAACAAACAGCAATCAATCTTAGTTTCAGTTTCCCTTCAGTTTGTTATTCAAGAATATTAGCAATAGAGGACAAAAACAAACAAACAAAAAAAAAAACCATGCATAAGTCTGGTCCAGACCCAACCAGGAGCCAACCACACTATGCATGGGAAGAAGTTGTCATACCACATTTTTCAGTTCCCTCATGGACAATGAAGCTCTAAGATTTACTTACTTAAAAATCAAATTATAGTTGTTTCTATCCTATATTGAGTCTATCATAATTAATTCAAATACAACAGTCTAAACAACTACCGATAAATCAAAGTGTTATGGTGTAGAAAATGTTCCATTTTGGAAAAATTTCTGCCTCATTTCACTTAGCATGCTGGGAGGAAGGCAAAGCAGAAACTATTATATCTTACATAAACAAAATTGTTTCTCACCTGGAACAGTGAGACACACCGATCAAGTCCAGCTGTCATAATGACTTGAGCAGAAGGATGAAATTGTACAGTTGTCAGTTTTGCATCTGACTGACGTTCATTATTCGCATGTAAACAGTTTTTCATCTAAAAGGCATTGGAATATATATGGTCACTATAAAACTCTACAATGCATGGAATATAACGTATAGAATTTAATATATAATACAATCTTGACAAACCAGAATGCATAAAAATGCAAAATCTAAGAACTAACACTTCATTACTGGAATATATTCCGGTTAAGTTGCTACTAGTTCAGCCAACTGAATAGGTGATACTTAGTAGCATACGATACCATGCACAGTTCTTCCACTTCCTATTTCATAGAACATATTACTGATCCTAATGCATAGAAATAGACATTCACAGACTAAATGCATCAAGAACATAAAACAACTTTATTATTTGAACATTTTGGTGGAGTTTTTATTTAAAGAATTTTAAACTTGCTCTTTAGCAAAGAAAAAAAGCTTCTAGAGCAGTTTACAAGATCATAATAAAACAGTCTATGCCTTCAGGTTTTCAATCTAAAAGAAATGACACAACAGGAAAAGAGACTGAGAAGAAGGTTAAGAAGCAGTGTCTTAGCTGCATGGAAGAAACTGAAAATATAGCCTTTCACAGAACATGACAACGTAACGGCAGTTGCTGAATCTCTGCTTTCAGATAAATTTTTCTTTACTTTTAAAAGTTCCCCATAACTATATCGTAAGACAAATTTGCTGACAAAGTACGAAAATGCTGTCAACTGTATTGTATGAAGCCTTTTCCTATAAAAGGTCTCCTCTCCCTGAAATTCAACTCAGCTGCACCAAAGTCTATGATTTCCCCTATTATTAACTTGACTTTGACAGCAATTATGTACATGAAAATGGAGCAGAATTTTTTACCTGTAAAATGCCTCTGGGTAGAGAATCTGACATGGTCACAAAATTGCCTGTTTTGCATAATAGATCATCATCTTCATCATCTTCACTGTCCTCTTAAAAGAATAAACATTGAATATTGCATTTATTTTATCTTTGCTTAGAATTATTAACATGTAGCCATAATGATGTGCAATATCAAAATGATAAATACATGGCAAGTCAAGATGTCAGAAGTCTTCAGTGTGTTTATGCAGAAATTAAGTCCCACTGAGACTGCTTTATCTAACAATACTTCCCTAACAAGTGTGTACAATATTTCACTTTAATTACTTCACAGTATAGAAAACCACTCATGTACCTTCATTTTTTCTTTTTCTTACTTTCTTCTGTATGTCCCTCTGTGCCCAAGAAGGGGTTGCTCCCATTGCCCTCTGAAATCTAAGAAAGAAATTGCATTTCCTCTACAATTATTATGAAATTGCAGCTTTATTAAACAAGTAAATCAAAATCTCATCATGAATGTTAATATAAATAGCATGTGCTAGTCAAAGTTGAAGGTTGGCAAGCAGTGGGGTAAGCATTACATGGTAGCTGATAAGAAATACAAAGCAAGCAGTGGATAGAGTCTGTCTTGCTCATTCCTTCCATGTCTTCTGATCCCTTCTAGTTAAACATACAGCACCCGAGATGCAGGAGTAGCAGTCAACTACGTAAACAAAGAACCATGGAATAAACAGCATTCTCCCTTTCTCATCACACTCTCAAGCCTCTGAAGCGTCAAAGTGAATATTTTAAAAGTGTACCCTAATCATTTTGGAATACATTGTCCTTCCTCTTCTGCTTGTTCCTGAAACTCTCTCTTTACTTCTTAAATGAGCTTTCACTATATTAGCAAATACAGATATAATAGTGTTGTTTCTATGTTTTGTACATAATTACATACAGAAGTTTAGAAGTACAATATAATTTACAAATTGTCCATGGAGAAAGCAAGCATAGTCAGGGAACTTCTGAGATGAATTAATTAAAATTTAAACATAAATAATTTTTGTATTAAAGCAGGTATGTGAAGTCGTAATTCAAATGAATAATCTTTAGAAATATACCGCCCTAAATATACTTCCCTGTTCCTATATTACTACTAAAACTTACTGTTCCTGAAGTCTTATTTGAAGCCTCTTTTTGGTAAGCTTCTTTTCTGCATCACTTTTCATCATGTTTTTTCGATATCGATGGGTCATATCGATTCTAGAACAAAGTCATATACAATATGCAGTTCTTTAAAAGCATTCATTTAACTGTGATCATTTTACAAATGTGATTGAGTATGTCACTTAGATTTTTACCATGCAATGGCATCTAAGCCATACTGTGGCATATCCCAGGCTTCCCCAATCTGGTGCCCTACAGATGTGTTGGATTACAACTAGTCACCCAACCAGCAGGTTGGAGAAACTATAATAAATTACATACTGGCGTTAATGGTTAGAGTATTGGACTAAGGTCAGAAACACACACACTCAATTCATCTGTGAAGGTTACCACATGACTTGAGCTACCTACCTACAGCATAAAAAGGGTAAAAAGAGTAGGAAAGACCCCATAAGCCATCATGAATTTATTGCAGAAAAGGCAAAATATACATGAAATAAGTAAATCAGTATTTTGTAAGCACCTGTCAATGTATGCAATCCAGTTAATACACAAAATTTCATTTGATCAGCAACAAGGCCCTAGGAGTTCTAAACCTTTTAAGAGGTCAAATGCATTTTTTTTTAATATAAGAGAAACTAGTTGATAGATAAACCACTTTTACACCCCAAGGTAAGCATGTTAATGTGGATACAAGACTGATAAGAGTTCTACACGACTTGATTAGAAATGCAGTGTTATGTACCCCCTTGAATTCACAAGGCAATTTATTATGAATACTGCTTACATTTCCTCCATTTCATCCTCTTCATCCACCCACACAGGCTTTTTAGATGAAAGAGAGTTGTCTTCTGTTTCACTTTCCACTTCTGAGTCACCAGACTCTCTTTCAAGAAGGTCTCCACTGACAGCATCACTAACCTTAAGAAAAATAAAAATCAGAAGAGCAGTAGAAAGGTTTAACTGTTCCGTAAAATCCCACAATGGTGTGATTCCCAACTATTTATCAGAAAAGATGACAGGAGAGAACTGACATGTTTGGTTTTAGCCATGCTGCTGCTGAAATCCAGAAAGAGTTCTCCTATCTCAATGTGTGCAGGTACTTCTTAATGAAGAGCAAGGAAGGGACTGTTGCCCTATAAAAGCCATCTGATAAGTAGTGCAGGTGCCAACTGCCCTGGACTGTGCCAGTGCAGGCTAATCCTTTTGTCAGGAATCCTGACTCGATTTGGCAATAGAAAGGAGCAAATTTAAAAAGCAATAAATTTGGTCATCACTTGAGGAATGGAAGGGCTTACAACTTTGCAAAAACCTGCATTTTTTTCCAACACCCACAGCTCAATGTGAATTTCATTTCTTGAGGGGACTGTTCTACAAAGCATTTTCAGCAATGGAAATAACTACATAATTACTGAAAACCTAAGAGTCATTAACTATGGTTTTGAAGTCTGAGAGGGCATTCTTCTTTTCTTAATATAATACCAGCTGCTGAATAAAAGGGCTATAAAACCCTTGCTTATAGGCCTTATTAAGATGTGGGAAGGTGGCATGGTTGCTGCTACTTAAAAAAAGTTCCCAATAAAAGATCAAAACATTGATAATATTACAGCTAGTTAGCTAGTTTGACTCTCAGCCTGTCCAATAACTTGTAGAAGGCATTATCCATCAGGATTGCACTGTACAAAATGATATTTAATGATAGATTCAAATTTAATATGAAACAGATGAAGTCTCCACACAGACTGGGCGTTACTCACTGCAGAACTAAGACAGAGGCAACTCTGAGAATGCAGTTCCACTCTCCAGGAACTGACATCTCTGAAGATGAGCTGCTACACTTTCAATTAAATTTCAGCTTTGTTTTACATAAATCATACTTGTGTGAACCACAGCTCATACATTTCTACATCCTGAGAGTTGCACCCTAAATGCTCATCAGCCCCCACACTAAGAGGCTTATGAACAACCTAGCCAGTGCAGGAGGAGCAGTGGCCTGCATTTTTACTAGACACACATTACAGGTCTAAAGAAAATGTTGGGGAGTGAGGGCAGAAATGAGGGGAGTGGAGAGCCCTCTAGATAGTGCATATCCTCATCTTTACCACACTACCTACCATAGCGCCCTGTTATGCCTCTCCTCTGAGGATGCATTACTGATCTCATAGAAGTAGCTGGCTTTCCGAGCCAGGCGTGGTGTGGGAGGAGAGCAGGAGTTCTGCTTCCCAGCTCCAAAGTGGGAGAATACTATCTTCAACATCAGAGCTAGGAATCTGAACTATATTCTGGTGTTTCAGATATGAAGGGCCCTAGGATTGCTTCCTTAAGTGATTGGCATTGCTCAGCCCTTGAAAATTAATATTGTTTCTGGAACATCACACCACTTAAACTATTAACAGACTGTAACAGAACCCAATACAGATCTTGCCTCTTCCGGGATGATGATTAGTCTCCACTCCCCCAACTCAATTCACACTTATGATGTGTGGCATGGTTCTCTGCATTTGCAAATGTTAAGACAGATCTGAGGTACTGAAGCCAACACAAATTCATCAAAATTATTCTTCACCGCTTTCGCTTTGTATTTGTTCACTGGAATATGTTACCATATTAAAGTACCAAGACCTCATCTCACCGCCTCCTGTAACGTTTTTAAACAAACTGAAACAGTAGATTATCTGTATATGCCAAACCCTTAAGCATAGTTACATTCAATGTTAGCTCAAATACATTCATTCGATGGGTCTACTCTAAGTAGGCCAAAAGTGGATAACCCAACGCCCATCTGTCTTACCATTTGATTGAATCCAAAACTGAGCAAGAAGAATAGCCTGAGGTTATCTTTATCTATTTTCTGGCAGCAGCTGCACCCACGTCCTCTGAATATTCACCACTAAACCTCTTATGAGGCTTTCCCCCTCTTCCCAACAAAGCGAAACTCCTGGCCATACATGACAGGCAAAATCCGCTCTCTTGGCTGGTGGGAAGACCCATACCCGCTACGTCCTGGGAGACAGTTGTGCCATTTAGTCAGTCCTCAGCCCGCGCGCGCGTCCGAGCCCCTGGGGGCAAGAGAGGCTCCCGCTCAGTACCTGCGCGGATGAGCCTCGCAAACGCTCCAGCAAGTCCCCTCCATCGTCCACGTCTCCAAAGACGAGCTCCTCCAGGCCACGCTCCGCCGCGGGCGTCTCCGCCAGAAGAGCCAAGTGCTGAGCCCGCCGGACCTTCTCCTTCTGCTCCCTGACGGCAGCCCTGCGGCCATCTTCGTCCGCGGCCTCCTCCGACCACCCTTTTCCCGCTCGGGGCCGCTTTCGCCCCGGCGACGTGCCACGCCGAGCTCGAGCCTTGGTCTCCATGCGCTCCCCGCCTCCGGGCCCCAAACAGGAAACGGAAAGGAGGCCGAGGCCGACCCCGCCTACCTCTCTACCTGACCCGGAACTCTCCTTTACATTCGGAAATGGGGAGAGAGGGGCACAGGCGCACGTGTGGACGCTTGCTGTTAATAGCGTGTCGCGGAGTTAATAAAGCTACGGGGATGCCACTGCATTGTAAAGAAATAGCACAAAGCCCCATAGAGGTGCGGGGCTAGATCAGCCCTTCTGCGGTGGGCTCCCGCCCGCATATGGCTGCGATCACGTAGAGACCAGAAACATCTGCTCTGCGCTACTGTTTTCCTCCTCTATGGCTCTGCCCTATTTCCCTTGAGAAGCATCCTCACGTGACGCCTCGTCTCTCTTTCACATGACCTCAATTTTTCAATTGATTCCCTCCCACCGTTTATTTTTCCTCATAAGAACCGCTCTCTGGGTGGGTTGTTCCACTGCTCATACCATGGTGGGGATGAAAACTGTTTTGTTATTTGTTTTGCATAAACAACAGTGTTGTTTAACACCGCCTTGAAGCCGCCTCGAGTCAAGGTAAAGTAAGAGAGTACATCTGAAGCATCGAGCGAGTTACGATGATCGTCCTGACGCCGTGACTCCAACTACCTTACAGCCCCGCGTCAGCTTCCGCACCCTCTTCCGCATTATAGTTCAGACCGTTCGCCCTGCACGGCAAGCGAGGACGAGCTAAACAGCAAAGGAGCCAATCGGAGCGCGCCGAGGGTTGGGGCCGTTCTGCGCGTGCGCATTGCGGTTATGCTAATGTTGTTGATATTCTGAGGCTAGGAGTTGAATGTCTTTTCTCTCGCTCTCTTTCTCTCTCCCCTCATTAAAGTGAGAGGCTGAACTTTCTTCCTCCTCCAACCTGGCCCTGCCCCTCAGAAAGGGGAGGGGGGAGAGTCCGGGGGAGGGGGCCGAGCCGAGGGGGGGAGGGGGCCGTAGGAGGCATCCCCTGCCCGTGAGGGCCTGATGGAAAACACAAAGGACCTGGTAAGTAGAGCAGAGCAAGCCCACGGGGATGCCGCGGAGTGGGAAGGTGCGGCGTGGGGGAGAAGCCTGGCCGGGCTCGCTTCCCGGGGAGGCTGCCGCAGGGGTCCCAGCGCCTCGGCGGCTGCGGGAGGAAAGGCAACGCTGTGGCGGAGCTCGGGAGCGGAGCTCGGTCCTCTGCGCACGGGGGCAGCGGAGCTCGCCTGAGTCCGGCTGGGAAGGCAGCTTCAAAAGGGAACTGGCCAGCGAGAAGGTCGGGCGGTCCGCGGCGGAGAGCCTTCCCCCACCGCCGCCTCCCTTTCGTCCGGGCACCATGTGAAAAGTGGCAGGCACTCGAGAAAAGTTAGCTTGCTTTGTGTGTGCGGAGCTCGTCTAAATGCCACCGCGCCGCTTTCCGTCCTGTTGCCTGCCGTTTCTACGATGCGTATCCACGAAGGAAATCGGGTCTCTCATGTTGTCTTTTACGTACGCTACTCCTGCCTTGCCTCTGAGTTTATTGTCAAAAGCTGGTGTGTGGAGAGGAATACTGTGGGAGTCATTCCTCTTGGCCTTGCATAACAGCTTGAAGAAGCATATGTTTCGCAGAGGAACACTCGACAGATATAGCCAGCAAAGATTTCTTTGAAGTGTACTTCATTTGGCTACTTCACAAGATTGCAGAAAGTGGTGCTTAGAGAAAGTAGAGGAAAGGTTTAGGTTTTACTGTCTTTTTTTAAGAAGGAAAATGTAGTAACTTGGATTCTTAATAAGTAGGAAAAGTCTGCTCTTGCTCAGCCTTTTTATCTTCTCTTCCTTTTATCATTCCAGTCTTTTGTCTTCCAAAACTTAGAGGTTTCTGCAACCAGCTTTGTTGCATACAAAAATGCTGGAGCAGAAAAAGAATGAATCAGACTTAGCTTGTCTATCGTGTATGCCTGGATTCATTTTAAAACACCCTGAATGGTTTTCTCCTCTCACAGGAAGCACTTTTAAAAGTGAACTTGAAAAAGAGGTATTGAAAGAGAAACTGTCAAATTAAGATACAGGGTAGACTGGCAAGATGCCAGCTTCATTGTGTAAATTATGAAAGACATAAGTTTTTCATGGTATCCAAAATAGACTGACTATATCTGCATTTCTGCATTTTATTTGCTAGCGACATTCTAGTGTTGAATGGCAGTGTATGGTTGTATTCGCTTTTATTAATGAGTGGTTAAGGTGTGAAAATGTGGGTGTTCTTATGCAAGACTTGGGCTTCATTTAAATGTGTGTGAATTTAAACCAAATTTCAGTTGAGATTATGTGGTTTTTAATGCTGCAGATACTGCAGCACCTTTCGTTTCAATTGTATACCCTGTGTAATTTCCTTTAGGGTGCAATCCTATACATGTTTAGACAGGAAAAGCATCCTAAACTTTCAGCATTCCTTAGCCAGCAATGCTGGTAGTTGTAGGACTTTTTCTGTCTAAACATGCATAGGCTTGCACCCTTATTTGAAATGGTTGTGGCTTTGCTCTGCTTGTTCCTTCCTTCCGTAATTGCTAGTATGTACCTGAGAGAGACTGAGCTTTAACAGTAATTTCTCATCTTTTTCAAGGTGTAAGTCCTGCCCTGTTAATTTGCCCATTCCCCATTCGGCCTCTAGTTTGTTTGTTTATTTATTTATTTATTGCATTTTTATACCATTCCTATAGCATGCCATGTATTCCAGAACATTTAATGTGGCATCACTATTGTCTTGAGGTGTCTTTTTCCTTAATAAGAGGACCAGTAATTGGAAAACAAGTCTTCTTAAAATACAGCTTATGGATAGCAACAGGAGAGCATTGTATATGTTCTTGGCCTTGTGTTATTTGATCTGAGGTGGTATTTAGGCCCAGCAGACCCAGTTAGTGCCCAGTTTGAACTAGATTTTCTATTTAGAACAGTCCCAGGAACTTCTGTAGTGCACTTTGGTTCTTTGACAGATACGCAGAGGTTCCTTGTGTTTTTGTTGATGTGGAGAGGTTTCACTAAAGAAGTTCTGAAAATAGTTGACAGCACATGTTATAAATCAACTACATTGTGTCCTTTGCTCTGCTTGTACTAACTAGCAGTACAAGGAGCAAGGCAATACATGATAGAATATTCTGTCAGTCCCATGGACCAGTCTTGGAACCTGCTGCCCTGAAAATAAGTGTATAGGATGAAGACCAATAATAATAGATCTAGTGCTAACATTGTTGTGCTGGCTTATCAGTTGGCTGGTACTGATATGTGGCCTAGAATCATTACATGAAGCTCATATGTGATATGAACTGGACAAAAAGAGCTGTGAAGAAAGCATAGCTAGAAATGGCGTGTCTCTGTGACATCCCAAATGATATTTGATCAGTATGAAGGTATCCTTGTTAAGATGCATGAATAATATTTGGCACTACAGCAACTGTGTATCCTGAGGTTGTAACTGAAAAGCAGTGAATCTGAATGGATGAACTGTTGCTGCTCTGGTATAAACCATCCCGTGTATCGCAGTTCCACATACATATAGAATTGAATGCTAATACTTAAAATGTATATTCCTCTTGTCAGTTCTAATATGTTGAACTTGAGATTACAAGCAGCTTGGAGTGAGGGTTGTTTGCTCTGGGGAGCCAGAATGAGTAATGCTCTTCTGTCTGAGTACATGCTTGATTCCTGGAGCATTCAACTTTAGGAGTGAAAAAAAGCTAGTCTTTGATCATCATAATTGTTCTTAAATGGATGATAATGTAGTGTATAATTAGGTGCTAAATTCTAAAGTGTGGTGTCAGGATTCGAAAGTGGGTCTGGGACTCAGCTGATCTGGGTTCTAGTCCCATCTCAGCCATGGAGCTGACTGGGTGACTTGGGGCCAATCACAGACTCTCAGCCCAACCTACCTCACAGGGTTGTTGTTGTGGAGATAACATTGAGAGGGAGTAACTAATGTAAGCTGCTTTGAGTTCTTAAAAACTAAAAAAGAAAAAGGCAGGATATAAATCTAATAAATATTTGCCCTGGTGCAATCAGGTGTCCTCCATCCTTGATTCAACTAAGCCTTGAGACACAAAGGCTTATGCGCTTTCACTGTAGAGAGCAAGGGGCAGCAGTGTGTTTGCCAGCACAGCTTCACACCCTGCATTGAAGCTCCATGGAGTGGGAAGGAAGGAGGCTGTATTATCGTTTGCTTAGGACTTTGGCCCCAGCCCCCTCCCCTCCCTAGCCTACTCCTTTAGCCGTCTCTAAGGCTGATTTCTGATCTCAGGGAGATGGCTTGTGCTATTATTTTTTAATGTCATCTGTAAGGGAGGCTGGGTGAGGGCTCCATGTTTGGAGTTCCAGCTCTGAGGTTGCAGGACTTCTGGGCTGAGATGCCAAATAATCCTGCCTCTCCCAACCTGGAAAATGAAAAGAGGTCATGGGATTGAACAAAAAACTTCTATTTTCTCTTGTATGCTGTTTTGATATATCAAGTATATGGTATGATCCAGAAGGGGCATTTCTTCAGTAATGATATTCTAATGTGGGCACAATTTGTCCCATTGTGTAGTGCAGGCATTCATACAAAAATTTTAAGTTTGTGGTGCTTGCATATTTTATGATGCTTCTGTCAGTTGCCATGGAAATGTTCCTATGGCAAATCATTAACTGCATTAATAGACCAAGCATCAAGAATAAGTGAAAGAGAAACATATGAGGGGCTAACTGTGCTTACCTGACAAAAGAGGACCCTTAACATTGTAAACAAGAGCAGTTGTACCTTATTGGAAATGGTTTTTCTCTAGTTTTGGTGTGAATCCAAAATACCGCAGTTGTAGTGAGTAACAGGGAAGTTCCACTTTTTTTCTGAATCAACTTGAAAAAATGAGCAAGTAATGAATATTGCTTTGAAAACTCCAAGAAAACCCCTTTGGACTGTTTCATGCAGAGTTCTATTTTGCTAAAATTTTGATTGTATTCCATGGAATATAAACTCTCCTGAGATGAAGAGTTCCTACCCCCAGCAGCTCTCCAGCTTCTAAAAATACTAAGCAGAGGGTTGAAGAACCTTGCTGAATATAATAGGATTTGGAGCAGAAGGACAGAGAGGGAAGAGGGATTCTCAAAAATCAGAACACTTTTTCCTCATGCTTCTGCCCTACATTTTGGAGATCTCTTGTCTCCTTCAGATCCCCAAAATTAAACTCTGCACCACAGTTTAACCCATTTATTATTATTCTCCAGCTGTATGTGTAACATTGGGGGAGGGGGCTGGAAGAACTGCTGTGGTGGGAGCATGGAAGTCTACTTCTGTCAGCCCCATTGCATGCACACAAGTCTGTATCCAACCTGCTATCTGGAGACTTCTAGGTAGGCAAAATGGTTAAACATTTTACAAATAGTGTCAGATACACTATACTTGTAATATATATATATATATATATCTCTTTGAACTCTGCAAGGACCACTGCGGACTTCTTCACATTTAATAGATGACTTATTCCCCTGACTTCAGTATTTCCAAATTTTGTGGAAAAGCTGGAAGAACAACGGCTGATTCCTTGTGAAATGAGAAAGTCTATGAAATTACGCAAGACTTCACATTTTGGTTAGTCAGATTCCTTGTGAAACTAATAAGTCTATGAGACTTATTTTTGCTAACTTCCCAGAGAGTCTTTGGCTATTGGTCAGTATAAAAATGAAATAAACAAACACTGTGTCTGGGTTCACATGACACAGCAACCCATCATGGGTAGCTAGTTATGGTGTACTGTTGTGTCATGTAAACTGGGATGGTTTCCCACTGGATGGTTAGTTGTAGGCAACTAGCCACCTTGAACAATACATGGCTTGTTCTAGGGGTTGCTAAACCCACAATAGGTTGCTGTTTTGTCTGATCCTGGAAAATGATCCCATTGTAGGTCAAGGGAAGCAGAAAGCTAGTGACTCAAAGAGTGACCAGAACCCTTCAACACTCCTGCTGACTTCACCCTTGCCACCACCAGTGACAGATGTCCACTGATGTTGAAGTTGCCCTTTGAAGCAGCTGTCACTGGCTTGCCCACCCCACTCTGATCACAATCTCATTTTGGCTGCTCCTGCTTTCCCATTTTCTTTTGGATGCTTTATATGAAGTGTTCCAGTGATAATCCCTTCAGAGTATCCAGATGGCACACTGGATTTGCCCCCATTAAGTGCTGTCAAAGTATAGGAGGCAACATCCATATATATTGACCAAACAAGGCTGCAGATGTGTTACTTTGCACATGCCCGACAGCTGTCAATTGGCAAAGTGGCAAAGGTATGTAATCCTCTAGTTTTGTAGGATCGCCCCTCCACATTCTCTATACTTTCTCTAGCCTCTAGGTACTCTGGAAAGATAAGGTTATATACCATCTGTCAAAACAACTCTATTTAGCCCTTCAGAAGCCCTGCTTAAACAAAACCCTTTCTTTTGACATCTGTTAAAAGAAGATGCCTATGAAAAGGGTGGGCAGACTGGTACATCTTAGATTACCTTGAGACTAGAGGAAGTGTGGAAAAGGTAGAGGCACTGAAAACACTTAGGGCAATCCTACAGAACCAAGGGATCCTACCCAGAAATAGGGAATGTAGTTGCTACCCTCTTTCATTTGCAAAGGTCCCCTTGGGAGTTTGCTTTCCTCCTGACAATTACTGTTTGACAGCTCTCATCTGAAAATCTAAGTAACAGATTAGCTTATTTGCAACCTTGCTTGTCCATGTGCATGGATGTTGCCACTTGCATTTTGACAGACACTTACCAAGACATTGACAAGGCAAGAATTCACATTTTGGTTAGCCAGATTCCATAGATGTGCACTTCTGAAAAAGTAGTAATAAATATGAAACAATCTGCACACAACTGTGGTGCCTAAACATAATTTTTTAAAGTGCTGCTTGGGCTCTTTGGAGGGCCTACCCCGGGAGGCCTTGCATGAATGCTCTGAGAGAGGAAAAAAAGATATAAGGTATTGGCTTTGACTGAAAAAGGGGTTATAACTGGAGAGGGGAGATGGGACAAGATGTCTTCAGCTCCCTGCTCCCTTGGGACTGTGGTGGGAGAACTGAAGGGGAAGAACAGAAGGGACCAACGCATGGGGAGCCTATACACCATATGGGTTATTCATGGGATGAGTTACAGTGTCCTGTGAACTCATTCTGTGTGTTCCATTGAATTCAACAATATGAAAAGGCTGGGAATGTGGACATTTTTAGGAAAAGTTGAATATAATTTTGTTATCTTATGCTTAGTAGTTTTACAAGACTGCATCGCAATACTGGCTTAATAGAACCTTGTTAAAATGCTGACATATCTTTCATAACTTAATATTCAGAGGTTTCAGTATGTTTCATTTTTCTCTTTAGACTGAACATCCTTCACGGTCAGAAAGGAAGAGGCGTGACTCATTCGGGATGTTTGATGGTTATGATAGCTGTAGTGAGGATACCAGTAGTAGTTCTAGCTCTGATGAGAGTGAAGAGGAAGTTGCCCCTTTACCCTCCAGTCTCCCAATTATCAAGAACAATGGCCAGGTCTACACCTACCCAGATGGCAAGTCTGGCATGGGTAAGTAAAAAGGCTTGGGGTGCAATGATGTGCATGTTTAGACAAAAGAGAGGTCTACAGCCCCCATCCCTTCCATGCTGGGGCATGCTGGGAATTGTAGGCCTTTATTTTTGTCTAAAAATATATAGGATTGCACCTTTCATAAAAGTTTCAATGAAAAATTAAGTGTTCTTAACTTCTACTTGGATATTAGTTGTTTAACCAGAAGCCAAAGGTTGTTGTTGTTGCATGTGTGAGTCTTTATTTGGGAAGACAAATCTGATGCCAGGTACTGTGGCTAAAATGCTTCTCATCGTGAGCACAAGTCCTGTTAAAATATGAATTTAATGCATTTGGTTTTACATAATCAACATTTATATTTATATACTTCAGTACAATTTTGTGGGAATTCTCTGGATTCCAAGTTATATTTAAGAGAACGGATGTTGAATATGCTTGAAAACAAAAGATATTGGTTATCATCCCAATTTGGGAGCAAGGAGGCAAGATAAAATGGGGGAAGCGGATAAAATTGGGGAAGGGGAGTTGTGTTCTTGAATTGAAAGTGTAAGCTGCTAATATAACTAATTTTGGAAGAAATGGGTGTTCCTAAGTACTTGATCATTCTGATGTGTATCCTGTATTGTGGATAAGATAGGAAAAAATATGGAGAAACAGAAAGGTTTCCTATAGGCAAAGACATCAGACAAGGGAGCATTTTATCTCACTATCTGTTGAGTCTGTACATAGAACTTTTCACAAGGTGAACTGGACTTGGATCAGAGGAAGGAGTGAAAATGGGTAGAACATACCTCAATAGCTTTAGATATGCAGATGATACTATATTATTGGTAGAAAGTAGCAATTAAATTAAATTAAATTAAATTAAATTAAATGACTGCTGATGAATGTGAAAGAGGACCATACCAAAGCAGGGCAACAGTTGAACATTGAGAAAACAAAAATAATCACTGCAGAAGAATTACACAGCTTTATTGTCAACAATTAAGAAATTGAAATTGTGAAAGAATATGCACATCTAGGAGACCGCAGCCATGAAATTTAAAAAAAGGCTGAAACTGAAGCAATGAAGAAACTAGAACATATCAAGTGCAAGGAGATCAAAACCACAATCATCCATAGAATTGTATTCCTGGTAACTATGTATGGGTATGAAAACTGTACAGTGTGGGTCCTCAAACTACGGCCCGGGGGCTGGATCTGGCCCACCATGGCCATTTATCCGGCCCACCTCAGAGGTTTTAATGTGCCGCGCGCCACCGCCTGCCTCGCCCCCCATGTGGGGAGGCGGCAGCTTGCTCGCGAGGAGATCGTTTTGGACTCACTCAGGGAATAGGATCTCCAAGCGAGCAAGCCGTTACATCGTGCGCCCACTGCTGCATCGTAGCACGTTCCTGCCCCCACCTTGTCTCACCGCGCCTCGCCTCGCCGCGCCCCCCCACCCCCACCTTGCCTCCCCACCATGCCCGCACACCCTGTCCCTCACCTCAGCGCGTGCGCACCCATGCACCCCACTCCCGCGCCGGCCCGTGCCTCCCCGCCAACACCACCTTTCCGGCCCACGCCCAGCACAGGCACCTGTCAACTGGCCCACCAGGCAAAAAGTTTGAGGACCCCTGCTATACAGTGAAGAAAGGTGACAGGAAGAAAATGGGTGAATTCACAATATGCTGAAGGAATGAATGCCTTGGACTGAGAGAAAGATGAACAATGTGTCTTAGATCAAGCTAGAACTTTCCCTGGAAGCAAGAGCGGTGAAACTGAGGCTATCGTACTTTAGGCCATCACGAGAAGGCAAGACTCACTGGAGAAGACAATAATGGTAAGGAAGGGAGAAAGCTGTAGAGGATCTCACCGACTGTGAGATGAAGTGATTCCATAAAGGAAGCCATGGCCTTGAGTTTACAAGGGCTGAGCAGGGCTATGAAGGACTGCACATTTTAGAGGACTTGTATTCATAGAGTTCTGTAAGTCAGTCAACTTGTTGGCCCATTACAACAGCGAAATATGATTGCTGTTTTATGTTACACTGAAATATTGTACTAGGTGATAACATTTTGCATGTTAACATACCAGCTAAATTCTATTTCCTGCTTACCTCTCCAAGTAAGAAAACTATTATCAAATGATTTTCATGTGTTATGGAAACAAAGGCTATGCTTGCTTTTTATACATATGACTGCTGGTGGAAGAAATTTCTCTGTTAAAAATCACAGCCTTCTGTATAAGAGGAGGACATGGATGCTTTTGATGAAATGTAGCAATTGGCAGCTGTATACAAAGTACACTGTTACTTGTGCAGTATGAATCCACATTGTATACAACAATGTGAAAATGTACTTTTAGCCCTTGAATCAGCTTTTCCTACATACATATTATAGTGAGATATATAGATTCAAAAACATTTCAGTGTGCTTTCCTTTTAATACAAAACTGCCTTGCAAATCTTTGCCCAGTCTCTCTAGTAGAAATAAATTGCTCATGAAAATCTAAAGAAAGCAGAAAATAGAATATAGTGTAGTCTAACATTTATAATGGCCTATTCAGTGTATGCTTGATTAATACCTAGTGGGCTATGCATATATATGTCTTTGCTGCTAAATTAACTTTATTTACCAGGATACAGTTTGAATAGATTTACTTTCCATGTGTATTGCACAGAAAAATCAACTATGGTAGTCAGTGTAATATTTTGTGTCATAGTTTTAATGCATTGGCTATCTTTCTTCCTTTCTTAGCCACCTGTGAAATGTGTGGAATGGTTGGTGTCAGAGATGCCTTTTACTCTAAAACCAAGCGTTTCTGCAGTGTTTCCTGCTCAAGAAGTTATTCATCGAACTCAAAGAAGGCCAGCATTCTGGCCAGACTTCAGGTAACGGTACAGTCACAGTTTTATTACCTTCATTATAGAAATAAGAGTTTTACATTGTTTGCTGAGCCTCAAAACAATGCATGATATTAGCTGCTTTTAAGTAAAATAGAACATCTTAACAGCTGTATGGGATTGTTCCAAAGGGTTATTTAAGCCAGTATTTGGTTTCTGAGGGTGTCCAGTCCCACCAGTAAGGCATAAAGACAGCAGTCCTTCTGCATTTATCACTAGGATTCATGGTAAGCTATCTCTGGACCTTCTTTCTAAATATGCTGATTGATAGTTACTGGATATCTTGTTCCATAGATATCTGAATCAGTGGCCGTTACTAGATCTTGGAAAAACACTGCAAAAGCCAAGTCATGATTTGAAGGAAGAAATTTGATCTTTTCTGTTCTGAACTGAACTTACTGGCAGTTTAATTGGATGTCCAAGATTTCCACTGTTGTGTAAGAGGGAGAACTTTTCTCTCCATGCTGTTCATAATTTTGTAAACATATCTTCTTTATTTTTTCAATACAACCCATGCATCTTTATGCAAAGTAAACTTAATTAAGGGCTTATTCCCAAATAAACGTGCATAGGGTTGGAACTTTATGATGCAATTCTATCCATATTTAGACTGAGAAAAATTCTACAACTCCCAATATTCCCTAGCTGGCTTAGTTGGCTGTAGGATTTTTTTTTCTGCTTAAATACATGTAGGATTGCACCCTTAGTCATTTTGGTTATGTTAACACTTCAGCAACTTAGTCTCAAAGCAGTGCTTTCATTCCTGCAATGAAATGTAATCTCCTTTCTTACAAATTGCTACATTGATATCACAGTGGTGTATATCAAAAAACTTTAAGCACAGGCACTGGATATATTGATCAGACTGAAGGAAACTAATCACTAGTACCACCTCTACTCCCCTGTAGAAGCTTTACAGCTCAGTAGTCCAAAGATTTGAATGGTCCCTAGAAAAAGTTAGTAAAGGAATGGGAATATTCATGTTGGCATTACCTTGTGACAGTTATAGTATACAAGGAAATATGCGGAATAGGTATAACATACTTTGAGGAATAAATGTAGAATGAGTAGAGCTGCCATGTACCTAAATTGTTAAATATCTTTGTAGTAGCAGAATACTATTTTTTTTTTTCATCTGAGAGTAACTGTTAAGTTTGAAAGATTAGAATTACTAATTTCACTGCTTTCTCTTGAATCCAATGTTCTGGGTTCTCAATCATACTAAGTGTTCATAGTTTTGTTATATTGACCTATGCTGAGTAACATAGATTTTTGTATTTTAAATTTGAGTGGTACTTGCTATTTTTGTTCCTAGTCTCTAACGGTTCCTTAACAAAGTATAAGAAATATGCTATGCCCTCATAGCTTGCCTAGCCCTTTTCTGAAACAAATGATATTGTTGACCATATTTTGTGCCAGGATTCCATGAATTAGCTGTGTAACATATGGTAAAGTTCCTATATCTTTCCTGTTTGGTGTTCCTATTTGTGGGGTTGCTCAACTGCCATCTGACCATGATAGATTTGAATGCTTAAAGAAACCCCACATTAATGTTCAGACAAAACAACTCAAGAGTATAGATCAAATCTCAGCTTGTCATTGAATCATGGGTTATTGTGTTGTGTGAACCCAGCCATTGTATTTAACCCATGGTGAGGCTGTAGCACATGTGAAGTGCATGTGGCTGTTACTTGATTATGCAATCCCCACTCAGGTCTTGTCTGGTTATGCAAACCCATTGAATATGGTTTATGCATTGGTTAAATAAGCCCCTAATAGCCCTGGTATATTTAGGGTTATGCCAGGGTTGTTTAACCTTCACATACGCCACATGTTTCAGAGTGGTACAACACAACAACCCCGAGTGGAAGTTGTATAGGCCTTGTGGTGCCTGTGGGTGCCAAAGCTCATTGTGGCATAAATAACCCACACTGAGCCACAGCAATTTATCTGAACCTGTTTTTAATCAAGCATTTATTCTAACAGAGATAAATGGATTTGCATTCAAACGTAGAGCAATATTTAGTCAGTCGATAAATTGAAGATTCCTTGCTTTCCACTAATACTTAACTGGAAAGTTTGCTTTGTGCTGGGACTTAGATCAGAAAGCAATTTTTTCAACTATCTTGCTTGTTAAAACTGTAGTGTTTCATTGCATTGTGCAGTAGAGTAGCAGAAGCAACACTTACTCTAAATCTTCTGATGTGAGTTTGAAAAGACCTTATTTAGCTCTTGTTGTTTTAGGGAAAACCTCCAACTAAGAAGGCTAAAGTGCTACAAAAACAACCTTTAGTTGCTAAATTAGCTGCATATGCTCAATACCAAGCAACGGTACAGAACCAATCAAAGACTAAAACAGGTAACATGGGTATTAACTTCTTTGAGGAATCATTATGGGGATAAACCTCAGCTTTTTCAGCTGTGAGAATGAATTTCAGGAGAATTGTAAGATTTTTTAAAAAACCAATCATTTCCTGAATAAAGAGGGGGTGAGTTTGATGAACGCATGTGTCTGCATGTTCATCCAATCCTTTGACAGACTGCTAAGGAGAAAGCATGCAAAGGGGCTTGACCCATGAACATTGCCTCTACCTTTTTAGCTAATATTAAGGATCGGGCAAGCATTTTTACCTGATCAGATTGGGGGAAGGGGGTAGGATTCTTTCCCATCCTGCAGCATCTGCATGTCTGGATCAAGTAGTTGTCCTGTGTGCCCTGAGGGCAAAAGATATATTCATTTGTTCAGATGGGCTCATTTGTTGGAGGATCTTTTACATAATCTTCCATATTCTACAGGGGCAAGGGTTGTCCTGCTGGCTTGTTGAAAATTTTCCTGCAGTTCTGTCTTTCACTGATACCCCTTCCCAATCCCACAGACAATTGGAGAAATGTTTCTAATACTGAATATATATATAGCAAATTACTTGTGCACCCTGCTAAATAAAGTAACTCTCATTCTAGCATCAGTTCCAGTGGAAGGTTTCAATTGGGGCAACTACATCAGTAGCAATAGTTTCACAGCAGCTCCTGTTAACTGTTTTAAACATGTAAGTATGTTGCCTTTGTTTTTAATATTTCTAGTAAAAGCTGTGAAATAGTTACAGTATAGAATTTATGATCACATTGGTCCAGCGCCATATTGAATTCACATCTTGGATTTGAGAAATATGGTTCCTGTTAGTTTGAAAATATGACGCTTCTCCTACCTGAATGCAAGGGTATGAGTGCAGACATTTTTACAGATCTAAAAAACAGTCCAGCAAGCTTTAACTCCAAACAGGCTCTGTGCTATTCAGTTTAAGCAGTAGCTGTCAGAGCTGCTATTGCTTCAAAGCAAGTTTTGGATGTGGTTCTTGATTGCATTCATATAACTTCTTTCTATAGTACTTTTAAACCCCATTGACCTTATAAATAACCCAGTTTGTCTACCCAGTAGAGAGTACCGCTCAGTCCTATGAAGCAAAGTCTTTCAAATTGCATGTAGCTTCCTTCTAGACCAAGTAAAGCTCTCTGTTATTTCCCCGCAGAAGCAGGTGGAGTTCAGAAAGAGCATGTTTTTCAGGTTAATCTTGCAAGAAGGAACATGTTGTAATAAATTACTTTGTCATTAGTAAGGTGCATTGTATAATAGGCTACATAATGATAAGGTAGTTCCTTTTCATTAGCAGAGATCAAGAATAACATAGTTTTAGTAGAAAATTGTCCAATACAGCTCCAGCAGAGTTCCTTTTGGAATTATATCAAATGACATTCTAAATCACATTGGTTAGAGCCTGCCAGTGAGTTTACTTCTTTCAGGGAAGGAGAGAGGTGACTTTTGCAGAAAGATCCTGCAACTGCTTGTTCGCCTCCATCTGCTCTGGAGGACTGGGGGATCTGTTTTGTGGGGGGGGGGGAGGTGGGGAAAGGACTGCTGATAAAGGAGGAAGTTGCTAAAAAAAGAAAAAAACAACAACAACCTTGCATCCCCACTTCTTCCAGAGAAATCCATCACTAGATCTAAAGCCTTCTGTTTAAGAAAGGCATAGTTAGGTTGATATTTGGGCTATATTTTTTTAACACTGTGTGAAGAGCCAATTTTATCATGAATACAGCAGGCTTGAGAGGCAGTGGTCAAGTTGAGGAATGTCACTTTACTCTGTCATTAACAAATTACATTAGAATCAATACTTAGCCAATCCCATGATGCATTTTCACTGCACATTGTGGTTGCTAGTCAGAAAAAGTAAACATGTTAATATCCATGAGTAAATGAAGGAAGAGGAGATAAAATAATAACTCAGACTAGATGTCTGCTGTTCCTTTAGCATGGAGGCATGACCAAAGCAAGACACCTTTTTGCCTCATGAAAGTTTGTTGCTGCCTGCTTCTTTGCTTTGTCTGCTTGTCCTACAAATGATCCCTCTGGCGTGCATTGCCAGTGACTTTAGGCATGTTGAGAGTGAGCAGGCCAAATTCAGCAAGTAAGGAGGGTATGGCAGTAGCGAAAAGACAAATGATCGCTTTTGGGAAAGCAGAGGTTTCCAGCAACATGTGTGCGTGTGTGTGAGAGAGAGGGTGACTGTCTTGCTGATTGGCTGGCTTTGATTCTTAACTTAAAGTTGAAGTGATCTATATATCTGTGGACTGTGGAATTATCCTATGCAGGTCTTGCAGGAATAGGGTTAAAAAAGCATCCATTAAAAGACAAAATGGTAGAATTGCCTTCACTTAGTGCCTGAATGTTTCTATGGTATGTGCAAGGGAGTGCGTTTTTGTTTTGGCAGAACATTCTGTGCTTTGCTTCCCACAGAAAGAAGGCCCCAGTTCTAGCCCTCGGTTATGAGAAAAGGTGGTATATGTTTAGCTAGAAGAAAAGTGTGAGCTGGGACAAAGCACGCTTGAAATACTCAAAGAGCTGTCACACAGAAGAGGGTAGACTACTTGGCCTCTCGTGTCCCTCAGGGTAGGTCTAGAGCCAGTCGACTGTCCTAATGGGGGGCAGTTTCAATCTAACATTAGGAAGAACATCCAAGTGTGAGAGCAGCTTAGCGACAGAAGCATTTCCTGTAAGTGATGGGCTTTTCCCTCTCTGGAGGTTCTAAGCAGATGCTAGAGAGCATCCCCAGCGGCTGGCTTTAGCAATGCATTTCCTGTATTTGTTAAGGGACGAAAGTATACAGACCCTTTAAACCCCAGTGACTATGTGAAATTTATGGTGGTGGTTAGCTGAGTGATAATTATGGCTGTGCACAAAGACTGTTCTCCCTCCTCTTCTCTCTGTTCCCCCATGTGTTACAGGCCTTTTACATGTGTTAAAGGCTGGAGGAGTAAGCCATGCTATCCCAGTTGGGAAGGCACGGAGAAATTCTGTGGTGGGAAGGGCATAAAGGTGAGCATAAAGGTGAGCCAGTTTTCGGTTCATGGCTGTTCACCTAGGCAAAACTGCCACATGCCCTAGGGAGGTCACTAAGTTATGAGGTCTGATGGGTTTTTCATCGGCATTTTGCTTTTGGTGAATCTGAAAACCATCTTTGAACATATACTGGTGTATATTGAGCCATAGAAAATGTAGCCATACCCATGAGGAGAAAAAAATGGCAGTCACATTTGACTGTTCAGTTGCCCATTTGGTGCATATCTGTAATATCATACATTTTCTGGGTTCTTTTGCTTTGGTCCAGTATTGGCTGATAACCATTCGTATTTCAAAGGCTTATTCTATTTGTCAGTTCCCTGCTTTGAATGGTGAGCAGCCATTGGGATTATGTTCTGTTCTCCTTAATATAATGATTAATATCAGAGTATAGTAGCTATTTTAAGAATCTCTGTGGAAGCTAAATGACTCTCAAGTAAGTAATGGAGACACGTTGCATTTGGAAACTAATTTTGAGGTATTCCCTAAATGGGCCAGCACACTAAACACAGCTATGCAGGCAGCAGTGAGCTGTTTTGCAAGGTACTATTCTGATTCACTTTTGCGTATATCTGTTACTAGTTACTTGATTGATTGTGCCAGCCAACTCTGTCCTGCTTGAACCCTAGCTTCTGTGCCTGAGGCCAACTAGTCATGCCTTATGTTCAACAATCCACCTCCAGAGTTCAACCACTTGTAAATTAGCATTCAAGGCTACTCCTAGCAGCTGTATGTCATGGAGAAAAATAGCCCACTTGCTTAGACAGCCCACCTACCACCTCACAAATATAAATGACTATAGAAATCATAGGTTGCCCTGCTGCATGTATATCAAAATTCTGTCTTGTAAATAACATTTAAGTTTTCTACAACAGATTGAAAATATTTTTATTGCTGCCCTAGCACTGTTAGGTCAAATCAATGGGTCAATTTGTTCTGAGGAAATCAAAAAGTCTCTCATCTACATTTTATGCTTTCTCCAGTTCTTGTCGTTATAGAATTGCGTAATTACTATTAACAGTTTTCATTAGTCAGCTTAGTAAACGTTTTTCATCTCAACTGTTTTGCTCTACTGTCCCTTCCAGCAAGGGGTTGGAATGTTTTTTTTTTATTTATTTATTGAAAGCTTTTCTATCCTGTCCCCTACAGAACATCTCAGGATGGCTTACAATAAATAAGTAGAATAAAACACCCCTACAGCATCTGACCATAATATACTAAAACCCCAATTAAAATCAATGAAACATTAAAATAACAGGAAAATAAAAAGGGTTTTGCCTGACACTGAAAAGAACGTGCCAGTAATGTCAGTGCCAGGCAAACCTCTGTGGGGAGTGTATTCCATAGTCAGGGCACCACTGCAGAGAAGGTTTCTTTTCTATCAGCTGGCAAATGCAGTCCAGTAGATCAAGATCTCTGGGCAATAACCAGCCAGAACGCGGTCACTTTTTGTTCAGCAAGCTGACTTGACCATATGCACTAGAATGTTCACTAATAGTGGTAGGGTTGCTGCCATTGTTCTTGAAATTACATTTTAAATCAGTCCACCCAAAATGTCACAAAAATGTGCAATGAGCTCTCATCAGGAAGAAGAGAAAAGTCCACAACTTTCTTGGTGTCCAGGAGCACCTTTTATCAGCTTAGACTGATTTTCCTGCTGCATCCCTACTTGGACGAGTGGAGCCTTGCCATGATTATCCATGTGCTGGTAGCCTCTCGCCTGGGTTACTGTAATGGGCTCTACATGGGGCTGCCTTTGAAGACAGTCCAAGCTCTTCAATTGATCCAAACTGAGCAGTACAGTCCTAGAGAGTATATCATGCCTGTCTTCTGCCAACTGCACTGGATGCCTTTTATTGCCTGGGCCTGATTCAGAGTGCTTACACTAACATACACAGCCCTAAATGACTTGGAACTAGGCTATCTAAAGGAACACCTGTCTCCATATTTTCCTACCAGACTGCTTAGATCAGGGGTCCTCAAACTTTTTCCTAAAGGGGGCTAATTGACAGGTGCCAGCAGTGGGTGCAGGTCAGTGAGGGGGTGGGGTACACACATGTGCAGGGGAGGGGGGAAGCCACAGGGCGAGGCGCCACCTTGCTCACAAGGAGATCATTTTCTCCTATTGAGTCCAAAACGATCTCCCCGCGAGCAAGCCATGCGCCCATGCATGTGCCCAGTGAGTGCAAAACCTGTGGGGCGGGCTGGTTAAATGGGCATGGCGGGCCTTAGTTTGAGGACCTATGACTTAGATTTTCAGTGGAGACCATCCTTCATGATCCTCCTGCTGAAATGAGGGGGAATTGGCAATAAAAAGGGTTTTCTCTTTTATCACCCCCTCATCTTTGGCACACACTTCCTAAAGAGGTGCAACTGGCACCCTTGTTATTCTCTTTTTGCCACCAAGTAAAGAGTTTTTTATTTAGTACTTATTTAGTTCTTACTTTTAGAGCTATTGTTTTATTTGCTTTTTGCTGGTGGTGTTAATTGTTTTTATTGTTCATTTATCCTCCAGTTTCACACCTATATTCATTGATTTTACACTGTTTTCAATGGTATTGTTTTACTTTATTACAGTTATGTTGTTGTTTCTGTTTTTTGTGAGCTGCCCAGAGAACCTCCGAGCTATGAGGAGGCAACAAATACAATAAATAAATAAACAAGCAAACATTTTGCCTAATTTTGAAGCTCTTCTCTTCTTCTCCCATTCCCTGTTTTTTAACCACCTAGGCTAATGAAGAGTTTTCGAAAACCCAAAAGCTTGTGCAGTCTTTTGTGGCTTTTTGGTTGTCCTAGTGAAGGTATTACCCAACAATTGTTTTTAGATTTTATCTTTCCACAGGCCAGCATAGCTACCTTTTTTCCTTGTGTATTAGAAATTGCATAATTGGAGAGCATAAAGCTATGTAAAAATACTTGTGAGTAAACAACGTTGTACATAATTCAACTAGTTTCTGAGTAAATGTGCTTTAGAATGCAGTATAAATCAATTTCCAGGTTCAACATGTTTAAACTAAGCAGTTACATAAGGGATATTCTTCCCTTTTTCACTAGGTGGCACTGATGTGTTTATCCACCTTTCCCTTCTTTTAATGCAGATACAAATACTCTTAGAACAAAGAAGTTTGTGAATTTAACAGGTGCAGTGGACTTTTTGTTTGATTCCAAGGAGCAGCTTCACCTGTTCATCACCAGCTTTTCCCAATTTTGAGAAGTGGTGAAGTTCACTTACCGGGGAGGGAGAAGCTGCTCTTGAAAAAAGGAAAGTACAAAAGCTTGCTGTGTATCCCCATTTGGAGGGGATTCTTCATTGTGGCCACTGCATAAGCAAAAGGTAACCAAGCATCACTTACCCCCTGTTTGGCCCACTGATAATCTGGCACCAAAGCTGTATTTGTAAAGTCTTCTAAAGTCACTTAGGCCTGGAGAAAAAAATTATGCCAGGCAATTTTGGCACACCAAGGAAAGGCAGGAGCAATACTTAGCTGTGCCCGACAGATAAGGGTCAGCCTTTTTTTGGGTTGGGAAGCCCACTTACATGAATCTGGACCTCGCCCATCAAGACCTTCCTGATTGCAACTTACCTTGCAGGGAAGGCGGCTGTCCCTCACAGATAATTCCTCCAGAGTGTGCGGTGGATCAAAGTGGTGGCCAGGCAGACCTTCCTTTTATTGGGAAGGAGCCGAGGTGGATGCCTTCTTCATGAGTCTGAAAGGTAAACTTGTTCTTCTCTGTACGTTTATGGTTCTGCTAGTAAACATAATGTGCAAGAGGAGACAGTATGAATATACTGTATACCATCATTTCAGCCCACAAGATCCATACCCATTATGGCTTTCTTCAGAAGCGAGAGCCATATGGATTGGTGTAGGAGGAACTAGCTGAACCGCTATCTTCACAGACAAGGACAAGTTTAACTTTCTGCTATACCCCTATACCAATCCACATTCTTGAAACCTGGTGCATCAAACTGTTGAATTGACTAAAGAGAGGAAAAAGAACAGGAATTTGAGCCAGTTGCGTGAGAAAGCACAATTAAATGAGAAACTACTTTCACTGGCTCTCCCAGACACACACACCCAACAACACTTCTGAACCTGAAATAAAAGCAATGGTGAAGCTGGTCTGTTTCAGATGTTTAAAAAGGATCTGTACAGACTTTGTATCAACAGTTCTTTTTCGTGTGCATGACATGTGGTTAGTTAAATGCATAGATCTAACAATTCAAAGTAGTCCAAATAATATGTGAAAAACAAATAGTGTTGAAAGCTAGGAATGTGAGTACTAAATAGCAAGGTTTTGATTTTTAAATATAATGTCTAATTGTTGTCTTAAAATGTGGTCTGTCTTAATGTTTTGTTTAAGCCTCTTTTGTGACCCAAAAGAGGGTCATCTAGAGTAGAATGCTGTGCCTGATTAAAGGACCACGTGGAAGTCAAAATGCTAGAAATGATTTTAGCTGTGTAACAGATATTTGCATAGCAGCTTTCCCCTCCCCAGGTTTTGCCCTGTAAGAATAAAACAGGAATGTGGGGAAAAATTGGAGTATTTCACTATTCTAAAAATTTGCAGTGAAGATAGCAGTATATCTAAAACAACATGTACAGTTGTCAATAATTTTATTACATCTTGCCTAAATCTGCCCTTCTGACACTTCCAGGTCAGCTTATCATCATTATTACAATCATCACTAGTAAATATTGATCTCCTTTTGTGGCAGCCATTATAGTATTTTTCATGTATCTCTTGAACATGTTTTCACAGAACAGAATTGCTTCTTTCAGCTTTTATAATTAATTTCTGTTCTCCTATATTTTTAAAATTTGTGGTAAAGTTTTACACACAGTACTTCATCCAAAAAGCAATGAGAGGTTGAATGGTTCAACAGCAATCAAATAATAATATCAGCTGATGAGATGGAAGCCACCTCTTCTAAATATTTTCCAGACAGCTCAGGAATTCAGAGACTCGGAAGCTTTACTAACAGGATTGATTCTTAAGTCATCCTCCATTGCCAGATGCTCTCCATGGTGAGAGAGAATTCCACACCAGAATAGCTTTGTTCACTGCCTGATCTCATGCTTCCTGGAAACATGTTTCAGTATTTCAGTCTAATGTGCTGGAAATCAATTTAACTATCAGTCCAGTCTTATTGGTCAGGATTTTGTAGTGCAGTCCAAGCATGTTTACTCTGAAGTAAGTCCCATTGAATTCTGTGAGCCTATATAATAAATATTTCCCACTGCAATTTTGGATTATTCTATCTTTTAAATTGGGTATAGTTACTACCAGGTTTGTCACTTCTTAGCTTGTATGTCAGAAAATAAATATACCATGGTAAAGTGCTTGTTAGGGAGTAAGCTCCATTGAGATTAATGGGATTTACTTCTGAATGAGCTTGCATAGAATTGTACTGCTAATCTCTTTAAACATTAGATTTATCCTTTTCATTTATGTTACTCTTATGTGTAAATTGCTGACTTTGCTGAAAAAGTAAAACTAGATCATTCTGGAATTGCTTGCTTGGATATCTGTGTTGGCTGCAAGCAGTCGGCTGCTCTATTTTTTCCTATCTTCTCAGACATACATAAAAATAATAGATTTGTATTCTTGGCTTTTGCAAAAATAGCGAACTGATGTATATTTTTTCTGGTATGTATACTCTTTATGGCATTGCTCTGCCTCAGTGTAAAAGATTGTTCTGTCACCTTCAAAGGTATATTTCATCAGACCTTTACAAATTAAATTCATTCATAATAAAAAACATTTTAGGTATAACATTTTTTATTTGGTCCTATATCCTTCCTTCCCCTTTGATTATTTCATTTTGTGCAGTAGTTACAATCTGCAGATAATCCATATCTTATCTTCACTGACTTTTCTGTCAAAATTGAAGTCATTTGGTCTGTATAAAAGAACTGGAACCAAGTACTAATTCCCATATCCTGGCTATTGCTAGCAAATAGAAGCTACCCCAATCATTTTCTTCAGACATCAATTTTAGGAAGAAGGCATGTTACCACAAACCATTAATTCAGCAAGTAAAAGTGAAACACTAAATTTTAATTATGAGGCTACTGAAAAATAAAATAAGCTTCACTAGTCATGAAGGGGGGAAGGAGAGGTTCACTGTTTTCAGCAAAGGTAAGACATGAAATACTGATTCTACAAGCAGTAGCTAGATAGGTTATCCAAAAGAATATCTGCTTGCTATTTTAAAATAAGTATCGATATGTATTTTTACAGTTTTATTTCTAACATGTAATGTGACAGTTCTGTTTTTTTCAACTTGCATTGCAGGCACCTATGGGAACTTGCTGGGGTGACATCTCAGAAGGTGTGCGTGTAGAAGTTCCTAATTCAGACTGCAGTCTACCTACCAAAGTCTTCTGGATTGCTGGGATTGTGAAATTAGCAGGTCACTAATTTTGTATAAGATCATGTATCTGAAAATATAACTGTCTAGAAACTAGCCCTGGAGAGAACTTTCAGCATCAATTCCCATTTTTCTGGAAGCCATGCCAAAAATGAGGGTGGTTGATTTATATACGTTCCTTCATTAACAGTAATATGAATCAGCATGTAAGCTTGCTCTCTTTCAGGTTACAATGCTTTACTAAGATACGAAGGCTTTGAAAATGATTCAAGTCTTGACTTCTGGTGTAACATCTGCGGTCTTGACATCCATCCAGTTGGTTGGTGTGCAACCAGTGGGAAGCCCCTAGTACCACCTCGATGTATGTAAACTTATCTTAATTTATTTCATCTCTATATCTCCCTGTAGCCAAAGCACTCTGGGTGGTTCACGAAGTTTAAAATATATCATGGAAAAAGCATAATCTGGCAGTGATGGATTATGATCTAGATGATCTTTATTCATGCTATGCAGTGTATATTAAATATACGAAGATGCTTGGGTCTTACTCATGAAATTACCAAAATCATGACTGTACCAGGATAACAGATAATGCATCTGGATTATCACTTGGAAAATCTTAATGTTGCTCAATGATTTGCAATACAAGTGCTTCTTACAGTAATGAAATGGCTAATTCTTGCTACTCTCCCCTAATGTTAATAGCTATTCAGCACAAATACACAAACTGGAAAGCTTTCCTGGTGAAACGACTTACTGGTGCCAAAACTCTTCCTCCTGATTTCTCTCAGAAGGTAAGCCTAACTAGAAGAAGATAGACAAGCAGTGGTGGGAAAATTAAGGGAGTCCAGGGGCACTTTTTATTCCTTTCATGGGATGTACTCCTGCCCCACCCTGGCAAAAAACCCCTAGCAGTTTGCTGCCAGATTTCAGCAGGAAACTGCTTTGCAAGAGTAAACAAGAAAAATGTAATCAAGTTAAATGTGTACTTTTTATCCTTGGGTAATTATTTGCTTCTGAAATTCAGCAGCAAAATGCCACATTGTGTCAACATTGATTTTGCTGGCGCAGTGGTGTAGCACAGCAAGGACTATATGTGGCTTGAGGGCCATGTGTTGTCCATGCCTGCTTTTGAAGCTTGCTTTCAGTTATGTTTGGGAATGAACTGGGAGCCGGTGCAGTTCTAACAGCAGTCCCCTCTGTTGGGATGGATGTCTTACTTCTCATAATCTCAGGAAGCAAACTTTAATTGGGAAGTTCCTCGTGTTCAGGAGCAAATTTATATGGTCATTATGGTATGAAAAGAATGTGGAATGTTGCATTTGGAGATGCATGCATATTAACACGATGCAATTATTTTTTTTTCAGGTGTCGGAAAGCATGCAGTATCCTTTCAAGCCTTCTATGAGAGTAGAAGTAGTTGATAAAACACACCTCTGCCGAACACGGGTAGCAATTGTAGACAGTGTAATTGGAGGCAGGTTACGATTAGTATATGAAGAAAGTGAAGACAAAACAGATGACTTCTGGTGCCATATGTATAGCCCACTCATTCATCCCATAGGTTGGTCTCGAAGTATAGGACATCGTTTCAAAAGATCTGGTAAGCTCATTTGACAAAGATGGGGCTGAGTGAATAGTACCACAGTAATCTTTTTAGATAAAGGGAACTTAAATAAGCACGTTTTATGGGATGTCATGCTTGTTTCCAGTGAACACACTAAGATAGCACACTATTGCACACCACTGTTTTCAAAATTAGTGTGGGATTAATATATTCATTAAGCTAGGATTAACATATTCATTGGTTTCATCATAAACAGTGGGATATTTATTTTTTGGAGGGATTCTATATTTTAAGTAGAAAATAAGTCAGAGTCACAGTCTTTTTATTTTCCTTTCTTGCAGATATCAGCAAGAAACATGAGTCTCACTTTGATGCACCCCCACATTTATTTGCTAAGGTATTACTGTTTTATATGCAACTTGATTTATAATTCAAGGAATTTTTGATCTGCATGTGGATGTGAGAAGCTAATAGTCAAGAGTGCATTATTCACTAGCCTCCTATGCTCTGACCTGTGAGGAGAGGTAGCATTTGGTAGTCTGTTGTGACCAATTTACATGACAATTTTGTTTTGTTACATTTTAAATCTGCACCGGTAATCAGAGTTCTCTTGGCAGATGACAGCACTTAAAAGACTGAAGTACAAATCATTAAAATAATAAAATGCAGTACCAAAGAAAAGCACAGGAACAGTTAAAACAGCCATAAAAACTAGAACTTCTGTGCAAGCCTTCTGGGCTTTTAGGATGTTTGGGAAAGGATCTTCTTAGTACTGTTGCCTTAAGAAGTGCATTTGGTGGTGTCAAGAGAGAGGGCCTTTTTGATGGCCATTCCTGGGCGCTGGAATTTTCTGCAAAAGGAGACTAGGTTGGTTCCCTTGCCAATGTCTCTGTGCTAATAAGCAAGGGCATTTTTCTTCAAGCAGGCCTTTGGAATGTACGAGTAAGTAGATCTGTTGGGTTGGCATTATTTGTATTCTGTTATTTTTCTAAATTGTATATTTAAAACATTTGTAGTATGTTAATTGTTTATCTAATGGTAAGCCTCCTTGAGTGCTATTTTCTTAGTAGGAAGCTCTACCCCAGTTGAAATAGATGTTGCAGTCCTTCAGTAAGGTTTTATATGCACGTGTAGGCCCTGGTAGGTATATGCGAAAAGAAGATCATGAGATGTTTTAGCCACTTTTGTTGCAGTCAATATATTTTATGGATTTGCATTGCTCCTACATTTTGCCTCAGAAGGATATTTACTTTGGTTTGTTTAGGTAAAAGATACTGAGTCAAGTGGAGAATGGTTCAAGGAGGGGATGAAATTGGAAGCCATAGATCCATTAAACCTTTCTGCAATATGTGTGGCAACGATTAGAAAGGTAACATATATTTGGAGGATTGGTGGCGGAGGAAGCCCACGTGACCATTATAGTCCTGCATTCATATTTCAGCTGAAGTTAATCAAGATTTTTTCCCTCATGGTTTAATTTATGTAAATAAGTTAACTATCCCACCACTGCTTAACAGCGGACTAATTCCATGTTTGCATTATAAAAGTGTCCCTGTATAATAATGCTGCATGACAGTTCTGGTCAGTTTCTTAACAATTAGACCCAGTTCACATGATCACTGGCTTCAATAAACCATGGTGTTTGATGGGCACCATTTGCCTAATTACCTCCCTATGTATGGTTGCTCATGTCGCCTGAACCTAAGAGGCATGGTTTGTTGGACCAGGGAAAATCCTGGAATAAACCAAAAACTGGCCATGGGTTGTCTCCAGGTTGTTTCCTTCTCCAACAAGCCATGTTGCCCAGGTTCAGGTGACACAACAAGCTGCATCTAGGTGGAAAATCAGGCAAATTGTGCCTGGCATGTGTTATGGCTTAAACAAGTCATGGTGGTTGGTTTAAATTGCAGTGATCATGCAGGCTGGGCCTAACTGTTCAAACAAACGAATAGAACTAGAAATTAGTCTGTGAATTATTCACACACCCTTGCGAAGTGCAGTTTAGAGCCATTTCTAAAAGTATAGGTATATTATACTCAAGACAGGTATATGAGTATATTATAGTACCTGTAATGTTTGAGATAGAACTCTGAAATTTTAACTTGTCTTTTTCAATAGCATTGAGCCTACCCCAGTCACAAAATATAGTTATGATTTGGGTACACTCAACGCTATTGTTCCCTGGAAACCATCAATGTACTTGTAATACTCCGAATCCTTTTATACATGGTTTTATGATTGGTCTGGGGGGATTGCACACTCTCTTATCCATAGGTTCCTAGACTATGGCCTGGGGGCTGGATCCGGCCTGCTATGCCCACTTATCTAGCCTGCCATGCCCATTTGGACCCGCTGCGGCCACCCCATGCGTGCGCCGCCACCCACCTCACCCCGCGTGCAAGGAGACAGCAGTTTGCTCGCCCGGAGAAAACAGATCTCCAAGCGAGCAAGCCACTGACTCGTGCGCCTGCCTCGCGGTGCATGCCCTCCCCCACCTGTGCCTCGCCTTACCTCGCCGCGAGCATGCGCCCTCCCGTGCCTCCCCTCCCCTCACCATGTGTGCCCTCCCGTGCCTCGCCTCACCTCGCCTCGCTGCACAGGGCCCTGCCCCTGCCTCAGCACGCACAGCCCCCGCCCTGCTCCAGCCACCTTTCCGGCCTGTGCCCAGCTCCAGCACCTTTCAACTGGCCCCCTGGTGAAAAAGTTGGAGGATCCCTGCTCTTATCCTTTCTCTGCCAACCTTAACCATGGGGACAAGGTGCCAGAATGTGCACAAACTGTGTATAGTTTTGATGAGAATGCAAGTTCTGACAGTGACGAGATGGTTGTAGAATCTCAAGTCCCAGTATCAGATCAAGGTCAGGAACAGTCTGGGGAACAAGGAGAGGAATTGTGAGCCCAGGGCAATGGGGGTGACAGCCATCAGGTCCGTGGGAACAAAAAGATGGCAGAACAGGAGGTGAAGTTGACAGCCAGAGCTGACAAGAGCCCTGATATACCAATAGCAGACCAGGAGGAGCAGACAGGCTGGGCAGCTCTCAGCAGGAGTTGAGCAGTCTGTCTGACATAGAGGACACTCCCCTTGAGGTGACTGAGTTGCTGGGAGACAGCATAGGTGGGAAAGTCAATTAACTGAGTTCACAGAAGGGCTAGGTTTCACAGTGCTCTTCCTGCAGGGATGTGCAGGTGAAAGTGGTATAAAGTGGAGGAAGATGAAGGGGTGTCAGTGAGGGCTCAGCACTTCCCTCTGAGATACGGAACTCAGAGAGATGGAACTATAAAGTCTTGTGGGAAAGCAACTTGGGAGTAGTTTGTTTACTCTGGAGGAGAGCCACACCTCGCAACAGATTATGCCATTTCAGAGCATAACCACAATTAGTGTTAATTAACGTTATTGTTAAGTAGGATTTAAAGCTAACTCTAAACATTTGTTTTGAATCCTTATTGTATAACGAACTCTGGTTAATGTTAACTTCAGTTAAGACAAATGAGAGGAACTTCCAGCAGTGGGGAGTAGAAAATGTGCAGCCCTGTGGCCTGCTTCTATTTAATTGTGCTTAAGGGATTAGGAGCATTATAGATGTACCAGACATAATTTTTCCTAGATACGAATTTATGAGCTATTTCATTGTTTGCCTTAAAATAGCTTGCCAAATGCAAATGGATAATTACATAGTTGAATTCTTCTTGAACTTTTGGTTTATTCTTCACTTTGATATTCCCTGTTGCTTAGCTTTGTACTTAACTTTTAAACCTTAAACCTTTGCTTTGTTTCTTTAGGTATTAGCAGATGGATATCTTATGATTGGAATTGATGGCTCTGAAGCAGCAGATGGGTCTGACTGGTTTTGTTACCATGCCACCTCTCCTTCTATATTCCCTGTTGGTTTCTGTGAAATTAACATGATAGAACTCACTCCACCCCGAGGTATTCATTTTTCCTATCCATAAATATATTTTGCAGGCAGTATTGTGTGAAATAATCCACTTGGTAAACCTGTTTACAAAATGCACCTAACACATTAGTGCTTCTGCTAGTTTAAAATTGCTTCGCTCCCCTCCCCTTGCCTTTTTAGCAGAAAACAGCTTCCTTATTGCCTGCTTAACTTCACTCTTGAGCAGGTTGGGCTTGGGCATGCCTCTTCCTTTCTCTTTCTTGCTTCCTCCAGAAACATTTCAGTCAGTGCAGAGTAAAGGGAGTGAAAGTTCCCATGTCACTGCTGTGGCTTGCAGGAACTGTATGGATGGAGCAAAGGACTGAGCTAGATGCATTACTGCCATCACTTTTACTTATTTACTTTTATTTAATTTTTTCTTGGCTGCCTACAAAGCCCTCCCAAAGTGGTATACAACTCACATAATAGAAACCAGTGCAGTAATAAAAACGGCAACACTTTCTATTTCTTGTCAAGGAAAACTAACCTAGTAACAGCATATTTTCTGCTTCATCAGGCTGATTGCTTCCTGTGGTTTAAGTCTCCAATAGACAGGACTGAAGGTTATTCAGTGAAAACAGAATTTAGTAGGTAGCCTTATGCTACGCAAGTTAGACCATGGGTCCATTTAGTTCAGTATTGTCAACACTGACGGGCTGTGGCTTTCCTGGGTTTCAGGCAGGAATTCTGAATGCAGAAGTTGTGAAGTTCACTGGAAACTTCAGGGAAAATAATCTCTGATAGGCTTAAAAAGACCTCTACTTGAAAGCATTTTCATATTCTTGCTGTCAGAGGAGATGCAGCTGCTCCAGATTCAGTAATATCACTCAGGATAAGAGAGCTTCATATGTACGTACCCAAACCTTAAGGCCTTCTTCAGTGAGTCCTGCCCGATACAGTGATGGGGGCAGGGCTGGCTCAAAACTTGTTTCTGCCTGAAAGTAAAGGACAAAGTGCTATGGCTCTCCATTTGGTGTACAGAATATAACTGGACTGGCAGCCACATCTTTAGCATTGGTGGCAGGAGAGCATCCTTCATCATAAAATTAGCTTAGGGGGAGCAAGGCAAGCCTTGTGTTATGGACACACAGCTCTGTTCTGCAAAGCCTTTTTGCTGATGTGCATCTCCAGCAGCAGCTTTACTAGTAGTAGTAAGGCTGGTTCTGGAGGTGGGTAACCATTAGGACTGGATCTTTTTGGTAGTGCGATCCATGTTATGGATCCATATTCTCAAATTAGTTTGCCTAGTGCCGTCTTTGTGGTCTTTGTGATCTTTTCATTGCCAAACAACCTCCATCTTTATCTCTTAGCTTAAAATATATCCAATTGCCATGTTGAATTTTAATTCCTTTTTAATGTTTAATTTCTTTTGTAATTTGGCCAGGGAGCTTGTATTATGGGTCGACAAAATAAATTTTACATGAAATGGCTGTCCTTCTGCTATTATTGCATTGCTCTGGAGATATACATAAATACTGTGATGCTATTACATAATAACTGTTAACTTGTAGGTTATGCAAAACTACCTTTCAAATGGTTTGACTACCTCAGGGAAACAGGTTCTGTAGCAGCCCCTGTGAAGCTCTTTAACAAGGTAAGCATATAGCTCAGAATATTTTAGATATGTAATGCATCTAAACATTTCACTACAAAATGAGACTCAAAGAGTGTTTATCAATGGCAACTTCTCAAACTGGGGAGACATACTGAGTGGGGACTGCAGTGCTCAGGCCGGGGATCAGTGCTCTTCAACATTTGTATGAATGGCTTGGATGAGGAGTTGCAGGGAATGCTTATCAAATTTGCAGGTGACACAAAATGGGGTGAGAAAGTGCTATCATCCTAGAAGATCAAAATTCAGAGTGATCTAGGTAGGCTGGAGCACTGGGCTGAAAGCAACAGAATAAAGTTTTAAAGGGACAAATGCCAATTTCTACGCCTAGAAAGAGGAAATCAAGATGGGACATAATTTGCTTAATCATACGTATAATTGTAGACCACAAACTGAATGCGAGCTAACAATTTGAGGCAGCTGCAAAAAAAGGGAACATGCTTAATTGATAGGATAGCTTCCAGATCACATGAGGTACTGGTTCCCCACCATCAGTACCATGGTGTAAGGTCTCATCTTGAGTATTGTATCCAGTTCTGAGCACCACACTTCAAGAAGAATGTTGACAAGCTGAAGGGGGTTCAGAGGAGAGTGACAAGGACAATCAGGACTCTGGAAAGAAAGCCCCATGAGGAAAAATGGAAAGAACTGGGCATGTTTAGCTGAGAGAAGAGAAGACTGGGGTGAGATTAATAGCATTTTTCAAATACTTGAAGGGCTGTCACACACAGGAGAACCAAGTCATCCCAGAGTGCAGGACTTGGGCTTAAGCTATTGAAAGCCAGATTCTGGCTGGACATCAGGGAAAACTTCCTGACTGTTATAGCAATATTGCAATGGGACCAGTTATCTAGTGACATTATAGGCTTTCTCACATTAGAGGAATTCAAGAGGCAGTTGGACAGCCATCTGTCAGGCATGTTTTAACTTAGAGCCCTGCATTGATTGGGGATTGGACTTGATGGCCTTCCAACTTAACTATTCTATGAGATTCTGAAAATAGGGACTGGCTGTTATAAACTGGGCAGAGATGTTTACCTCAAACACTGAAGCCTTTTGGAGATGCTTCCTTCCTCACTCTTACCCCAGGACTTGCTTAAGACCATTTCTTTCTTTCAAACATTTCCATTCTATCCTACTTCTCTCATTATCCCATCTTCCACAGATAAAAGCTAATATATGGCTGAGTGCAGTGCCATCTTAATCACTCTGGATCTCCCAAACCCCATATCAGTATCCAGCTTGAAATAAGCGTATTGATAGCTGGATCTGGGGAATTCTTAATCTAGTATTGTGCTGGGTCATATGCCATGACTTATCTCTGGTCAGTAGGGCAAGAGTAGCCACAAGCATAAAAAATATAAGCACTATGCTGGATTAGACCAAGGGTCTATCTATTCTAACATTCCAAGTTTACGAGATCTACTGGGGGAGGAAAGAGAGGTTAACAGAGGTTTGTGGAAGAATCAGTTTTGTGTTTGCTTCTAATAGCAGAAGTTGATTTTCACACAGAGAGTGATGCAGTTGTTTTGCTTATCTTTTTCAGGAAGTTCCAAACCATGGGTTTCATGTTTCAATGAAACTGGAAGCTGTGGATCTCATGGAACCTCGTCTAGTCTGTGTGGCCACAGTAACGCGCATTATCCATCGTCTGTTGAGGATACATTTTGATGGCTGGGAAGATGAATATGATCAATGGGTAGATTGTGAATCTCCTGACCTCTATCCTGTAGGTTGGTGTCAGCTAACTAGTTACCAACTACAGCCTCCTGCATCACAATGTAAGTGGCCCTTGAGTTCTTTGGAACCCTCTATAGATTGAATACAGCAGATTCCCTCTGGTTGTTTGTCCACCCCTCACTCATTCTTTGTTTTTATGTTTGGATGTTTGTCTTCACTCTATGCTCCAAAGTTCATAGATCTGATCTGTCTTACTCTATAGTCAACAGTGTTGCTGTTAGGACTACAGCTCAGTTTTGTCCAAAGCTTACAGTTATTTGGAAGCCAAAAGGGAAAGACAGTTGTTTTAAATGCTACGCATTACTGAAGACAAGAAAGACAAGCGTGTATGTGTGCTGCAAGTCTACCACTCCTCAGCTGCCTTGTAAATCAGACACTTGCTGTACGCAAACATGCATTTCTAGTGACTGTGCATATATGCTTAGATATAAATGGAGTACTGCTTTGCTGTTGCTCGGTTCTAAGTTTATTCTGACTTTCCACATTTAATTCAGGTCTTTCAGATTAATACATAGCATGACAGGCTAAAAAAAAATCAAATCTAAATACCAGTTAGGATAAGTGTGACTTAAGTGTTCTGAATAGAAGAAATAGAAATAGAAAAAAAATCTGATTTGATGGTATAAATATAGTTCCCCATTGGAATGCCACAATTTTTGGAATCAATCTTGTTCTTAAAAAGAACCCTGAGCCCACTTATCTGAAAAGAAGTACAAATCACTGGAAAGATCAGGTGCAGTCCTCTGTGCCTTGGTTTCCTGGCTCAAAGTCTTCCAACTTCCTGTCTACCTACTTCCTCCCAGTAGTAGTGCAGTCCCTCATGTTGTAAGGCCTTATGTGAGGTTTTGATTACTACTTGATATTTCTTCAAGTATGGCTCTTTGACTCATTGCTTCCTCAAGTCTTTTTCTTCAGCTCATTGCCTACTTTGCCCAATTACCTTTATCCAACTGTCTTAACATACATTTCTCGTTACTTCCAGTAAGGACCTTAAGCACTGTGAGGTTTCTTCAGCTTTTCTTTTTAGCTCTTTCTTGTCTTAATGCTTGCAGTATGGCAGTGGAGGGGGTGCTGGGGGGGAGAGCTTTGCAAATACCCTGGATCAACAGAAAGATGAGTGATCAAGCCTGATCAAATCAAACCAGAACTTGCCTTGGACGCAAGCTGAGGCTGCCATACTTAAGATACATCGTGAGAAGGGAAGACTCACCAGAGAAGCCAATCATGCTAGGGAAAGTTGAAGGCAGAAGAAGAGGAAGACCCAAATATGAGAGAGCTCAATTCTATAAAGGAAGTCACAGCCTTGAGTTTACAAGAGCTGAGCAAGGTTGAGGAGGGCAGAACATTTTGGAGGGCATTAATTCATAGAGTTGCTACAATTTGGAAATGACTCAATGGTATTATATAGGGGAATAACAAAATCCACAACTTCCATCATTTCAACCCATTATGCCTCCCTGTAGCCCTTTAAAAACATTAATAAGATGGTGGAGAAATCAGAAAAGTGTGGAGGTGATATTAGAATGTTGGCTTTACTTAAAATATTTTTATCCTATTCATTAGTCGAAAAAGCTCTTACTGCAGCTTACATATAATCTGTAAAACAAAACAGCCCCAGCCTACAAATTTACACTCTAAGGTAATAGAGCACACAAGAAAAAAAAAAAAAAGGAAAATTGAAGGGAGATAAATTACGTTTGGCTGGTGGACTGATGCGGCTTTACCCTCCCATCTCTCTTTCCAGCCTGCTGGAAAGGCTGGTTGTGGTGGTAACTGAAAGAGGAGGAGCCCTTATAGGGCTGGTATTCAGCATGGCTTTATTACTTCCAAGCCACCTTTCTTTTTTTAGCTCTCTGTTTTAGTCTTTTTGCCCCTTGTTGTCTCCCTCCCTCCCTTAAGAATTATCTCTTTTAGTTAAATTGTACTGAACCCATGAAAATGTAGAATTTAAAAATTGGTTAGATTATCCTTATTGAAGTGAGTGAATATAAATGTGGGAAACTGATTTTACACGTGCAAACTTTATGCCTGACTGGGGGTGGGAATCTGTGTAAAGTGTTTGCTTGTTACCCTGCAAACACAGTTCTTAATTTTCAAATTAAACATCTTGTTTCTTATCTGGTCAAAATCTTATGCCATCAAGGACAGGATCTAATCATGCATCGTTTAAACCAACAGGAAACACTATTGTGTGCCAGTATTCCCTCCACCCCATCCTATTCCTTTCAAACAGATCAGAACAAAGGTTGTCTAACTAAAGCTTTTATGATGTTAAGTCTGGCTACATAATACAAAAGAACAATATTGCAGAAGTCAATAATTCTGGACGGAGGTGAAGTTAAAATACTAGCTATTAGAGAGATGTGGCTTAATGTTACAAAGCTGATTCCAAACTGAATACCTCTCCTCCCTTCCAAACCTAAAAGAACTTATCCATCTTGCTGCCTATGGGCCCATCACCAAGAATGTCTGATGCTTCTCAGTTGGGCTGCCCTTTTTAGCTGACACTTAGTATTAGATGATGTTTAGTCCATCTGCACCCAACTCTGAACACTCAGCTGAATTTCCCATGGAACTTGAAACTGTTATCTTTGGCCACCTCTCTTACCTCTGAGTCACTTGGCTTTAGCATTTCAACTAAGCATTCCAATCCTGTCTAATTCCGCTTCTGATTCTTAAGGCCCAATCCCCACAGTGTCCATAATTTCGGTAAGACTATCCTTGTTTTCCAGAGCACATCTGAACACAGGACATTTCACCTGTAAAGGGATTTTGTTATGCCTGCTGTCTCAGCTGAGTTTAATGGAGAGTGTATTTCCTAATGCACGCTACTCTGAAATGCCCCACAAAGTTATGTTAAAGCAGAGTTTTCTTTTTTCAAACATATATTTCAGCATCAAGAGATAACCAGTCAAGTTCCTCAAAGCAGAAGAAAAAGTCTAAGTCTCAACAGTATAAAGGACATAAGAAAAGTAGGTAACAAAATAGTTTGTTTTCATTTTCCTATTAGAAATCGGTGCCTTTTACTCTCAGAAAATGTAGTTTAAATGCTGCTTTTTCATACAATAGTTTTCAAATTTAAAGGTACATTTTCACATAGGGACAACTCTATAAATTAGAAGTACATTTTTGTATTATGAAATAAAAGTGTAAATATATGTAGGATATGAGACATTTACAAAACTCAGAGTCTCCAGTATCTTTAAAATTTTGATGCTCAGTTTTAGAAATTACAAATATTTTTTTGCCAGAATGAAAAGAGATTGAATAATTCAACAAGATGAGATGGATGATATATTTCACCAGTCCATCTTTACAGAATTACATTTTAGGGCTTTTTCTTCAGAATCACATGGAACTACCACCTTCAGGTTAAAGTAGGATAATCATCTGTTACAGCTTGCCATGAGTGTCAGCACAGAAACTGGCTGAAGAACGTATCTTTTAAAGAGGGAGGTTAGAAGAAAACACCCAGTGTTTTCTTGCCTGCATTGGCTATGATAAGACTTAAGTTTGGTATTCTTTATATATTGATCCTTTTAGTGTTCATACTAGTACAGTGGTGCCTCGTACTTTGAACTTAATTCATTTCAAGGGACCGTTCAAACTCTGAGTGGTTTGAAGTCTGAAACTCTTTTCGCCATTAGAAATAATGGAAAACAAATTCATCTGTTCCTAGACCCTAAACAAAACCATTTCAATAAACTTACACCTCAAATACGCATAATTTAAGTTAAAAATAACACAGTGGCATGACAAAATTATCAATTAAAACTTGAAAACATACAACACAAAACATTCTTACAATGGCTTATGCCAGTAATAGAGCCAAAAAACAAAGCGAAAAAAGCACTGAATATGCACAAAAACGCATGCACCGAAAACACAGAAGCATTACACAAGAGATGTTTCACAGTGAGAGACTACTTGGGTGCACAATAGATGATGTTTACACAGTGACTGTGTTTTTTTTTTACTGCATGTGCAGTTCAAATGTTAGAGGCATTGTTCGAACTTTGGGGCGATTATATCTCGACCTAGCATTTGAACTCTTGATCATTCGAAGTTAGAGTTGTTCAAACTATGAGGCACCACTGTATATCATCTTAAAGGCAATTGCTTTTTGTGGCATACAGAGGCCGAGAAGGTTAATGTTTAGAGTCACAACTATGAATGGTCTTAAATTTTGGAAAGACTCTTTTGCATAGGAAAGGATTATGAAATCATGCTAGATTCTAGCCAAATAAGATTTTGATTATAAAACCACATTTTGAATAGGCACACATTCAAGTGATACTGTTAAACTTTTCATAATGGCTCAGCCTTCATCACAGTTCAAGTTTGGTTTCAGGGAATACAGTTCATTTAGAATTGAACTGAAATTCCTATACATGTTTACTTCTGAAATTCACTGACATGACATGGATGGCTAATTCCCAGTTGGCTGAACTACAGTTCAGCTGCCAGAAATGAGCAACAAGACCCTATGTGCCTTCTTTGCCCTTTTGGTTCCTCCCTTCCTTATTATCATTTAATCACATCGTCAGGTGTAGTGGCTGAAATGGGGAACTGTACTTTACTGCCTGTTTACTTGCCAGGACCCCATTGGACAACAAATTGGTATGGCAGAGATCCACATGATTGGCTCCACCCATGTAGCAGCAGGCATTTAAACATTGCAGCAGCACTGTGGAAAGAACCTCAAGGATTGCAGTCCACATGTCATTGCCATATTGACTAAATAGTGCCTCAGGCTGTGGCCTAAATTCAACATACTTTTAGCAGAATAGTTTGCTGCACTAGCAGAGCTCTGCTACCTTTTCCTGTTGCACAAGGCTAGTGCACCACTTTATGAATGTAGGCTCTGAAAAGCCCGAGTGAACAATTTTGTTTTCAAGAGCAACTTTAGGCATGCCACAGCTTCTGCTCTTTGAATCACACATGGGATCAGGTTCCAGAAAGTGGCTGCTTCTATGAGAAGGCCTGATTACCTTTCTGCTGATGCAGTGTTGGTCATAGAACAACCAAAAAGTCTGCCTTGAAAGAACTCAAGTGGATCTGGTGTCTGTAGGGGAAAGTGGTCAGCTGAGTTAAAAGAACACTAGATATCCCAGAGGGACAAGTTAGCAAGGATTTCCATAACAAGAACATTGTCAACAATAAGCCTGGGAAGTCTTTATAACCTGTGAACAAAAGGGAAGTGATATATTCCTTGAATGGTCCAGTGTGCTCCCAGTTATGGGTAACTGCCACCACCGCCCTGGCCTAGCACTGGGCTGGGGTGAACACTCCAGGAAGCACCACCCCCTCCCTCATAACACCCCCAGGCTCTCTGGCTGGGTGTCTCTAAAGAGAGGGGAAGCTAATCCCACCTCAGTTCTTTTCAAAATTAGATTTCTTTAGTATGCTGCTTGTAGTGTAAAAATCACTTAACTCCCCCCTTAACTTAATCCATCGTGGTTTGGCAGCCTGGCTGTTGCCATATAACGTGCCAGATGTCTTCACCTATCCATTACTGGCTAGTCCATTTGTCAAGAAGCATAGAAATCCTGCCTGTCAGTGGGATATTCTGAAACATTTGACAGTTCTGTTTGAAAATGGAAAAATTCTGCTTTTTGAGGCAAGAAATTGATCTGCATCAAAGGCACAAATGTCAAATTAGAAATAGTAACAGTCTCAGCTCTATTTGCAACATAAAGCCTGTGTAACTACTCCCAGACATTCATTCTTGGCCTTCTACTACCCCATTAAGCTCCATAATGTTATTTTAAAGTATAAACATTGATAAATGCATGGTTATAAACCAAATTTGATTAAATGCATACATATAGCCCCTTACCTTTTTAGACTTAATTGGTATTGAAAGTAATTTTTCCTATTACATCCTTGTCTATGCTATCTTGAATAACACTGCATACATTTGCAAAGTTTAATATCTGAAAACTGAGCTGTAAACAAATGTTGTTATTCTTTTTGCCCATTTTTCTTTATTCTACCTTTTATTTAAAAACTTAAACTTAAATCAAATCCACTATATATGCAGACTCTAATCCAAATCTGTTATATATGCAGACTCTAATGCTACAATAGATTATCTTATTTCAGTTTCTTTGTGGGTTGCTTTACTCTGTCACATGATAATTGTCTCCTTTGAGCTGACCATGTTTTTTTAATTGTGTTTGAAATTTAGGTGGAATATAGCTTAAGTGGCAAAGTCTAACCCATGATAACTGAAATGCCCTTTAATGGTGAACTGAAAGGGAAAGTCTTACTCTACTTCTCCATCTAATCTAGTTGTACTGTAGAATGATTTCTAGTTCTGACTCTTCTTGCTAGTTGGAGTTGCAGAAATAGCCTTAATTTTAAATTGAATTTAAAACAGAAACTTGCTGTATATTAGAAGAAATTTTGTTAAAATTCACTTGGACAAGATAGCCTGATTTTGCGTATTATGCACTGGAATGCTATTGATATTTCTATATTGTGCTAATGCAATTCTGAAGTTTTAAAGGGTTGCCTTAACTTGAAAGAAATTGCAAGGATGGATACACATAAAGTAGAAACTATACAGAAGGCCCATGTTTGACTTTAGGAAGCTGTGAACTAAAGCAACTGATGAATATACAGGGCAGTGGGTTCTACTACAAAAGTACAATGACTTTTGCCTCATTGTAATAGAATACACATTCTATTCCAGTGGTCTTTCATTCACTTGGGATTTGATAGTTTGGCAAATGCAGTGTGAGGGATGGACTACAGTAGCATCAAATCAGTAGCCTACAGCATACTGATAGTGTATTATATTTATGCACTTTTCCTTAACTTGCAGACCAAAATGTACCTAATAGCATTTGTTGGAAAGATTTACAGCAAATACAGTGCACTTCATATATAACTTGTGTGTTCATTATGCTGACTCAAAACATTTAGCTAGCTGTATTGGATAACAGTGATAAATACTGTTCCTTATACTATCCATGTTTCTACAGTAGGCACACTTTGCACTAACCTGTGAAGTATATCATGATAATATTTTGTGTTGAAATGCTATTAAGTAAATGCAGCAACGTTCTCTGGAATTGGAAGGGGGATAGTCTACTGCTTGGGATATTTTTCACATGGCTTAGAAGGCAGAGCTGATCTTTCAGTCGGCTCGTGAAGTGGCATCTCCCAGGCTAATTCTGACCTGCTGATCAATAAAGCAGAGTTTGTTAAATTGTAGCAGGTGGGTAAATGAGATTGCTACTTTCTCTCTTCTCCTTACTTCCTGTCTGGGATGGAGGGAGTGAAAAAGCCTGTACTTGCCTATTGTCCACAGTAAGGTACCCAAGGAAGGGGAAGAAAGTATGTGTCATAGTTCCATAAATCCAAAACAATTTTGGAAACTAGTGATGTGAGATCAGTAAGAGAGGAAACACTGCTTCTCTTCCCTTCCATGAGGGAAAACGGCAATAGTAGCCTTACTTTGTCCAGGTGAAAAAAAAATGCTGCTAGCAACATAGCCATGTGCATAATCAAGGTAGAACAGCAGAAGAAAGTGGCTACCATTGAGGAAGCTAAAGGTGGCTCTAAAGGCAACAATGGGAACATGCAGCCCTCTAAATGTTGTACCAATCCCATCAGCCCCAGACATCATTTCCAGTGGTCAGAGATGATGGGAATTATGGTCCAACACCTGGAAAACCACAGGTTTCCCACCTCTGATTAAAAACCTGTCAAGTTGCTCATCTCAGGAGAAGCCACTTCAATAATAAAGGGAGTAATTCCATGCTTAGGCAGAATCTCCCAGATAGGGGAGCTGTTTATTCTTCTCATTCTTGAAGTGAGTTGACATCTGGCAGTAGAATAAAGGGTTGAGAGACTACGATCAGTTCTAGATGTGAACCCTGGGTTGGAAAAGAAGCTCAGGGAAAACAGGTCCAGAGAGCAACTGTGCTGCATGGTTGCAATCAAGTGCAAGTTTTGATCAGTAGTCTAGATTTCAAGACTAATATCTTCCAGACCCAACTAATATGTTTTCCCTTAACCTTCCAGGGGAGGGTAACTGGACCCTTAACGTTTTATTTAAAGACCCTTAATGTTTTATTTAGGTAGTTTGCAAAAGGACAAGGGGGCTCAGGTGCTGTAAGTTGGATACTTTTCACTATGGCTGAGGTTGCATTGTGAGTGAAGAATGCTGTAAAGGATTTTTGATTTACTAACAGTTTTTTGAAGTGGAACCTATTCTAGAAAGAAGTACTGTTGTCAAATATGCTGAAGAGCTTGAAAATCCTCCTACCATACTCTCAGTAAGCTTTTTCCAACTTGGTGCCTTTCAGATATGTTGGGCAGTTTTATTCCTGTCATCTCAAACCAGAATGGCTAATGGTCAGGAACACTCAGAACTGTATTTCAAAACATGTGGAGGACAACAGTTTGGGGAAAACTGCTCTGGGTGGAAGAGGCATTTCCTATGAATCCATCCCCCAGATAGGAAGAGTATTCTTGGCCACTGTTTCTTCTTGATTCCCCATTTTTTTCCATAAAGGGGTGTCAGATATGGACTTTTCAGAAATCCCATATGCTGATCTTCTGTTGAAGTTATCTTATTAGTCTGTTCAAATTTCTGCTGTTGCACAACTTGATTTGCATACTGATTTGTGATCTGGGAGTCTGTTTCCCAGAATCACTGAGTGATCAGTTCTGCCTTCTGAGTGAAGTGGGGAGAGGGGGCATCCTATAGAACAAAAGTCTTCTGCTACCTACTGAAGCACAAATCCACAGGTAAGACTTTCATTTATACTAGAGTGACTTGGTATGCTCAGCTTCTCTGGGTTAACTAAATTTCAAAGCACTTGTCTGATGATCTTTGAGTGAAGGTTCCACATTTCTTGTGGAGTCACTATATAGGACTGGTTGAATAGGTACTCCGTCAAGGGCAGTGGGGAATTTTTGCAGTGGAGAAACTCAGTAGGACAGTCTCCATAGCCACCATTCTCTCTCTTTCTCACTTCCACACAGGCACCAGTCCAAAGATCTATATTAGCAAAGCAGTCTAGCAGTTTTCATCACCAGGAACAGGTCTTTAGAAGAGGTGTTGGGTCTTAATTACCCATTCACCTAGTCAACCCCAAATACACTGCATTACAGCAGAGAGGACGCCCAACCATATGTTAGGAAAGTTTCTGTCCCCCACCCCCAGAGCCACTGTGAGGATTGCAGCTAAGCTCAGAGAACAAGGATTTCTGAAGGGCAGATGACATCAGAATCCAGCTAATCAGAAGTACTACACCACTGGTCAATGAACAACTGCTTACAGATTTCCTGCAGAGATTAGGTTACTTGGAATGACTTACCATATCTGGAAATATCCTCTGTTTGCAGGTTTTATAGATACATGAGCATGTGGAGTTTTTTAATGGTTATAGTGGAATAAAATTGACAGTTGAGCCATATGAAACAATACTTTTCTGCTAACAAATGTGCTTCTATAGCATTTTCTAGATAAATTCATTAACACTTTGCAAGTGAGCTGTAAATCAAGGCGAATACTCAATGTGTTGCACTTGGAGGATGTCTCATAGAATCCTATGGCTGTGCCATCACCTTGCCTTCCAAGAGAATTCCCTTGACTTTAGTCAATGAAGATTTGGGCACACACAGAAGTGTCCATGAGCCAGATGAATATCAAGCGGAGGCCGTTCTCAGTGAGTGCTTAGTCTTGAGTTGCCTTAATGCACTTTGATCTAAGTGTTTTACTTTAGTTTGACTTGATGTTTAGAGAGGAAGATACCAGTTGGGAAGAAGCCTGTCAGTTTGACGAGCGTACCCATGACAGGTGGGGTACGGAGGAGCTTCTCTGGTGATGAAGAGTTGACTCCTCAGTATCGAACCCTTCCAGCACAGACAGCCCCGGAGGCCTGCCAGCCTCCCAGGACTAGCAGAGAGTTCAGTCCCAGCCTCAAAACAGGTAATTGGTCATGTAAAAACACTCTTATTATGGAAGGCAAAGTTCACTTAGGATCAAGCATGGTCAAGCATAAAACATGCTGACTCATTGCCGCTCTCACTTTTCATTTAAAAATAGAAAGAACATTCATTTCCTCTGATACTTGCATCAGCCCATGAGCCCATCTCATTGAATTAATCATAACAGTTGAGTCCCTGATTTTATGCTGCTTCAGAATTCAGCGAATACTATTTCAAAATGAATATAATAAATTCTTATTTCATTGGCCACAATGAAGCAAGATGAATAAGGGCCAATATTCATCTAGAGTTGGCTTCTCTTTTATAGGTTGAATATAGGCAGAGAATTGATGATTGTGGTATACCTCTGTGGGGACAAAGGAAAACTGTTTCTGAGAAGTTTAAAAATACTGCTGAACGTGCACTCAATTTCTCAGAAATGTTTTTAAACACGACAACAGATTTTTAAAAGGAGGAATGCACTTATTTACTTCTAAACATTTCTGTTCAAATGTGTCCGGGATCATCATTTTGATCATTCTGACAAATTGAACTGGAAAAATGCGGCAAAGCAATAGCAGTTGAGCCTCACTTAATACAATCTATGGAAGATTAATACAAACAGTTCTTCAGATGTAAGAAAACACAAACAGTGTACTGTCAAAGTGCTTAGTACAGATAGGTGCTTCTGTTTAAATTAAAACAATTCCAACTTAATGATTTTTGTCATTTCCATTGTCAATCTAATCATGAGCTCCACTTGTATAGGGAAAACATGAATGCTTCATTGGTCACTTTAGAGGAAGAGGTAGCACCATATATGTGAAGGATAGTTGCACATTTGTTATCCTATTCAAGATTTCTTTTGCCAACTTACTTATTTAACTTGAATACTTAAGTTCCTAGCATATTTAACTTGGTTTGTTAGTCCGATAAAGTTTATCAGTAGGAAAGACAGTATTTCAGCCTTGGACATGAGTTATTGGCAGTTCCTTTCCTTGTGAATTTCAATTAATGTAGAATTCTAGCTAGATCGTGGAGTTCCTTTTACAGTGTAATCTGGCTCACAAAGCTGTCCAGTTTTTATAGCTTCTGCTGAGCGAAAAGATTGAGCAGGACAGGAGGCCCCAGAGAAAGCATTGCCCAGTTTGGGGTTTGTTTGATTTATCCATCGAATTCCTTCACATCCAGCCCTGGCTTGGATTATTGCTACTTCTTGGATAGCTGTAACTATCGCAGCATGCATTTGCTGTAGTTATTGGTAAGAGAGAATGTTCCACACCTGGCTGAAGTCTTCATCTTATGAGCAGGAAGTGCCTTTTCCCAGTAAGTATATGATTTTTGCTCTATGAATAATCAGGAAGATAAATTCCAGCTCATGTTACATCCCCATTTTCCTGTCATTCCAACATCTCTGCAGGTGCATTGCTCAATGATAATTCACCTTGCTGCTTTAAAAGCTGATCTTACTACCTGGAATATTCATGCTGTTAATTTTCTTTGTATTTAGAATGTTAAGAATGGTAATATTTGTTGCATTTCAGCATGGCAAGCAATAAAGCCTTCTGACAATTTTTTTTCTTAGCAGAATGATCTCTTCCAATAATATGTGATATCCCTAAATTAGTTTTCAGGATATTTTGTCTGGGGAACATATTGGCATGATGTGGCTTGGGAACACACTGGCATTATCTTGCAGTGAACTTACAATGTGGCAAGGCATGGGGGTACTAACTGCATTTGTGAGGGCTAGTAAGCAATAATTAATGATTCCTTCCTGCCTTTTAATGATTTTCCATGTTCACTTTGAGTCAGAAACATATTTCCTTGTACTGAAAAAGCCAGCCATTTTAGAGAATCATCTTGAAAAGCTGTATTTGTACCACTGAATCAGTCATGTTGAAAGATCTGAAAAAAAAATATATTTCTGAAAGGCATGCAATTAAATCTCTACAGTTCCTGCCAACAGTTCCTTAGGGTAATTTGTTGAACTGCCTACCTGTTTTGAACTACTTATTCATAGGAATGCCACTTTTTGGATCTATATCTAAGATCCAGTTTTAATATATACTTAGTAAAATGGTGTTCACCTCTGGACTTTAAGAAAATGTAAGTTACATGTACTATCCTTTAATGTTTTGATTTTTGAGCTTCCATTTTTAAATGTAATATACTTTCTCTGTGTGTGTGTGCATTCTCTAGAAACAAAGGACTAATCCTTATAAATGTTTAGCAACTTTTATTTATCCTTTTCTTTAAAAGGCTGTAATAGGGATCAGAAATGGATCAGGCTTTAATTATGCAATGTTGATAAAAATATTAAATGTAGAACTCTAGCAGCAAACAGACTTCTACCGAAAGCAAAAGGCCCTTTACTAATGCTACACCATGAAGGAAAACAGATTGTGTGACCTTGATACATATAAGGTGGACTTGTTCTTTCACACTGCAGTGCCAAACAGATTTACTTATTTAAGGGTACAGCCCCATGCATGTTTAGACAGAAAAAAGTCCTGCTATTCCGAGCATTCCCTAGCTAGCCTATGGGAGTTTTTGTGGAAATTTCCTATGTAAACATGCATAGCACTGGGGTCTAAGTTAACAGTATCCCATTATTCTACTAAGGAGCTGAAGGCAACATGTGTGAGAGTTTTAGGAACTAACTAAAGTCATGCTGATTTGCAGACAGAACAAGGCCGCTTTGACTTGTGTCTTCCAGCCATACCCAGCTGGGATTCTTTTTGACTTCACCTTGGCAACTAAACTGAAATGAAGTTCTTTGAACTTAGCCATCTAAAGGATTAGCCAAGGGGTTGCCAGATCTAATGTGATTGCTCCTGCCTATCAACATCTCTTGTAATGCTGTGAAAGTAAAATTACTTACCCTGCTAAAGCTATACCTCCCCTGCCACACAAATGCTATTTTGGTGCAACTGTTAAGGGTATTGGAGCAAATATAGTAATTCTGATTTGAGGTACCCTTGCCACAACTAAGTGGTATGGATTGGATCAAATTTCTTGGAGTAAAGATTCAAATAATATCATTGTCATTGCCATTAATGACATTTCTAAGCAGTAATGAACTTTTGTAACTGCTTCCAAGTTACTTTCTTCAACTCACTGTAAAGCTGGTTTATTATCATATAATAAAAAGAAAAATACCTCTTTTCCCCAGATACTGTTACTAATTATCAGTCACTGGGTCTTTTTGTCTTTCTAGCAATGGGCAGTATCCAACACTACTTCTCTTTTTATGCCTTTGATGCACCACTAATTTATGTGGCCTCCAGAGAAAGCCATTGTGCCAATTCCCACTGTTAGTATGCCACCAGACTGTCTCACTTACACTAGTGAGACAGCAATAACATAAATGGAATGGCAGTGCAAAATACTGCTGTAACATAATTTTTAAAACTAGCTTTTGGCAAATTATTGGGTTCACTGTGTTTTTGTACCAACTAAAAAGTATAAAACATTCTGGTTATTTTCTTCGTTAAAAGGATCAAGCAGTCGAACCCTACCGAAGGGGGAGGTTGTGTTACTTTTTCTGAGTCCGTGTTGGCAGGAACCATAAATACGGTGATCTGATGTCTTGAAATGCTGAGCAAACTTGTGGCTTGACAAATAGACCTCTTACTTTTTGTCAAACCACCCTGTACTTCTGAATTTCCGTAAGGTTTAACAGTGGGTTTAGGGATTCGTCTGTACATCCACAGCATGGGATAAAGCTGAAGAATCACAACTTTAGAGAATCCAAAAAGGAATTTACTATTGTCCTGGGCCACAATCCAGCGTTATAACAAAGGCTGCTACTCAATTTCAAAATTAGTTTTCAGCTGGTATACAAATTATTGCCATTTGGAGAAATCAAGTCCACCAGGCATGCTAATCATGTGTGCTTTTCCCTTCAGGGTCAGTGTGTCCTTGAAGTCCAACCACTGCTTGTCTGAGATACTTATAAGTTGAATATGAAATGGGTAGGGAATGAGACTGTAGCACTCTTTTCCTGCTGGAGCCTACTCTGAAGAAAAGTCTCAGCAGTGGATTAGCTTCCACACTCTCCATGTGATCTTCCATGAAGCTCCTTCCTTTCCCCACACCCCTCCAGGGAGTGGTGACTATCAAGCGAGTTGTAGAATGGGCATAACAGGTGGGCGACAGCTGAACAGGATGCTGCACTTTTGTGGTTCTGTTAAGTAGGCAGAATAAAGGCATCTACTTCACTTGTGATGACTAAGGGCAACGTATGTGGGATAGGGATTAAAGTTTACACTGAGCAAATAGTTGAATATGTATAATTTTGTCATTTTTTAATATTTAAATTCTTTAAATTTTATTTAGCAGAGGAAAATGTGTCAGCAAGGAAGATGATATAGAACTGTGCTAAGAACGAAATGAACTGGCCTGTATGTTTTAGTAAGGTTCCAAGTAGCACCAGGTTGTACTTTGAGACTACATTACAACAGAGACTCCTTTGTACCATTAAAAGACACGTATGTCCATGTTTGTAACACAAGCTACAATACTGGATCAGAGCAAAGATCAACTGAATTTGCCATCTTGTCGTCAAAAGTAGCTACTAATGGATGATTCAGAAGAAGTGCACAAGAAAGTTACAGTATAATCTGCTCTCGTATCACTCCATTCTTTCAGCCAGGGCTGTAAAATCTTTGTATTATTCCTTTAGTTATTTGATCATCAGTCATTTGAGACTGCATCACAACAGTCGTCTTTGTACCCTTTTTGATGCTTCTTATTAAACTTGGTCAATGTTTTGTTTTGCCACCTTGGTCAGTAAATGTCACATTTTTAATGTGGTTGTCTATATGGCCATATGTTATATAACATTTTTAACAAAAAGTTTTTTTAAAACAATGGTCAGAATTAGGTTTAGAGATTGTATTAAATATAACAACCTTGTGCAATATACCATATTTTGATGGTTTTCTACTATCACAGTAAAATATATGCTGATTTAAGGAGCAGTTCTCAGCTGTGAAGAAGGATATGGTGGCCAATTGACTGCCAGACATGATTTGGTTGATTGGGTTGGCTAGTGGTATCCCTGCCCCATCCTGTTCCCTTCAGGACAGGTAATAACATGAAAATCTAAATTGAACATAAAACTAAATGTCCCTTAACCCATTTAAAATGCTATAATAGAGTTAAACATTTTACCATGTTTCTCGGAAAATGTATAACTCTTTTTTTTCAAGAAAAAGGGGCAGCCACTGAATACAGGTTGTCTTTGTGCTTAGTTGGATTATAATATGGTTTTGGCATAGCCAAGCAGGTACTCAGGTGATCTAAAAGTCAGTCCGCAGTTCAGAAACATTTAGTAATGCTTAGTGAGAAATGTGCCCCCATAGTAATGGAATGAAGTGTGTTTAAAGTCACATGTTCTTCGTCTTGCACGGAAAGAATTTGCACATTAGGGAGAGCTGGTGTAGAAAAGCCTTGGCTATTGGGCAGCATAGAGCTGAGCTGAGCTGGGCTCAGGCTTGCACTCAAGAGTCCTGTTGGCACTGGAGGAAAGGTGCCGGGCATGTGGTTTTCTTCCATTCTTTTCCTCCCAGCAGCATCTCTCTTGCTGTTCCAGAGCTTGACTCCTAAGGAAGTTCCACTGGATTATAATGAAATATATCGATTTGAGTCAGAAGTAAAATGAAATGGCAAAAGCCAAATGTTGATTGAAGTTGTTTTTTTAAATTTTCAGATAGGTCTTTAAAGCCACAAATGCAATCCTGGGTAGAAGCGGGGTTCTCCCTGTCTTTTTCCTGCATAGAGGCCTTTGAGTGCAAAAGAGAGCTGTGTAGGGCAAAAGCAAAGCTTCAGGTGCATCACTACCTATGGCAATCCACATTTAACTGGGCCTGTGTGTTCCTGCCAAACAGGTGATTGCTGTGGTTAAAGCCAGCCATTGCCACCTTTGATGAGATACATGCATATTCCATGGTCAGTTTTGTGGGATCTGGGTCTTTATGTGCTTAATGCAGGAAGCAATGCTGCTGTTTTATTCAGCATGCTTTAAGGCAGCACCCAGAAGGATGCATGCTGGGCGCTGCCTTAAATACACATGTTTGGTGTATTTCTTTGTAAGAAAGAATAAACCATCCTGAGGGACTTAAAAGCAATCATAGCAAAAGAAGAGGCAAAGCCAAAGAAGTGGGATTGCATAGTCTTCAAGAAAAAATGAATGAGACACAGAACAGTAGCTTTCAAATCCATAAAAGGCTGTCTGTAAATAAGAGGATTGTGTCATGGTCTTAGACTAGTTCAGATGCCAAGATTACAGCAGTTACATTGTATTTTACTGGAGCCTTAAAATTCACCAGCTGCAGCCTGATACAAAAGACCTATGCTTAGAATTAAAGAATTCTCATCCTGGTAATTTGGTTCAAGTACCAGAACCGAGCAGAGTTCACAGCTATTCCACATATTAACCCACTCTCATGCCCATTTTTTTTTTTTAAGATTTCAAGAATAAAATTTAGAGCATGAAGGTAGGGGAGGGAGGGAGAGCCACATTGTTGTGGCTATTGAGAGTCAGAAATCCTTGTTAATCTGCTGAAAATCATTAGCAATCTATCAATGGCTCCCAGTCTTTTACCTTCATATTCCTGGGCTAGATGACCAAAGTAGTTGCTTCCAGATGAATTCATTCTACTTGTTCGGTTGAAGTTATGGAAATATGTGATGTAGCCCATTTGAATCTGAATAGTAATCCACCAATCTCAATATCCTATTTTAGGGCTAGTTCTTATTCAGGTTTGTAAACTTGTAACTGAACTGTATCACTCTTCAGACTGGGTGGGCTTACGTTATAGGAGTGCTTCATACCCCCCAAATTCCCACCCTTTACATAGAAAGGTCTGGGAGAAGGTTTTCTAGCCTAGCTTTTTCCTAATGTGCTTAATCTGTATGCAGAAGATCATTTGTTAAAACTAGCAAGGTGTTTATTGACAAGTAAAGATAAATATCCATACAATTCTCATTCTGTCACTGTACATCTGTGCTGTATTCCAGCTTTCAGAAACCACCTGTGCAATTGTAATTGTGTCCCACTTTGAATCTTAAACTCTTAACTTGGGTGAAGACACAGGGTTATGACATTAGTAATTTGAATTACATAGGTATTTTGCAACATTCCTAGCATACTATTTTTAAAGCAAGTCTAAACATTCCACTTCTTGACTTGCCCTGTCTTTAAAATTATATTAATTTCTGTGTAGCCAAAGAAATTTTCATTAATTTTATTTGTAAAAGTCATGATTTTATCTAGTATAGAGGAATGCATCTGTTTTCAGAGTAAGTGGTAGATTTTAAAATCGGGGAGCTTTATGTGAGACAAGGGGCTTCTTTTCTAAGATGGTACCTGTAGCTTGAAAAGAATTTTTTGAAAATAACTTTCTTTACTTATGTTTAAATGTGTGCATCTTTGATATATTGAAACCTTTTTGAATGTACTTAATGGCAATCACAGTAGAAATCCTTAGGATATTCCTGTGTCTACTTTTCCTTTTATTCTCACCCCTTCAAACACACACTTTTCCTCCTTTCTTTTCCTGGTCACATTTTCTATTTCAGTCCAGGAGTTCAGTGTTAGCATTACTGTGACAAATTTGGCAATTACACACTGCGTTACTCTCAGAAGTAACTACAAAAGCTGAAGCATTGTAGAAAATGTATAGCCCCGGAACTGAAAGGAAACGTGTTACACCCCATTTCTTCAAATGTTCACCTATTTGTATATTTTTAAGTGTTTTCATGTTTAGTCACTTATTTTTGTTCTTAACCTTTCTCGTGTTTAGTTTCTTCACTGCAGCTGAAGGAGGAGTTGCTAGATGGAGAGGAATACAGCTTTCTTCAAGGCGCATCTGATCAGGAAAGCAATGGGTCAGCCAGCCACTACATCAAACAAGAACCTTAAGGGCAAATCAGGGCAGGATGGTACAAAAAGAGCCTTTCTTCAAGACTGACCTTCCCAATCTGATGATACAGTTTGATGGCTTCTACTAAGGGCACTTTGCTAACTGCAGATAAGATTTCAATTCAGAATTTTTGGTGGATGAGGAAACTATTTTAGTGAAAAAAGAATTTTTCAATTTATTAGGAAAAAAAGGTTGACACTTTTGTGTTGTATTCGAAGCTTTTAAAAGAATTTTTGTAATATTTTCGAGTTCAGATTTATTGTGCATTGTTAAAAAATAAATTTCTAATTTTTGGTAAAATTAAAAGCTTAACTATAGCAGGATTGCAGGAAACCCTTTGAGGAAGAAGAGGTGGTAGTATAGTCAAACGCAAATGAACTGTTTGTAACAAGTGAACCTTCTGGTACAAGCTGGGAGATTCTGAATTTTAAAGCTACACTAGTCATATCCTGTCTTTTCTACAGTGAAACCATGCTGTAGGGTTTTAGGGTGGGCAATATATACCAAAATAAGTTGAAAAATGGAGCCTGAAAAGAATTTCCTCTAGAAGTGGCAACATAAAAGACAAGCGTCTGCTTAAGATTCTGGAGAATCAGGCCCTGGGCCAAATCTTTGCTGAAGCCATTTGGTATCGGACTGGATACTGCTGCATCGTGGGTTTCCTGCTCCTCTTTTGAAGGCTTGGAATAGCTATTGATGGAAAGGATCAGCAAAGCTTCAAAGGATCACCTGCAGAGGGTACAAGCTTAGGAATCATTTTTCTTGTGCAAGAAAAGGGGGAGAGACTCAAAAGACCCTTTTCTTCCAGAACATTGACAGGCTTTGTTTTCCGTTTTAGTGGAAGTCACAGCCACTGACGAGGTAAAGGCTGGAGGAGGAGGAGGACAGAACTCTGCTCCTGAACACCACGTTTTGCTTCCCTCCCCTTGAGCCGGCCTAAAGATGGCCTTGGCCCTGCTTTAGGCATCATCTTCTTCTTGACTTCGCTACTGATTCCCTTTTCAAGCAAAATGTTTTCAAACTCTGATGTGACATGGATGCGGAGTTACCTGGAAGCTTTTGTCCGAGAATCAGATCTGTGTGGATATTACCAGATGGCTTCATTCACAGACTTTAACATGCTGACATTTCCACTTTGCGGTGTTGTGACAGGATGAGGTGTGTCAAGAGTTTTGCTTTTACCAGTAAGGTTCATTAACTAAACTCTCAGGAATTAACTGCTTATGTTCTGTAACTGCTTCTGGGTCATAGTAAGTCCTCTTTAGAGCAGTATAACTGTCAAATTCTTGACTCTAGGGTAGAAGTTAGAAAAAAAATCCTATAGAGTAACCTCTACATCCTTTAAGCCTAATGCTTTACAACTAGCAACTCACAATGCCCCAGAGACAACATTTTGGCATATAAATGTTTTGAATTTTTAAAAAAATGCATAGAAAGTTGAAAACCAGCAATTTTGATTTATTTCTTAATTAACTTGCTCTATTGTTCGGTACAGACCATTGGTGATATGCAAAGGTTTACCACATTCTATGCAAGAGGGGATAATGGTTTAAAATTTTGTATTAACTACTGGAAGTACATTTTTTCTGTATAGTATAGAATGTATGAAAACAGTTTCTTGTCATTTTTTTCTTCATATAGCTGGGCCATTTTTGACAACTGCTTTATGTATACATATTTTTAAAACTGAGTATCAGGTGTCAAATACTTGTGAATCTAGGTGGCAATTACATACTTTACGTCTCTAAAAAATTATAATGTTCACAATCTAGAGAAGTGTGAGGGTAGATCTGGGCTTAACTGAGCTGCCTTTTCTTTCTTCCCAACCACCCTCTTTGGGTAGAATGCCCTCCCCGCTCCACAAGTGCTGCATTGTAGCTGTTTTGGAAACCGCTTCAGTTTAGGAAAGCAGCTCCTAATGCCACAAAAGAGGGCTGTTCTTGGGGGAGCAGAGTAAAAAGCTGTAGTGTGTGCGTGTGCATGTGTGCACACACTCACATGTATATATGCACAAGTTCAACTGGATCACAACCAATATTTCCAAGTCGCAGTCAAGGCTGTCCTGCAATCCCTCCCTCCTTTCTCTCTTGTGCAAGTTGTACTTGAGAGCACCATTTCTTCCAGCCAGTGCCTCCCGGACTGAGGATGGGTATCCACACATCTGATGTAAAGGGGAGACTCCAGGGGGAATTGGAGCCAAGACATGGTAGGGATCCCATCTTCCTCCTGTCTTATCCACCTTGCCTGTGCAGAGTGGATGTGATAAACTCTATGCAGGACTGGCAGGACGAAGGCGATGGTGCTCAAGGGCCAGCAGTGTGGCACTTGTCTCAGAGGTTAACTTGAAAGGATTTAGTATTAGAACTTGTGAAAGTATTTCTTCTGATTTCAACAGGGACCAGTTGCATATGTAACACAGCTTAGAAAGAGATGCAGAACAATGCTCACATGAATGTCATCTGTCATGAAGAGGAGAAGGCCAGAGTGAGAACTTGATGTGTGTATAAAACAATTCTTGTTTAGTCATACAATGAACAGTATGCATCCTCTAGGTAGTGCTGCTCCCTTTTTCCTGACATAAACTTTATATCTTCCTATCTGTTAGATGGGCAGAAATTTAGAAGGTGCAACTTTCCTCATTACTGCACATTTTCTACTTGGAAAACGTCACATTAAATTTCTGTCAATCATGCAGCCGTAAAGACACAGACCCTTCGTCAGTTTGAAAGGCGGCAACCCTACTTCTACCTCTATTGAATATGGCAGCTCCTAGAGAATCCACAGCTAAATGTAATCCCTACCACATCAGCCTAGAAAGTGAATCTGAACTCAGACTAACCTGCTGGACCTTTTTCGGCCTAGAATCATGTTGCAGGGGGATAAACTTGACTAGTGCTAGGCTATTAGTCCTCAGGTTTTGAAAGCAGATCTGCGGATTTATATCCAGTTGGTGGCACTGCCAAACTATTGTGATTTTTTTTCCATTTCTGCCTGTGGGTAGGATTGTAGATCCTGAAACGTATGTGCATATGATACAAATGTTAAATATGAAAAATCACTTCTGTTATAATTGCTTCTAACTTAAATTCCATGAAGCTTTCTTGAATGAGCTTGCAGATTAGTTTATCCTAGGAAACTTTTTTAAAAGTCTTGATTCTGAGCAACAGCTATTTGTGGCCTCTTTAACACAGCAGACTGGGTGGCAGTGAACTTTCTCAGTCCTGGTTTAGCTGCTTTGGTATGCATGCATTTTGGTATAATTTAGCTCTACAAACATTTTCTTTTTAAGTTACTGTGAACTAAATGCAAACATATTGGGATTGTGTTGGGGTGGGAAGTTGGTCACGGGCTTGATGCCCGTACTGATGCTAAGGGTCAGCTGGTAATTTCAGTATTTGGCACAAGGCAGGGTGTTTTAAACAAGATGGCACCAGAGATGAGGTAAGTTATGTTGTAAGTGCTCCTTCTTTCTACAGCTCAGAATTTTACAGCTGACTTTTTTATGTTTTAAATTTCCTTGCTGAAAGCAAAAGCAGTTATCAGTTTCTTGTTCTATTGATACTAACACGGGTTTCAGTGTTTGTTTGTTTTTATTGTTGTCATTTTTATGTGATGTGAACACCTTCTCCCATCAATATTTGTATTATGGTGCTAATATATTTGGTAACAATCCTTTATTGGAAAGGGATTAAAACTGTGATTAAATTGATTTTTTTCTTTTTAATTTTCATATTTAAGTCACAACCATTTATAAAAAAAGAAAAAATCAACTTCTGCATCTGGGAAAACTGTATCAGGACAGAAGTTTTAAAAAATTAAATAGGGTTTTTACATCATTTCTGTATGTATTTGATATATAGATCAATATGTGTATAAATTTAATCTTTTATTTTCTTGGTAATTTGTGTGGTCAAATGGGAGCATTTTAAAACCTCTAATGAAATGTACATAACTCAATGAAAAATGTTTTTGAAGAAATTAATGTTACTTTCATTTTTACCAGACTGCAGATTTTCAAGCATGGATGTGAAAAAGCATTAAAATTATAACTTTGTGTACAAGATGAAAATAATTCACTAAATTTGCCTTTTTTTACACAAAATAAAAATGCTAAAGTAAAACCAGGTGGATGGACTTCTTTGTCCTCTTCTCTTCATGAATATCCTTCATAAATAACTGTTGTGATTTTTCTTTCACTTACAGGGTGTTCTCCCCATTCTACTCCAATAAATCATGCAGCAGCATTTTAAATGAGCTTCTGCTTCTGCTGTGCTTACATTAGGCAAGGCTGGAGGTTTTGACCGCATCCAGTGATATTGCAAAATTTCTTCTTGCCTGCATTAACCAAACTTTACTTTTTTTAAAAAGCTTCAAATTAGTGCAGCAAGTTACTCAGTAAAAAGTATGATCAAGTTAGCAAACTTCACATCATTTTGGTATTTTCATTTTCAAAATGTTAGCTTACTGGTCCTCGCACCCATTCTCCTTTGGCACCTTTTATAGCCAGTAGGTCTTATTTTGTCCCATAGCCAATAGGGAAGGTGAGTTGTTTGGAAGATGTATGGGAAGAACAGAAACCTGGTAGTTTCATAGTCAAATGAAAACCAGCATGGTGAAGTGGTTGGTATTGAACTACAACTAGAAAAACCCAGGTCCACTCCACTCTTCCAGTAAGTTCACTGGGTGACCTTAGCATGGTCATTGACTTTCTCACAGGGGGGCTGTGAAAATAAAATCCTGTTGCACTGTCTTGGGCTCCTTGTAGCAAAGTTGAGAGCTTTGGCAGTTGGGCATTATAGAGATAAATAAATAAAATAGCTGCCTTTTCACTTTGTGCATTGCAGGGATAGATCTCTTTATTTATAAGTACCAATAATCCTGGATGTTCTCATTCTAGTGTAGAATGAAACAGAAATGAGAAGTAGCAGTAGGAAATGTGTGGATGGGAGGTCCTAAGATGACAGCAATCCAGGAGAGAGAGCGAGCAGAGACTGTTTTATGGGAATGAGCTTGGAAAGGGGAGATCCTAAAAAAAAGCAATGACTTAAGGTGAGTGGCTTGTGCACTCAGGGAGTTTGTTGCGATGATCCTACAATAACGGTAGGTTCAAAGGAGTGTTTGGGGAGCTTGCATCCCTCTTCTGCTATGCACCAAGGGCCTTGGGTAAGTTACTTCTCTTTCAAGTTTCACTGGTTTTTTGGCCCTCTGATAAGTGGGAGTTTTTGTGACTGGGTACATCCACCATGTTGACATTAGTCTCAATAAATGAAGCATTCAAATTGCATGGCATGTTAAATATTTGTAAGTGTAGTCTCAGCTAGTGTGTAGTCACGTTAGCAGGTTGTCTAACCTTTCAGGGCCTGTAGGCACATTTGAAATTGAGTAGCTTAATTCTGTGAGATGTGTGGCCGATCACAAAATGAGTAAGGGAAAAGTTGAATCTAGTAAACTGAAAATTGTATCTTGAGTTGTCACATTTTGCACAAAGTTTTCCTGTACTCCTCCTTGCATAGCACCATCAGTATTAAAGATTACATTGGTATCTCAGCTGCCCAGGGAAAATCAAGCACCATCAAGGCACATAAATGGCAATCATGGGAGTTATGGGAAAGTACCAAAAAAAGCCCAATTCCTGTTGGGGAATAGGGCATGAAAACACCGATTTAAGTTCCAGGATCTTCTAACATGGTTTATCAAATGTAACTAAAAAAACTTAAAACCTAAGTGTTAATCATGGTTTTCTTAAACCACAAAATTCCTCCTCCAGTTGTGTACTTCCTCTCAGATTTGTTGAACAGTGCTCAACTGATGTGGCTCCATTCTTTTAATGCTGGTGCTTTTAAACTAATGTCATCTTGAACTTGTTATGTGGAAAGTATTCTGGCTGTCAATTATTCTGCCATTATGGATTATTCCATTTTATTGAAAGGGAATACAGCTTTTTGATAACTTAATTTTTTGTACTTGAGAATATCCCTTTCCTTCATAGGAAGGAAATGAAGGAAATGAAACATAGGCAACTTGTTCAGGCCATTGATTAGTATCAGCCTTATCCAAATATAGTCAAGGGTGAAATATGAGGGTAGTTGTAAGCCAAACTAAATGGGCAGGCTGTTAGTCGTCCATTCCTGCTCAAAGACTCACACAGATAACAAATACCTGCATCAATTTGGGTAGCATTATCGTAACTACTTGGCTGGCTAAAACAGGAGCTAAACTAGGGATTAGAAAGGTGAATTCTATTTAATTTTGTCCAATTTGTATACGCCTAATAATTATATAGAAGAATTATTTAAATGCAAATTTTGTGTCTTTAAAAATAAAGAGAACAGAGCAAATTAGTTCATGATGGTTTATTTAATACCACTATTAAATCACAAAGATAACCATTGTATTTGCTTCTATGTGGCTGGAATAACATGCTTTGCTGGAAAAAGGCACAACTCATAGTAAGGTTTATTTTATTCATAAATCCAGTCCTGGGCACAAGATTTGAAGTCCACAAGTTCTGATTGCTTGAACCATAGTTTGATCTCTTTTTCAGCACTTTGCACAGAGTCACTGCCATGAATGATGTTCCTTCAGAGAAAAGCAAGAATTCAGTTACAAGACTTGTATAGAATTGATTACTTTTTTGGAAGCAAGGTTCTGAAAGGGACTACTTGCAGCTAAAGCCAACAAAAAATCTATTCTAAATTCTGGTTATAAGTCCAAGTATGCTACAAGATTCAATCACAGCCTCATGATTTTTCAATCAAATGTACACATGCAATTAATAGTAATGGTTCAACTTGTAATGATAGCATAGCTTGTTTATATTGCCATTCATATAGAATAGCTCTGTTGTTAAGACCTAAAAGAAAACCAGCCATTGTGAACAATTCAATTACAGTAGCCCTGAATGAGCAATTAAGCCCATCCTATAACACAAAAGCTTAAGGTATTCTTCAGATATGTTTACAGACTCTACCAATCTCTTCTTTGAAGTAGTGAGACAGCTTTAAAGGATAGTACTGTCCTAATAGCAGCTTGCAACCTTGTGGACACTCATACAAAAGTATATTTCAGCACCTACCTGCCCACTTGAATGCAGAAATCACCACGGATAGTTCCAGGCTTGGAATCTGCTGGGTTGGTTTCCCCCAGCATCATTCTGCCTGTCTTTACGACATTGAGTCCTTCCCAAACCTGCAACAATAAAATGACTTAACATCTATGCTTCACTATGGTACTTCATCAAAAAGGAGTGAGGACTGTACATTATCAAATATGCTCTTCAAGAAATTATTAAGTTAAAAGTTGATACCGCCACTTAGCAATTAAAAGGCTGTCAGGGTAGTTTACAAGATACATTAATATGGTCACTGCCAAGGGTGGAAGGTCTCCAGGGAAACAGACTAGCATGATGGGAGCGGCCACCCACAAGTAGCCACAGCTGCTGTACCACTGCTTTCTCCTTGCTCCACCGGTTCAGCTCCTGCCACCGATTAACCTGGGGGCTGCATCTTGGTGGAAATCCCATAAACTTAGAATTTCAATTGTTTAGACATCAACTGAACTTGGTAGTAGTAAGAACCCTGCTAGATGAGAGCAAAGGACTATCTCTTCCAGCATTTCGATTGGCATACCACTGTATGCCAATCAGAAGCTTCACAGGGAAGCCACAAACACAACAAGTGCAACAGCATCCTCCGATTCTTCTTGTTTGTGGCCACATCACATCTTCCAGCAGCAAGTTCCACAGTTTAACTGTACTGTGCAAAGTACTTTTTTTAGATGTCCTGAATCTCCCACCACTCAGCTTCATTGAAAAGACCACGGGTTGTAGTATTATGAGGGTGAACAAATAACATCTCCCAATACACTTTCTCCACACCATACATAATTTTATACATATTCAGCATGTCCTACTTGACTCAATCCTTTTTCTAAGCTAAAAGTACCAAATGTTTAATCCTTCTCCCAAAGGAGCTGCTTCAGCTACTTGATCATTCGGTTGCCCTTTTCTGCACTTTTCCCAGTTCAACAATATCCTTATTAAGCTGCAGTGACAGGTGCAGAACACAGAGATGCACTAAGTCATCCTCAACCACACGTACACTACTCAACCCTGTGCTGTGCAGGCCTTTCCAGTGCAAACTAGGCTACAGAACAAAACACTGAGAGGAACATGAATATGTGAAAAACCTCCTTCCCAGTCTTCCAAAGTATTCAATATGAGTCTTACTTAGAGCAGACCTACTGAAATGAACAGTACTTCAGTGTTCTACATACTCTCAAGTACCTAAGCCCACTGGCACAAACTACCAGTAGCTAGAACTCTGCAATAATCTGAAGAGACCTGTTATTTCTCTACAAAAACACAAGCTGTATGCATCTCACAAAGATCAATCCAAGACAGATCCAGCCCTACTGGTGCTGAATGCACGTGTTGGCCCTGGCCCCTAGATCCCACTAAGAGTAGCTATCACACATTTGGCATTGGGACAGACTGTGTTTACATGCTTATGGCTCCCCTCATGGACAGTCATTTGAAGTTCAAGGTTGCTCAGTGAGTTTCCCTTTGATTACAATTCTCCAAGAAATAGCTACTTTCAGCTGTGTAGTTAGGTCTAAGCAAATTCCTTAAATGAGGTGGCAAAGTCTTGTGGCTTTGCCTCACTTATAAATATGTTAAGCTACCCTTCGTCTTTCCCTTAATATTTCAATTCAAAATGGGAAAGAAGAAAGGTCAGTCCTGTGTGTGTTTCCTGGAAAGCCCCATAATTCAGTGGCTTTACTTTCAAAAAGACATGCTTAGGACCAGGCTGCAGCACATTCACAGCACAACTTTAACAGATTACAAGGTATTCCTTTTGAAAGCAGCCTATCAGCTGTCCATCCTCCTGGCAACTTGAGGTTACTGTTTCTACACAAGGGAGCCATCGAAATAGCATCAGCAGAATCATAATTAAGCAATAAAATCAAGTGGTTAAGAATTTTAATGCCGTTAGGAAAATAATTCTATTCTTACTCTATCAAACAAATAGGAAGGACCTATTTCTACCATGAGATGGAACGTGGAGATCTTTGTAGAAGCACATAAATCTGGTCTAAATAAATGGACAGATGATGAAAAATGGTTGGCTGACAGCAATATTACAATGTGTAAAGACTGCCAACTTCCTCCACCAACGTAAAGGAACTAGTTTTAGTCCTGTTCTAACAATACTGTACATGTTAGCAACATCTAAAGCACATCCTGGTCATCAGTGCCTTATGTTGCTTTAAAATTTGAACATTTCTAGCCCTGCTGAACTTCAGATCCTAACTGATTATTGTGCATTGAATGCTGCAAGTAAGATTAAAAAGATACCACACTGGTTATCCATAGCATGTTCACTGAGGAAAAGATAGAGCTATATTTAAATATTCTCTGCAGCATTTATTCATTCTGCCCTAATATAAGAAAAAGGTTGTTAGGGCTGAGATATGCATAGTCATGCTGCAGAGGAAAACAACTAAACTACTACAGGCCTAAGCCGCCTCATCTTTCTCTACCTTTCCACCACACTCGAAAGAGGCTAGGCTTAATAATATTTATTCATCATTGGCTATAAGTTTATGCATGAATACTTACCATGGCTACTACAGGCCCTGAACCCATGTATTTAACCAAGCCAGCATAAAAGGGCCTATCTTTCAGGTCAATGTAGTGTTCTTTGAGATGTTCTTCAGAAGCCTTTAAAGTGAAGAAATACAGAAATGAATTAACCCCCATTCTTGATCACTGGAAGGAGCTGCTTAACCATTCCTACTTGGAAGCCCTTCCGCTGTAATTGAAATAATGCAGTGTCAAACAGTGAGTAGCAAAGCACACATAACTCAGAGGGAGACTGAGATACGATAACTACAGTCTATATTTGGGCAGTTTCAACAGAACTAGCTATACTGTTATTGAAAGGGCTGCATATTATCTTATCCAGTATAAGCTTCTAGTCAAGGTCATGCAAACTGCTTGGCACTGGTTACACAGAACTGCCTGCACTTTGAGAAATGGAAGATTGCAAGCCTGATCAGTTTGATGACAAAACTTGTGTATGTACTACTGAAGGGTCATTATTCCAGCAACAGATAATAACATGATTAGGATGTGTTTTCATTTTAAAGTAGCTTTTGTTCTGCCTTAGCAGATGTGCACAAAGGTGCTGAAGGTGCATCTAGCTTTACAGTGATTATAGGAACTGAAATATGGATGGCACACACATCTCTTGGCCCACAATATTTGCTTGAGGAGTCACCCCCTCCAAAACTAGTATGGAGCAACTGATACATGGATTATTTGATAAAGACATGTTTTAATATTTTAGGCCATGTCAAAAATAAGCAATTCAAACAAATTCCAGCCCAACCTCAGTTGCTTCCATGAATGGTTTTGACTTCTCTTTACTAGTTCCGCCCTTACCTCACTTTACATAGGAAAGAGAACAATATATTCATGGTCTAACCAGTAACGTATTTCCACTGATAGATACTCCATATTGATACACCCTTACTTTCAAAAAGCCATACACCCTTGTTTTAAATAATAGCAAAGTTCCTGTATATATTAACTAACCTTCACTATATAGTTCTATGAAAGTAAAGGTGAAACTTACCTTCATAAATTTCATAGCGACCAAACGAAATCCCTTCTGTTCAAATCGCTTGATAATTTCACCAATTAATCCCCGCTGGACTCCATCAGGCTTGATGGCAATGAACGTGCGCTCTGTGTTGGAAGACATTATTCCACTACAAGAGAAATGCAAAGAGAAACCAGTGAAGACCAAGAGCAAGACTGAACAACAATGCCATTTTCCCATCATGGAAGAAAACTAACAACAGAAGATGAACTGACAGGTCAAAGATAGCAATTAAGATAAACAGTATTTTAAAGTAGGCCAGAACTCACACAACATGCAACAGGCACTGCAAGGAAAAGTCGAATGAATTGGGTACATTTAGGTTGGATGACAGAAGAATGAGGGAGGGTATGATAGAACTCATCAAATAGCTCTAGGGCGGTAATACAGAAGAGGACAAAGGGCCCCTTTGCACATACTGGTGGCAAATCATGGATTAATTAAACCATGATTTGCCATGACTATGTGAAATTAACACATCATATGCTGGGTTCTGTGCTCAATGCCTGCTGCAACCATTCTGAATATGTGATCTTGGATTAGAGGTTTCCATCCAAATGAAGAAGCAATCTTGTAATTTCTAAAATAATTTATATCTACTCAAACATGGTCATTTTCTTTTCACCGGATTAAAATAAACTTTACTAGTCCTCCTTGTAATGAAATAAAAACTTACCCTGCTCTATCAGTGATGGACATTTAATTTTTTTTTCCTATTTAATTTTTGGGAGGGGAAGGCTAAACCAAGGCAGAGTGAAGAAGCAACTCTAGGAAGTAATAGAAGCCAATGCTGATCACTGGGCATATTTAGGACTCAATCCTGATCATTTGCTGTTGTAATGTGTTGCCAAGACATCTCCAACTTATGGCAACCCTATGAAGGAAAGCTCTCCAAAATGCCCTGTCCTTGACAGACCTGCTCAGCTCCTGAATCCTGACCATTGGAAAGGAAGTAAGATTCTCTTAACTTAATGGAACTTATTTCTGAGTAAATATGTATAGGATTGCAGTTACTGATTTCAAACTCTCAAGGGTTCTAGTCATAAGAGAGCCCTTATATGGAAACATTTTGAAGACATTCTCTTGGAAAAAAAGAACACAAGCAAAAGATATTGTTACATAAGGGATTAAAAAGTTTCATTTAAGAATGAGCCATAGCGTAAATCACATTTTGCTCGGTTGTGAGTTTACATGAGTTTGAGGTAGGAGTTGCACAACTGGTCAGGAAATATCTGGGAAAGTTTCTAAGTACATCATTATTTAAATCACCTTGATATAAACCAAATCCCTTCTATCCATCCCTGTTTTAAAAGGTGCCTTTTAAAAATAGATAGCAAGCATTAAATACTGAAATCAAATATTTTCAAACAGTAATGTTACAAAGAAATTATGGAACCAGCTAGTGGTGTTTTTTATTATTTCAAAAGAGTTCCCTTTTCTTTTCATTGCATATGCATATGGATCATGTCAAAGACTCCTGGACTTGAACTTCTTTCTTTGTATCATTCTTTGGCAACCATGAGCAGTGTTTACACTATTTGTACCGACTTTGCGAAGCGCACTCCATGAAGCAGTGACTGAGTCAATACTGCTGCCTTTATTATATGCTATGGAAAGGGAACAAAGAGAAAATTCAGTACTCTGTAGAACCTGTGTGGTGAGCTCCAGGCTCCCTGATTGCACGTGGGCTCCAGCCCAATTTTTCATGCGCAAAAAAGGGAAAAAAAACAGACTAGCTTTACAATTTTGCGCGTTGCACCCCCGCAAATGAGTTTTCCTGTGACTCAGCCACCCTTCACAAGGAAAAAAAAAAGCTCTCAACTGCTCCTGTAGAAGTAGAAGCTGACTTCCAGGGGTAGCAACGCGGGAGCATCCTCCTCCAGGTTCACCCTAGAAAAGGGCTCCTTTCTCTACTTCGCTGCAATTCCCAGAACTCCCGCCCCAGCCCACATCGCCATACTGGTGATGGAGCCGCTGGGAACTGTAGTCCACCAAGCCGGCCAGCGCACCGACAGGGAAGGTCCCGCGCCTTCAGCCACGGCCACACCCACGTGCCAGAACACGCGGGTCCTCGCTTCCTTGGGCGGCGTGAGGCGAGGCTCGCGCTCAACCGGCTAGGCTGGGGAAGGGCCCTTCACCTTCCGCCCGGTGACCGGGAGGGAGCTCCGCCGAACGCAGCGGGGCTTCCTTCCGACGAGGCACATGTGAGCCGGCGCACTCAGCCGCCACCTCTGCTGCGAGCAGGAGAAAGCGGATGCGCCTCGTCCGCCTTACCTCGCGATGCCTGAACCGGGGGATTGCGGGCGCTGCCCTCCAGGCGGCTGCGAGAGCGTCCAAAGGGGAGTGCCCTCCCCAGCCCGCCGCTTCCCCCTAAGCCGGTCCCGGCCATCTTTTCTCCCCCCACTCCATGCCTTCCTACCCTTGTCCCCAGACCGCGTTACTCCTCACAGGATTTCGTTAGCCCGAGGAGAGAGAAGCGCAGCGCTTACCTCAAGTGCAGCGAGCCTTTTTCCAGCCGGACAACGTGGCTTCGGGAGCTGCCTCGCCGCAAACCTGCTGGGGAAGAGGCGGAGCGAGGCCGGGCAGAGGCCGGAGACGGAAGCTGGGCCGCGCCAGGAGCAAAGAGGGCGGTCTCTGGAGCGTGCAGTCGCCGCCGACTCGCCTGCACGTTCCCTCTCCCTTCTTGCTTCCGTCTTCACGGTCGGAGGTGGGGGCGCCTCTTCCCCCGACAACGCCGATACTGCAGGAGCGGACCGAGGGCTCTTCGCGGGTCTTTCGTCGCGAGGAGTGGAAGAAATAGCACGAGCAGTCCAAGGAAACGAGGCGATTCAGATGAGGACTTGAGAGCGTTTTGCAGAGAGAAAAAGGGGGCCAAAGGAGGCGTCTTTTTCACACGTTGCATGTGCCCGTTTACACGTGGTGCGGCGCTCGAGCATCTCTGGATCGCGTTCGCGCGTTCGCACGCAGGGAGAGCAATCTCCCCGCCACACGCTCTCTGCCATCGGCTTGGAGCCCAAGAACGTAAACCACAGCACAGGCCCAGGTGGTCCTAAGGGTATGTTCACAAGTCATCAACCTTTAAGGAAGTGCGGATCAGCATAAGGGATCGTCCTAAGCACGTGAGATGTGCTGTGTGAGACCAGACCATAGGCCTGATTGGTTCAGTACTCTGTTCCTGGAGTGGTCAACCAGCTGTCTTGCGAAGTCCGCAAGCAAGCCATGAATGCAATGCGCCCTTCCCCTTGTGTCCCCAGCAACCAATATTCAGAGGTGAACTGCCTCTGATCCTGGAGGCAGCACATGGCCATCATGGCTAGTAGCTATTGAAAGTCTTATAAAATGAGCGCTACACATACTTTGGAAGCTACCTACCCTGATCATCAGTGCTACAGAATGAGTACAGATGCAGGATTTGCTGCTTTGTAGTAACTCTTCCCAAATATGTTAATATATTGTCCATTCCAATGGTTGCGTGAAATTGATGCCTCTGCTGTGGTCTTTAGAAAGTGTCCCTAGGTTAGGCATGGTGAATGGCTTTCCTCATGTTGTTAGACTGCAACTCCAGTCAGCCCTAGCCAGTAGTGAGAGATGACAGGAGTTGCAATCCAGTTACCGGAAAGGCCATAGATTTCCCATCCATGAACTAGGGTCACAATTGTATGCATGCTTGCTAGTGGGTTTCACTTAATTTCCTGGACCAGAGAATAATTCCCTGGATGCATTATTCCTTCCATTTTGTCTTCTCAACAAGATTGCTTGGGACTGGGATATCTAAAGGAATACCTGTCTCCATATATCCCTACCAGACCACTCAGGTTATCAATGGAGGCCCTCCTTTGTGGACCACCCCCCCCCAAATGAAGTGAGGGGGGAATCGGCAGGGAAAAGGGCCTTCTCTGTTGTTGCATATTACCTTTGGAATTCCTTTCCAAGGGGGGTGCGATGCACCGACTTTTGTCTTGCTTTTGGCGCCAAGTTAAGACCTTTTTATATAGTATCTGGTTTTAGATTGGACTATTGGTTTGCTGCTGGTTTATTGTTTTAGTGGTTATTGGTTATATTGTGTTTAATATTTCCTCCTGTTCTATTTCTGTAGTTGTATTATATTGTATTTTAATCCTATTCTGTTTTATGTTTTTGTCTGTTGTTGTTATTCATTTTTATTTGTATTTTTTATATTGCACTGTGAGCTGCCCAGAGAGCCACTGACTATGGGGTGGCATACAAATGCGATAGATAACTAAATAACAAGCCTGTGAGGTAGGCTTTCTGCGATGGGGGTGTCATAAAAATGTTAAATAAATAAATAAATAAATAAAAATAATAGACTGACCTAAGAGAAAGTGGCTGGCCCACAGTCACCCAACAACCTTTGTACCTCAGTAGGAATTTAAATCCAACTCGTTGTACCCTTTATGCAATCCAGTATTCCTAAAATCTTATCTGAAATTATCCTGTGCTTTAGTTTGCTCAAAAGAGGCACCTAGTTTAGGCAATATGCAGTTTGAGAGTAATTATTCAGTTAATCATCCAGCTATTAAGCAGCTAAATTCCATTAATGGTTGACAGCCTTGCAAAAGATACTAAATTATAACTGCCAGCCAAGTGAAGTATATGCTGTTATAGTTTATAGTGCTGAATTCTAAATATTCTCAGCTCAGAACTAAATAGCACAATTGTTTACCATGGAATGAGTCACGGTCCCAATCCAGTGCTGGACTTCATTTTTCCACTACTTAAAAGTCACGTGTCCCGTGCCACACCACTGGTAGACCAAGCCTTTGGGGCAGCAGGTTAATTTTCCCCCTGCACAAAATCCACTGTCCCCTCCAGAGTTGCCATTAGCACTGAGAGGTTGGGACAGGGATCATACAGGTGCACATCAGCCCCCTCCCCCATGAGTAATACGAGCTTCAAGGGGGCAATTTTTGGTAGGGAAATTGCAAGGGAAAGCATCCTCCCCTCCCCTCCCCTCCCGCCGTGCTGCAAGGTGCAAGTACATCTCTTAAGACTTGGAAGGTAGCAGGGGAAGCCAAGCAATTCAATTATAACACATAGTTTGACCCTCAAACATCATGCTAAACCATGGCTTGCAGTAAAGGAGGGGACATAAGCTTGGGAAGACTGGAGTACCTGCTTTATGTGCAGGAGAGCTCAGGATCAGTCTCTGCCTCTCCCATTAACAGGATCTGTTAGCTGTTGAAAAGAAAGGCCTCTGCAGAGACCCTGAAGAACTGTTTCTGCCACCTGGTCTAGCATAAGCCAGTTCATAGTTGAGGATGCTTCCAAATGTACACACAAATCATATTTAGAGCAGTGTGTCTGCTTTCATTTACTATCAGCAGAGCCCTCCAGAGACAGTGGGCTCTGGAGGCAAAGCCACAGCTTACATTTGTTCATTTAGACATTGTATTGAACCATACTGAGAGCAAACCATGAAGGTGGACCTGGAGACGTTGCATGAAAAACAGAAAGGAATTTTAGTAGTACTGTTTTAGACAGGAAAAAGTCCATGACTGGCTGGGAAATGTTGGGAATTATAGGATTTTCCCCCTGTGTAACCATACATAGCATTGTGGCCTTTAGTTCCCACTGAAATCCATGAGAATTAATTAATTACTTAGAGTCTGGCTATAACCCATGATTTGCAAACCCATTTCAAATCATTATTCCAATTTTATTTTACTAGCCGTCACAAATCAGTGATGAACCAGCAAACCAGTTTAGCTTGGAGTGTGGCGTAATGCTTAAACAGAGCCTGCCTCTGTGGTTTGTATTATGGTCCAGCTAATCACAAGAAAAAAAGTCCATGTATATAAAGAAAATGAGTAAGAAGAATGAAGAAGCAATTCTATAATGCCCTCATTGCAAACAGAATAATAAAAACGAGTAACAGGAGGCAGGGCTTACTGAATGACTCCCACATTAATCTTCTTTTCTCATAAAAGTATGTTTCATAAGCAGTTGTACTAATCTAGCTTTAGAATGACACAAGGGAGCAGTGCTTGGTGAGGGAGAACAGAACAAAGGAGTTTAATAACCATCGGTACAAAGTGTTAGTCTCAGTGATACTGGAACCTGTGCATACCAATGTTAAATAAGCACAAACGTGATATTTACTAACCTTTGTTGCAGCTTAATCATATATCCTATCTTTCTTTCATATGCATTGATTTACTTTGCATTTAAATTTATAGTGCAGTGGCTTATATTGCAGTATAGCACCTATTACTTGACGTTTTAACTTGAAATAGAATAACCCCTTTTACTAATCCATGTTAAGCAGTATCTTCTTTTTCCCTAATCACTTGTATAACATTCTGTGTCCAAGAGAGCAGTTTGCATCCAGTAACAACACATAGGCACAGGCTTAGCCTAAAATATTAGGTTGACTCCACTGAGTACAATCAATTTAGATAATAAAGATAAAGCACATGTACTTGACAACTGCTGAATAAGAACAGATAAAAAGTGCTTTCACATCCTTGACCCCATTACTTTTTGTAATTTGAATGACATAATCTCCAATTTAATAAATATTTTTCCTTCAAAACAACAAACATAACATCATCTATGTTTTAAACCATACCTGAAACATTTCCACAAATATACATGAAAGTGCATGGTGGGAGTGGAAGAACAACGCTAAAGGATAACAGAGGTAGAGACTCTTTCAAAATCAATAGTAGAACAAAGGGATAATAAACAAGGTACACATTAGCTAGCTTCTGACAACACAACAACCCACATTTGAGTGTTGAGAATGGATTAAGTGTGCGCTGTCACTGAACTGTGAGTGGTTCAAATGCGGATTATTGTCTTGTCTGATGCCATCTGCACTAACAGCATGGTTTGTGAACCGCAACTACGCAGGAAGAGAACCCATGGTTTCTTGTGGGGTTGTCAACTGTAGATTGCTTATGGTTAACAAAACATGGTTTGTTAGGGAAGCAGAGTTCGGACAACACATTATTAAGTCTGAAACTAGCCATTCAGTTTTTTTAGTCATAGATCCATGAGTGATCACACCTTGTGTAGTCAACCAGTTCTTCAGCAGAGAACCATAGGTTAATTTCCGTCTCGGCGCTTTCTAGAGAGTCGCTTCCATGAATTATATTTCTAAAGGGGAAAGAATGAAATAATTAGTTCTACTGTGATGAATTGCACAGAACATTAATGGAGAAATTTGGAGAACTTTGGCCAGTCATTCAAAAGCAAACATATTAGTACATGCTGCACTGTCCAGTGGCTCCTGCCAGGATGCTTCTGACAGCCAAAGTGACTTTCCTAGCTAGAAACACCCCAAGAGGAAAAAGCTTGGGTTACACGCAACAACAAACATCTGCACATAAATTTGCACAATAAAACTTTGCTTTTGGTAGAAAACCTCACATGCCTTCCAGAACGCTCCAGCATCGCCCTCACTCCCAGAGCGGATTTGGGGGCACGGAGATTTACAAGGCTGGGAACTGTTCCATGCGTGGTTTCCATTCTGCTGGCAGATGGTCAGGGTTTGGTGCAACCTGTTGCCTCTGAACTGAGCCTTCTAGCCTTTTGCTCCTCTAATAAGTGAGGGTTAGATCTGGCTGGCACTCCCTGGCTTGTTTGGGAGCAACAAGCCAAGGAATGGGTTTGGGTATAATGCAGAGATTTTTCTGGTTGTTGAGTTCATTGTTACTGAAGCTGCTCCTGCTGCTGGGAGAGGCTGAGCAGAAGTGATCAAGCAACATCACGAATGCTGGACCAGGAGTTTGCAGAATTCTGCCTTACCATTTTGTGTGAATGCAATTATATAAGTAGCATTGATGAATTGTGCAAATCAAATAGGTGCTTTTTTCTTTGGTCTTCATATAGTCAAAAGGAAACTCTCAATATATATTTTTTCATTTTACATATAATAAGTATGTGCTCAAAGTCATACTTCACATATTTTGAATGGATTTATCATTACAGCCACCTGTATTTCAGTAACTGCTCACTAGAGTCAAAAATCTAATTCTTTTTATCCACACCAAAGATAAGAAATTAGATGCAGATCTTTGGTTCCATCAGTGAAAGGAGACCATCTGCAGAATGGGACTCCTATGCCTTCTTCCCCCTGCTCCCCAAACAGGTGAGGGAATCTTCAGGGGAGAGGATGCGGATACCTTTCCCTAGTGGAATGAAAGGTCTGGATCCAGCTCAGAACATTTCTTTTCCAAAGTGCCTTGTTCAACTGCATTCAGATTTCCCAGTCCTAAAGTCAATCACATTCCATAATGCCCCTTGTTAGACAAGGCTGTAATAATTTTAAGGACACCCTCAAGGGTAGGAATATCATTCAGTGTCCTCATTTTAAAGTAACCCTGAAGCGTTACGAGAGTATTAATGGAAGGTGCAGGCTAACCTGGACAAAAATCTGCTACCTCCCTGCCACCCAGTGTATCAATGTAAGGAAATGTGGCAACTGGGACTGAGTCACCTGTAGCCAACAGAATTAGGAGGAAACTTGCTGAGACAATGTGCAAAGTCAGGGCCATCTTAGGCCTGTTGGGATATGAAAGTCACCTATCAAAAATCAATGAATCAGATCTTTTATAAATATTCCTTTGCACTCCAAATATCTGCATTTACATTTAAAAAACTTGGATACATTTTCATTCTCAGTTATATATGCAGACCAGGACTAGTAATTAATTTAATTTTATAAGAGAATTCAGAACCTACCTGCCAACTTGTACACAGAAGTCTCCACGAATAGTGCCAGGTTTGGAATCGGCAGGGTTTGTTTCTCCCAGCATTACTCTCCCAGTCTTAACTACATTAAGGCCTTCCCACACCTTCAACAATCAAAGTACTGAGATTAAAAATGAGTCCCCTAATAAGTTATAAGAAGAACACATTCTCACCATTTTACCACAATATTAATAATGCTTATTCTGTCCATAAACTTAACAGGAGCAGGCATATGCTAGTCTTCTTTCAAGGAATCTTTTCTCTTTTTGGGTTATTCAGTACTTCCTGTGCCAAATATTGCCACTGTTCAGAATTTTTTTCTTCATATAGTATAACCTCTGCAATTAGGACAGTTACACGGCAAATAATTCTATGTATACCATGGGCACTCCATTGAAGAATGCTGATGACATAACTGCTAACGAACTACATCACCTCCCCCAGTGCTGTTCCTAGTTGCTTCCACATTGCAGACATTTTGAAATAATGGATCCACTGACAAAATGATCCTATGTCCCCTAGACATTGTCTCAGGGGTCACAGGATACTTTGGATTCCCAGCTTCAAGGTCAGGGGCAGTGTTTGTATCTTGGAGCTAGGAGTAGACTCCTCTGCCCTTCCCCATCCACTTGCAGCCAGCACAGTTCTTTTTGTGGAAGGAACTGCATCAGCTACTTTCCCAGATCAGAAGAGCTGCTGAAAGGGGTTAAAAGGAGGCTCTGAGGGGGCAGCAGGGAAGGGAGGAGACTGGAGTGGCTGGATTATGAGGTATTCTGAAGGTGCTCCAGGCTCTGTCCCTCACATTCTGAGATGCTGTTGCTAGACATCCAAAAATGGCTGCCCAGCAAAAAGGCAGAGCAGGAGGCGCAAGGAGATGAAAATGGTCTCTACTGCTTTTTCTGCTCTGCTGGGAGTAACCAAAAGGCTCTGAGCTCAAAGGTTTATTCTCATATCCACAGCATTGCACCTTCAGTCCTACTTATTATTATTACATTGCATCAGAAATTCAGTTAGTTACGATTAATTTAAGCACTACTGATTTCAGTGAATCTACTTTAAAGATGGCAAAGTTGAGATCAAACCGAATACATTAGAGATGGGCAACTCACACCCTTCTAGATGTTTTGGCTTTCAATCCTCATCACCCTGAGCCAGCTTAGCCCACAGCTCACAGTTGTGTAGTGGTTTACTCTGAAGTGCTGGCACTCAGCATGGCAGTTCCTATAGCTACTTTCCCAAGAAAAGTCCAAAATTGTAGGCAGCCCTGGGATCCATAACCTCAAAGCAATTTTAGAAATGTTCTGCTTAGGTGCAGATATTTTGTGAAGCAAATGGATCTTATTAGATCATTCAGCTATTCCAAAATACTTTACATTTCAGTGAGGATTACAGTTACTGAGAAAATTAATTTACCACAGCCACAGTAAAAACTGAGCTAACAGCAGGGAACAGGAAATTAATTCTAAGGGAAGGTGTTCTTTCTGCAAATAAAAAGTTCCAGCACTGTGTCCCTGTGAGCTGTGGTTCCACTATTACACTGATGGTGGGGAGCAAGAGGAATAGTTAGCCCAAACATCTTGACAGCCAGAAGCATTCATTCATTCATTCATTCATTCATTCATTCATTCATTCAATTTCTTTCAATATTCATTAAATATAAATTCAATGTATTCAATAAGTGAATACAATTCAAGCATACACTCACAGTAAGAAGAACCCACAGGCTGAATGAGAGCTAGATTACCTGCCTCTTTTTAAAGTATGCTGCATATATTTGATTTACTTTTAAAGAAAGCAATGTTTAGTTGTTGAAATCTTACCATGGCTACAACAGGTCCAGAGTTCATATATTTAACTAAACCAGCGTAGAATGGTCTGTCCTTCAGGTCAATGTAGTGTTCTCTGAGAAGATCTTCAGAGGCCTACAGGAACAAAATGCTTAACATAAAAACTTAATAGCATCTTATGTCACATAGAATTAGCCACATGAGTGGTATTGCTCTTTAAATTGCACACTTTTCAAATACTGGTCCTAGGACTGCTTTTGAAAAGTGGTTTAGTTGGTTAGTACAACTTGAAATATTATTTCTTCTGGTTTTGGCAGCAAGCTGCTTGCCACTCAAGTACATTCAATAAAACGGTTTTTGAAGCTCCAAGAATATATAGAGTGCTAAATTTAAAATATGCCACTAAGGACACAACTTTCCGCCCAAGGACAGCCATGTACTAAATTTAGAGTACTCAGCATGGCTTTATCTTCTAAATACTGGAAAGTTTCCAAACTATAGGTCATCTTGTAAATTAACTTACACCTCTGCCTAAAGTCCATTTTGAGAAGAAAGCAACATAAAAGTGTGTGATCTGAATACCTTGACAGAAGAGGCATGAACGAAGAAAACTCACCTGCATAAATTTCATGGCGACCAGTTTGAATCCCTTCTGTTCAAATCGCTTGATAATTTCTCCCACCAAGCCCCGCTGAACTCCATCAGGCTTGATGGCAATGAAGGTGCGTTCAGCCATTGTCCTGCCACACAGGAAAGCAAACAGTGGCAATCCTGAATAAAATCCAGCTACGAGAGACGTCTAAATGGTACCGTACACAGTTTGTCATCATAGTGTGCTGTAGGATTAGGCTGGGAACAACTCATCAGCTGAAGAGATTAAGAACAGGGTACATAGAATATTTATATCACATCAGAACTAACAGCCCAGCTATGGTCTCACAAATATGCCAAGCAGCTGGTCATACACATCACTGGGGAATGAAGAATCAGGAAATACTGCACTGGATCAAAATGGGATGATGTTACAGGTACACTCTAAATTACATAGTACTGAAGATCTTACACAAAACATTCCATAACTTTGATTTAATATGTCAGGCATCTCTTACTGGTTTTCAGAACAAACCAGTAAGCCTTACCAATATATATTCAAAAGGTTTTCCCCAAGATCAAATAACTATCGTTCAACTTGAAACATGGCAATTTGACTTTACTTTCCATATAGGACAGAAGTGATCGCATTTTGTACAAGATGCTTTGTTTGAATGAAGAGTAAACCCACACTTTACACATTTCCCTTTTCTCAGACCATCCCAAATTCCTTGTCTGATCCTAAATACATTTATTTGGAATGTCCTGCTTACATTGAAACGTTCTTTCAAGTAAGTTTTCCAACAATGGAGTGTCAGAAAAACCAGCAGGCTCAGTAACATAAACTACTTGCAACTTCATTCCGACACTGGTTAGTGTACAAGTTCCACTTTATCTAGCATTGTTCCTAAGTGACATTTTAGTAACTACAAACCTTTGGGGGAAATGGGTCCAGGCATTTAAGCTCCCTACAGCTTCAACAGTGATGGTTTCCAATAGAGTTATAATCATTAACCTTTCCCCAGTGAAGCAGACCTCAAAACCTCGGTGCCTGCTACTTCTTCTCTCACCCCGTCCTGCCGGCATGCCCCTACTCACATCCCTCCACACTGACCTGAGTCCCTACATGCTGTCCTCCTCGAGGAATGCTCCATAAGCACACCTCTGGATCCATCTCACAATCTCTCATACACCTCCTCCTTCCTTCTGCTTCAGTAGCGGTACCTCTACAATGCCTTCTAACACCTACGGCACCTCCAGTTTCTAGATGGACCTTTTATTGCGGCATTGCTCTGCTTCACTCATTAATTTTCTGCTGGTCCGAATGGTATCTTCCACTTGTAGTCTGGCTCTCCTGTGTTTCTCCAGCACTTCTGGTCATCTCCTCTTACATCTACTAAGGGAGCTTCTAGATTGAGGACTCTTGGTGCAGTCAGAAGGTCCTGTGCAGCTGCTCCATCTTTTCTTTCTTTCTTGTACTAAATCCACAGTAAGAGAAAAGATGGAAGGAGCAGTGGGAACATGCAGGAGAGTGGCAAGAAGACAATGATGTCCGGACCCACGGTAAAATGCCATGACTGAGGCAGAGCAATAAGGCCATCAAAGCCTCATCTGGAAGCATCCTGCATATGAAAAGGTGGAGCGGCTTCACAATGCCTTTGGATTGCTGTTATGCCCCTCTTGACTGGAAGCAGCCCAGATCCCTCCAAGTATCCTCCGGCTTCACAATTCCTCCTTGCCCTTTATGCACCCGTACCTGCCTCCTGAGTGCCGGTGCTGCAGCTGCGGAGTGGCTTGTGCTGGTGGCTGTGGTAGCACAGCCACCACTACAGTCCCCAGTCTGGCAACTGCCCAGCTTCGCAGCAGGATCTTTCCAGCAGAAGCCTTGTCCCCACATGCCCATTATCGGTTTGTGTTGATCGCCTCTTCTCCTCTTTGGCAGCTTAAAGGCAAAACAGGGTTAGCATCCTGGTTCTGCAGGCTGCAGACGCCATCTGCTGTTGCTTTCAAAAAGACCACTTGTTTCTACCTACCACTCGGGTTTCCTCCCTAAAAGAACCAAGAGTCTTGCGGCACTTTTGAGATTACACCATAATAGCCATGTTTAAGTTTTTAAGGTGCCTCACAATTCTTGGTTGTTTTCACTGGAAAAGGCTTCACGGTGCTACTCCCCTGCAGTCCAAATTCCATTCAAACTTGAGCAGCATCTTCATCATCAGTTCCACTAAATAGCATTGGGAGGCTTTTGTTTTTAAGAAGATTGCATCATATATTCAAGGACTCCTGGTTCCAATTCATTCATTCAGCCTTGCTAGAAAACCTCTTCCCCACCAGCTAAAAAGTGTGATCTTGCTTAATGGTGATCTGTTGGGGACCAATGAGAATCTCTTTTTAACTAGTACTTAGAGGACCCCATGTCATGATGTCTGATGAAATTCTGAATAAATAAAATTTCCTTTTTTTTTTAAGGCTGATTTGGCCACAGTCACGTTTTAAAGTGCTTGAATGAGGATTCAGAAAACCTTGCCCTGATGCTAGAAGAGGCATATAGCCAGCAGGGCTGGTAGCCATTGGTAGCTTCCTTCTTCATGCATTTGTCCTATCTCCTTTTAAAGCAATTGGCAAGACTAAATGAGCCAAAGCTCAGTCATAAAATGGCCGCAGAAAGCTTGAAACTGACAAGGACAGTTTGAGACTAGTAAGATTCAGTCCTGATCTTATCAGGAAACTATGTTGTCAGTCTTGTTCCTCGCACCAGGTAGACCCAGTTTAGATATGCTCAGAGATGCATTCAACTGATCTTGAAAGCATTACTAGAAATATATTACATTGCTTCTTTGTTTTGCATTCTCGGTGGCTTTGCACTGATGTTTGGTTTTGCTGAAATTTTGAAAGAATTAAACACAAATTATAAATAATAAGAATATGCTTACAGGTATGCTAATATCTGTCTACTCTGAGCCCCCTGCCTCTTTAGTCCCTTGTCTTAATACATTCAACCCTTTCTTTCCATTATCACGCGCCTCTTACAAACTCGTGTATGTTAAAAAAAAGCATCTTGTTCAGAAACTTTCTTCATAGACCCTTGTGGGCTACCTACATGCACCATATATTTCCCGATTGTCCAAATAAAGTGCCATATTCATTGACTGTACACCTCCAGCATTCTTGTGTTTACTGTCTCCTGGCACAATGCGGCACAGTGGCTGAGTGCCGCACAGGGCATTTTGGAGGGGCTTGGCTGCACATCACAACAATAGCGGTAATCCCTTTCTTAATTATGCCGAACATGCAGTTTGCCTCTCACAGCAGCTGCACTCTGGGTCTGACACTTGGACTGAGCTGCCCACCAGAACTTTGTCTTGGTCAGGCACTGTTAGTTTCAATCTCATCAGCTTATACTTGAAGCTGGGATTTTTTTGCCTCAGTGCACGTCACTTCAAACTTGCATCTATGTTCCCAAAAGCAGAAAACTAGTATCATTTACCTACGATCTATGATACCTGTCATCTAACTGTACACTTTGAGACTGATGTTTTTTCTACCTAACGTATTTTTTCCTTCATAAAAATTGGAATTATTACACGTCTCAGAATCGGTGGGTTTCAACAACTACTAATACTGTCAAATTCATATTAATGTTTGCATACCATCTAATAGCCAAAGTGCTCTGGGACATTTACAAGTCCTGTGTATGCCCTGCTTATGAGCTTCTTGAGTTGGCACTTCTCTGACCTAGAACTTTAAGAAGAAGATAAAATTATAGTATGTACGAATAAAACTGATAGGGTAAATCTATTGGTTGAACAGCCCTAAATAGGCCTGTCTCTATCAGAGTGCCTTTCCAAATAAGATCCTCTATTACAGAAGGGAAATGCAAGATGAAATTACTTGCCTAAAGTTAATGAGCCCATGGCTGAGGTATGGCTTACAACCCGCTTACTTAGGCCCAAGCCTGACACTGTGGACAGGAAAATACTAGTACATTCTTACTGTACAGGAATCACATTGAAATAAGTTAAGCTATTCCTTAGAAAATGTGTAAGTTATGTTTTGCTGAACCCTCTACATTTAATTCTGCGCTATGTCTCAATGGAAATATTCACCATCAATCTAATTAATAAAACTGATATCTCTGACAGCATATAGGGCATAGGGATCACTCATGGTATTGAAAAGCCATATCAAGTTTCTTTCATGTCATTAAACTTATCAACTGCACATCACTAATTTGCATAATCATGCCAAGAAAGCAGGACTATGGGTGAAACTTTCTTCTGCTATCCAAATGGTAAGAAACGGTTCTACAAATGCTGTTCCTGTTACTGTGGTGGAACAGGGGAATGTTTCTGTCCCCCAAAAAAGTATTCTTGAAATCCTCTGCCCCCAACTTGTTTCAAGAATGCCCTTTATTTGGTTCTTTAGCATTTGCATATACTATTTGTTCCTTCCCTTAAACTTTGCATACCATTCATGAAAATTTCATCTACAAACCTTCCTCAAAGTATTTCCTTCCTATACTCTGTATTTATATCTCAGCCTTTTGCTGTCTATCTTTTAATCCACTCATTGACTTGATCCTCGGTCTTTTCTTCCTGAGGATGCCCTTGATCCCTTCATCCTGTCCTTTTAACACGCAAGCTGTGATCTTAGACACACAAGCGTCAATGGAAATTCAGTGTCTGCGAATGCATGCCACTGTATCATGTCTGTATATTGAGTGTATTTCCCTCCTACATTTTTGATACAGTGAGAAAATTTCAGTGGCTTGTTTTCCCATGGGCTGTTCCCTTCTGTCTATGGCAGGCTGTAATATCCTTATCAGGACAATCTGTAAACAGGTATTTATATTTAGTCATGGACATGCTCTCTTCTGCTTAAGGATTGTCTGCTACCATTGACTTACCATTAACACACTGCTTTCTCCCATAATTCCCTATTTGTAAAATGAAAATAATATTTATTTATTAATTTATTTAAGACTTTTGTATGCCGTCCCCCATGCAAGGCATCTCGGGACGGCTCACAGTCAAAACATTAAATCAATCAATAAAATGACATACATTAAAACAATCCAAGCGGTAAAAGCAATCGTCACAAGGAAGAGGTTGCTGCTTAGGGCAGGCTTCCCCACACTGACACCCTCTAGATGTTTTGAACCTCAGCTCCCACCAGCTCTGGGCAGGGGAGTCATTAACCAACACATCTGGAGGATCCCAGCCAAGGGAAGGCTGGCTGAGGGTAAGACTAGATAAGAAGCTAAGTGAACAAATGGATGGATCAAGCAGGATGTTGTTTGCTTTTAAAATAGCAGCCGCGAGGGCTGGGGGCTGCTCAGAACTGGGAACACAGCACCCTTTCCCTCTATGCTACCTGATCCAACTGGAGCCCTCAAGATGTCTTGAAGTACAAATCCCATCACTCCCAGCCAGCATCCCCCCAGGCATCTGGGGGGGTACCACATTCTGGAGGGCTGGCCTATACAGTGGTCCCAAGGGGCAGAGGTGTGAGTCAGAGCATGAGGGGGAAGTTTGCACAGTAGATGAAAGGAACAGCCCTCCCATCAGTTCTGGAAAAGGATGTTTCTTAATGCATCTCATAAAATCATGCTTGTGACAGCAACCCTCTTTACTGCTGGGAAATGGCAATTTCCTGCTATTCAGAAGTCAACTGCTTCTTATTCAGCTTGCAGAATTGGATTAGAGTGTGACCTGCCCCCATGAACACCCACTCTAGGCAGCGGAGGACTGCTGTGCTCTAATCTCCTTGTACTGAGGTGTCTGCCCGGGGCCTCTGGTGCCAAAGCCTGCACTTAATCCGCTGACATGCAGCTCCACAAAGCTGGCTCTCCCCGGGTTCCGTATGTGCGGCTGTGTGTGTGCATGTGCATGCACACGCATGTGTGTGGAGGGATGTCCCAGGCTAGAGCAGGCTCCTAGAATACAACAAAGACCTAATTGTCTCTTTCTTCTATTCATGGTCACGGGGCGTGGGAATTTCCCAGTGGAGGCCTGGATTCTAGTTTTGCTGCCTTCCCCCTTTTTCATCTGAAGTGATTGTTACTGTAAGGATGCTTAAAAGCTGGACTTTTTAACATAGTGGCCACGTTCCATCCCCTTGAAATGGCGCTTTAAGTGCCATGTTTTTCATTGCCTGGATTCTTCTGGTGCATCCTTCTGTGACCTTGCTTTTTTCATGTATTCCTCTTTATCCGTATGACTCCCTTCTCTCACTTATAAAATGCTTGCTTCCTTTATGCACAGACACCACTAAAGACATGTTGTGTGCAATGCTCCTAGCACTGGCTGTGTGGAAGTGTTATGATCACTCTTTCCTTTCCATCGAAAAATATTCCAGGCATGCAGAGAGTTCTTTTTAAAACTTTATTGCAAAGAAGGGAACAGAAAAAAATGGTTTCCTTCCCATTTTCCTGTTCACCTGAGCACATGTTCACACACCCCTTTTGAAACCTGCTCCCTGCCGCTACTTCCCTCCTCCTTTCCCCTTATTGGCTAGGGTACTGAGAGTTTACACTCTTTCCGCCCGCTTACTCCACGCTGCCCCAACACCGGCCCTTCTTCCCAATTCAGCCCTGCCCTTGGTGGGCTACAATAGGCTCATTTTGTTCTGCCCAGCTTGTCAATAAACAATCAGGAAGTATTTGGCCCTCCTGCCTACGTGCCTGTTTCCCCATACCTTGTGCTATCTGATTTTAGCCTTTCCCCTCCTTTGGGCTAAGTAATTTTCTTTGTTACCTTTTCAAATCTCTTTACTCCCTTGTTTCAAATCATCCTTTCACACCTATCAGAAGCACCCCAGCATAACTTAAACCTTCCCCTGGGAAGAGTGTGCTTTCTCCAGGCAGGCCTCTTGCCCACCAGAGGCTTTATTGAGGTGCTGCTGATGGCTGTTCCTCGCAGCAAGCTTGTGCACTGTGTACAGTACCCAGGACTACATTATGCGCTGGCGTTGGTGCTGTGGCCACCTGGCATGGCAGGATCATAAGGTCAACTTGTTCAGACAAAGTGTCCCTAAATACTCTTAGTGGATGCCAGCCAGTAAAGCACCTTGATCCATGATTATGATAATCAATGACTGATCCTTGCTCAGAGACTGCCCGTTACATTTGAGAGAATTTAAACATCATGGTATACATCTCCAAAGAAATTTCTTACACAGAGCAGTCTCTGGAATGATGCTGCATTTGGCCCAGCTGAGATTAATGCAGTGCTTCAGTCTCTTTTGGAATGGCAGCATACGAGAGACCCATAGATACCAAATAGTACTTGACAATAAACATTCATTTCCCCATCATCAGCAGGGAAATATGTCTGAACATTTCTTAGCAGAGACACCTTGGTTTCCTCATGGTAAATCTTATTCTTGTCCTACAATTACTCAGGTGTACCTATCTATTCCAATATTGGATAAGAGAATACACAGATCAGAAAGCACAGTAAAAATGTGTGTTCAAACACTTTAGCTTTTGTATAGGTGCAGTATATAGTACTGAGCATAAGAACTATATAACATTTACCAAATCTTATTATAGTTAATTACTAGGTAAAACACAGTCGATGTACATCTCTGCTTAATTACCTCAGACGGTCTATTACTATCTATTTATATGTGGATTGGAATTCTTCTTCATAATCAGTCTTTTAGGATCCCAGTCTATAGCTGCAATTCTATGCACATTTGCTTCATGGAAAGCCCCTAAAATGAATACGATTTAGTTGAATAGGCCCAACAGTCTGCTGTAAACTGAGTCTTTGCTGCTCTCTAGTGGAAATTGATGCAATACCGCCTAATAAATCTGACCAGAGTTTGCAAAGCATCCTTCTCCCTCTCCTAGAATACACATCACTCCTTTCACATGGATAGTTAATTAAGAAATACTGGCAAGAATTTAAAGAAGTGCATGCATTCAACTACTGGAGAACACACTCAAACACCTTTCCAGACTGTAGTTCCTTGTGGTGAAGTCAGGGCTGTTCTCAATTTCCCTCTCTTTGGAAATAACTTGTCAAGATCCTGTGATCAAAAAAAAAGCTTTCCAAATTCTTTTCTTGGGATGCTGATCACCGACACGAGTGCAATCAATCATAAGCATGGGAAATGTACTGACTGGGAATTAAAACAACTACATTTGCATGACACCCTTTAAGAATGTTAAATCACTAAAATCTAGAAAGAGAGAGGAAACCTATTTGGAAATGCTCTTCTATGTTAGGACAGAGTGTTGACCTAGCTGCTCTCAGATGTCTCCACCCATGGAACACTCCATCCACAGAGAGCCTCCCACTTCCCATCCTTGATCCACAATTGAAATGAGGTGGGAACCCTGCAAGGAGACACAAAAAGCTAGTTTGCTTAAGCAGATCCCACATTCATTGACTAGGGTCTATCTTTATCAGTTTATTGACTACCAGTGAAGTCAAAGACACCACTCCCAAATAAACAGTTCCATAAATACAACCAAAGTCACTTGATTTCTTTTCCAAATTTGCACTAATCTGCACTGGGGAACTGCAATGTTTGGTAACTTTGAGAATGCTTTTCTAACTCATATTTACATAAAATTATAGCATAAGCTTTTCTGCACTAGAGTCTACTCCATCAGACACATTAAGTATAGTTATAAATTATTCCAACTTGCCAGGATACTTTTTGAAAATATTGATATATCGTCATTTATCCTATCAGGGAATTCAGGATAGTGTTGTATAACAACCAAAATGTAATAATAAAGCAGTAGATAAACTCCTTAACTTTTACAAGGAATGCAAAATGCATGGATGAATAAGAACATTTTGATCTGGCACAGAAATGGTTGCAATGTAAGGATCAGGTTAGTTTCTTGAGGAAGGTTATGCCCCAACTCAGAGCCTTTGCAGAGATGGCTCCATACCTCTGATAAAGGAGGCAGCTGGAAAAGGAGCTCAGAAGAAGATCTTAACAAACTGGGAGCTTGATGAGCTCTCCCTTTGGATTATACTTCTTGAATCTGATGAAATAGATTCTAGTCTGTGAAAGATTAAACCATAATAAATGTGTTAAATCTTTTGCTGCAACAGGCTAATAGTGCAATCTTGGTATGTATCAGAAGCCAGTCCCAGTGAGGTAAATTGGTACAAATTAGTAAATTAGGATTGTAGCCTGAAACAGCTACCCCCTGAAAGTATTTAAGCAAATTACAGTTAAAACATAACTTGGACCTCTAGTAATATCAAATGAAGTTGCATGACCTTCCTCTTTGTTTTTACTGCCTGTCCTATCTGTGTATTTTTGGCTAGGTTGTAGTATTTTAGCAAAGCTAGATATGGCTTGCTCTTACCTTATTTCCACAGCACATGTTCTGTAGTTCTTTTACCAAGCTTCCTAAAGCAGCCTCCCCCAATCTGGTGGCCTTCAGAGGCATTTGGAACTCAACTCCCAGAATTCCCTTCCAGCAGGGCCGTTGCCTGGGAATTCTGGGTGTTGCAGTCCAATTGGGTCTGGAAGGCACAAGGTTGGGGAAGGCTGCCTTTAGGATAAAACTGCTTAGTGACAGGAAACCTTGATAAAACACATGTATGCACATGATTAATATAGTTGGCATACTCTTGCAGAACCTGTGGAAGGAACTTATTAAAATAATATCAATATCTTTGCAAAGTGTTTGATTTTTAGAATTAAATTTTTATTGAAATATTTTGTTCATGGTGTATTGTTATCCCCAGTTCTCTTCCCCTTCTGTCCTCCCCATTAACCTCTCCCAACTGAACAGAACAAAGAATCAGACAGCAAAAGAAAAAATGTGTTAGTATCAAAACATACATTGTATAAAGCATTCTTGACTTATGGCTAGCATCTATACAACTGACATCCTCCTTTGACATGGCTGAAATGGTAAAGAAAACTGTTGCTTACACAAGCAGCAGTGCAAGCACATGCAGTCAATCCTTTTCAGAATTTTTCTTGAATTAAGCATATTTAAGAGCGAGAAGAACAAACGGAGAACGCACCCACAAAATTCTCCCTTTGTACCGCTAGCTTTTCTAAGCGGCACGTCCTTGCCACTCTGGCTTGCTTTTCCAGGAAGGTGCTGGGAGAGGCAATAAGGAAGCGACGCCTGGCCGGAGCGCCAAGCCCCTCGCCGCCCTTGCGACACGGGCCAGGCGGGGCGCTCGGCTCGTCGGCGGCGCTGGAAGCCGCTCAGAACATCACAAGACCGACAGCGGGACACACCCAGGTTTTCCCAGCCGCCGTGGCTGCCATTCCGGGGAAGACGTGACACACTGAGAGCCTTTGCCCACACCCTGCTCTCCGCTCCTGGAAGCACAAAAGGAGTTCCTTCTGCTCCATATTGCAAGGCTCTTCACCCTGTCAGCACATGATCTTTTTCGCACAGAGTACAACAGTAAATGTCGTAAAGTCACAAGATAGCTATTACTTTGCTGATAGCTTCTTACCTCATAAAACTCTACACATTGCATTTTCTCTTCCGCCTTCAAGAAGCTTTCTGAATTATTTAAAAAGGTGCACAACATTTTAAAGCTTTCTTCTCCCCCTTCCCTATGAAGGATTTTTAATCCCTTTGCCCCAAACCCCCCCAGCCAAAATGAAGTCTAACTGCAAGATCATTTTGCTCATAATTTATCTCGTTACTTTTGTGTCCCCTTTCTCCTCTCCCTAGCATTGAATTTAGGCTGCAAACTCCTTGGTGCAGGAAGCTTTATTTTTACCATGAAGGAGATTCAGCAACAGATGCTGCACCACTATAATTGTGTAATTGCTAAACACTTAATTGGAGAGGAGACAAGGAAATTGCTATCAATAACACCCAGATTTAAAGCTGAGATTACAAATCACGTTCAATTTAAATCTGCACGGTTCCCTGACCATTATGGCACTTCTGATGCAGGGTTAGCAAAATGTTGCACCTTTCTGGCTCACACCCTTGCAAGTTTCAGCTTCGTCGCGGCCCTTATTACGAACCTCCCGTGCTGGTACATCAGCCCCGTCCCACCTTATCATTTTCTTCCAAGAGCTAGCGGTCTTTCTACGAGACAAGCATTCCTACCAGCAACACCACACCCAAGGGCCCCGTGATTCCCCGGCAGCCGTATCCTGCTCACGTTGACTCGGAAGCTCTAGTGAGACCTGCACCCGATCCTACGCACGTTTACTTATTCGTTGGTAGCAAACGAGGCTTGCTCCCAAGAAGACATGCAGCGGCCCTAAGGCGCAATGAGGCTGGTGCGAAGCCTCAATGAACTCCATGGAAATTCCTTGTGTAAACATGCTTAGGATTGCGAACCCCACGGAGTCTTATCAAGCTTGCTCGTGAACAAATGCAACAAGATGCACATTACGAAGACGTTGCAACCACCGCCTCCCACGTTGCCTCATTTTCTCCCTGAATCACCCCTAAAACCGCAACCTCACCCGCCACGTGCCCCGCCCCGTCCTATTTTCGGCCTCGCGTCACGTCACTCAGCCCCAGCCCCGCCTCCTCCAGACCATTCTTCAACCGGCCCGGCCCGGGCGTGGTCCCGCCCACTATTTACGTCACTGCCCCGCGTCCCCTCCCACCACCCCGGCGCCGTGGGTGAGGTCAGTGCCGCGCGCCTGTCACCCAGGCTTCCTTCCCGTTCGCGCTGAGCTGTAATCAAGGCCCCGCTGCAGAGGGAGGCGCTGCTTTTGCTCTTCGGAAAGGAGCGTCCGCCGCCCCCCCATCCGCCTGCTCGGCCAGTCCGTCCGTCGGCCCTTGCTGCCCTGCACTCCGAGGCCATGGAGCTGGCGGACGGCGTGGTGTACCAGGAGGACCCGGGCGGCCCCGGCCCGGCCATGATGTCGGAGCGGGTGTCGGGTCTGGCGGGCTCCATCTACCGCGAGTTCGAGCGTCTCATCGGGCGTTACGACGAGGAGGTGGTGGCGGAGCTGATGCCGCTGGTGGTGGCCGTGCTGGAGAACCTGGACTCGGTCTGCGCGCACAGCCAGGAAACCAGCGTGGAGCTGGAGCTGCTGCGGGATGACAACGAGCAGCTCCTCACGCAGTACGAGCGGGAGAAGGCGCTGCGCAAGCAGGCCGAGGAGGTGAGTTGCGGGGGGAGGGAGCCCGAGGAGCATCCCCAGAGACCCGGCTGCGCTGCTTGCGCGTGTTTGTGTGAGAAAAGAAAGGAGGACTAAATTGACTGACGAGGTATCTTGGGGTAGTGTCAGCCAAGGAAATTGATGAGGTGGGTGAAAGTTGTGAGGAAGGAACTTAACTGATGCTAATCTGGGTGTAGTTGTTGGGATACAGAAGAGCAACAGCAGTACTGGGTCTCCACACACTTGGAGAAAGAAGTAGCTTCTGCCAAGGGGTAGATGCTGAAAGAGAGGTGATGGAAGTAAAGTGAAAACCAGTTGGAACAAAGTTGGCCAGAGAAGCAGAGCTTGTTATCCCAGAATTATGAGGAGAATTGGTACTGTTGACTAGAGGGAGATGTGTTGGTGCTTTTGTGCATTGCCTGCAAGTTCCTTGGGGGAATCTGGTTGGCTGTTAGATTCAGAATGCTGGCCGAAATGGAACTTAGGATGTGGGGCCTGGCGTTGGCTAAGCTGCTAAAAGAGCCTGTCTAATATTTTCAGCTTTTTCTTTCCCTGGGGCTGTTAACTTTTTTGGTGGGTAATGGTCACATGTTAGTCATGCAATATCAGGCCCAAATATGTATATACTTTTTCAAGATAATGGTTTGCATTGTGTGGAATTGGGCAGCAGTACTCAGAAATGATGGAGGAAAACCTCAGTTAAAACCACAGTTTGTGCATGCAAGTAGTCCTTCAGTGAAGATGCCAAGAATTGAACCTGAGTAGTGAATGCCACATGATTTATTTGGTCCTGTATTCTACACTTAAGGCTGCTAACATGCAAATGCTGATACCATTTAAAAATAGTGTTTTTATTAGTTTGTCATTTATTCCATCTTATTGGGTCTCAGCATCTTTAGATACCATCACTCTAAATAGTGCTAATTTTGAAGAGTGCACACCATAATTTAGGCTTAATATTTTTCTCAGGTGGAAAAACGATTTAGTAGGGGAGGGGATTTTGAAGGGACAAATGGCAAGAAGAGAAAGAATTAGACAACTCCTCTGTTAGAGTTTTTTTTATTGGAATCAATGAGGGTTTTTTCCCACTAAGTAACAACAACCAGGGAATGGAATCACCCACGATTAAGAATATGTAAGCTTGTTTCTTTGGAGCACACTCATTGAATGCATGTAGGCTTTCCCTTCTGCATTCATTTAACATATTTCTGATGCTTGGGCTAAGCTTCTGCATAACTGCTGTAGTGTTATTCTTTTCATATATGCTCTGTTTACTTAATAGTAATAGTAGTGAAAGAACATCAGTAATTTCTATTGTTTTGTACTTAAGAAAAGAATAGATATATGGTCAGTCAGGGCTTGGATATCCAAAGCATTTGGTGGTTCACTTCCTGAAATGTTTGATATATAAGTGCTTTAGAATAGAGGGGAAAATCAGTTTATATATGGTAGATATTCAGAATGAAAAATAATTTGGGTACAGATTACAACAGTAGGCAAGAATGTGCCAGAATATAGATGCATCAAGGTAAGTAGATAAAACATACCTTGTAGTGCTTTGTTACAGAACTGAGTAACAGTGTAGCATATCTGTCTTTTCAAGTTCTACCTGTTCATTTTTAAATAACTTTGCTGTTTGGGGCAAAATCTTGTGGCATTGACAAATCACATTCATAGGCTTTAAAACGAAAGAATGCTGAATGAAGCAGCAATTGTGGTTAAAAACAGGTATTTCTTTGCCAAGGGGCACCTCCACTTAGGTTTTGCACTCCACTGTCAGTTTGTCAAGGAAGCAACAAGGTCTATTAAAAGCTAGTGTGGTTTGCCTTGTTCTACAGTTGTGGTATGCATTTTGTAGTAACTGACAATAGTTGTTAAGCTATAGCAGTAGTTTTCAAAGTTTCCACAAAGTATTTGGAAAATATAATGCATGCACTCTTTTTTGTTCATTTCTTAATGCCTCAAAAGCAAAATCTGTTTATACTTGGCATGCATGTAAATAGCTAAAAGTATTACAAGTAGAAATGAAAAGAGGAATGTAAACTTTTTATTGTATCAAGTGGTCATAATGTCAAGTCTTGTGTATTTGTAAATGTCAAACTTCATATATTCAATTATATGTGGAGTTTCATCATCTACTGACTTAAGTAAAACTTTGTAGCTCCTAGTGGGTTTTGGGTATGGAATTAACAGGTGATGGTGATGGTGGTGATGATGATTTGTTATGTATCCATGTGGTTATTGTGGAGGGTCCTTGATTCAGTTCCTCGAATCTCCAGTTAAAATGGATGTGAAGGCAAGGGAAATACAGTAATTGAGATCTTTGGATTAATTGTCGGAATATCAATACCAAGGTAGATGGATCAATGGTCAGGCTTCTTGTTGGCAATTCTGTACTCTTGTTCGGTTACCTGTGTGTTGTTTTCCTCTTCAATAAGCCTGGTTTTAGGCAACAGGATAGGCTGTACCTGAGTGATTAACCAGGCAAATGGCATCTGCTATGCTTCATGGCTTGAACATGCCTGGCTTGTTTGACCCACCAGCATATTGTCTGTTTATCGAGATGTGTAAGGTAAGAGCTTGGGCAGCTTTTCTTTTTATGATACTCAAGTGTCAGTCATGATTGTCCAGAATTCCTTTAATGCATGTGATTTTTTTTCACATTGGATAATACGTGTGACTTCAGATCTTTTTTACAGATATAATCTAGAGTATCGCAACTTTCAGAAAGCAGAAAAATCTAATGATTGGCCAGTGATTTATGTATGATAAATAAGTTTTTTTTTCAAAACAAATATGCTAAATTGCTTTATTTGATATATCTAATCAGACAATCAGTTGTATCTGATGCTCCAAAATAAAAAAATAGGCAGAAAACAATGATTCATGTCTGTATTTTGTGCACTGTAGATCTCTTTGCTCTTATCTTGTGAGGTGGTTTCTTTTGCTTAACAATCATTAGCTCCATCTGGTGATCCTGCATTAGAAACTTGCTTCATTTTCTGCAGGTATTTGGTTATTCTGGAGTAACCAGATTCAAGAGATGAATGGGTGTCTGGTAATTTTAGATGTTCTTCTATGCTCTGTTTTATCTTAAAATACCTTGAGGGTTACTTGTTCTGCACCTTTATAGTCAAGCTTGCTTTGGTTTAAGCAACATTGCAGTTTTGTTTCCCATTATTTTGCATGTTTATGATATCAAGTACCATATGAAGGCACACTACAGCACAGTCTTTGCTATTTGAACTGGGTTTAGATATAATTGGCAGGGTGAAGATAAGGTTAAAGGAGGCAGGTAACAGACATGGCAAATTCTCATTGTTGGTGACCATGAAGTCTCAACGTTTATGTTCAAGGAACTGATAAACAAAAACAACAACCGTGCAAATTGCCTCCAATTTTCACAAGTTCAAGATTCATAATGCTTGGACCGACTGTTAGATGTTATCAATTCAAGAAAATTTAGGTCAAAATGCACCAAAGTAATATGATAGTTGCATTGAACAGCTATTGAAGAGTCCTGCTCATGTGTGTTTGTGTTTCATTGGAAAAGTTTCCACAAATCTGCTTTTGCGGTAAGTGCTGGCATAGTGATGGGTTGCTTCAGTGGCTTCCGCTGGGTATATATTTACAAGGAAACACACCTCAGGACGGCTTACAAAGGTTAAAAAGTAATATGATACAATAATTAAAACATTATGTAATAAGCACAGCATAAAACAACTTTCAAAAAACTAAAGAAAAAAAAGAAGGAAAATAAGCAAGAAAAGAAAGAAAAATGCGACTGTGTTCAGATCTTAAGACTGATCTTAAATCTTATGGACGGTAACACGTAAAAGGCTAAATTAAAGGAGGTGGGGAGAACAAATACCAAACTATCATTTATAGTCCCACTGCTACTATTACAGTGACTTTGAAATTTTGTATTGAGGAATTCTGAATACTTAAGTCTGTGTGACCATAGCTGCAAGCACATAGAAAGCATACTAAGTTTAATTTATTTCCAATTATTTTTAGGCTGCCTCTGTTTGTATAATTGCTAGATGCCAGAGAAAAATGTGATGTGGCTCTAGGTTGTAGAGTTAAATGAGACCAGAAAATATGTTAAGTGACCTCTAGGAATCTTTGTGAAAAGAAATATTTGAATAAACTATTAACTTTTTTTCCTTTTTTGACTCCTCAGAAATTCATTGAATTTGAAGATTCTCAAGAACAAGAAAAAAAAGATCTGCAGATAAGGGTGGAAGCATTAGAATCACAAACCAGGCAACTTGAACTAAAAGCGAAAAACTATGCTGATCAAAGTAAGTAGAAATGTATCAGTAGATTCTGACTGGACCTTTTTTGCATGACTTATGCTTTCAAAATTTTATTTATATAAAACAAAACAAAAGTGGTTTTGCCTCCAGACAATTCATGACGTGATCTGCTTTTATTTATATACACCTTATTTAACATTTATTTTGCAGTAAGTTATACATACGTTCAGCGACTCAAAGACTTTTTCTGATATTTATTTAGAATATTTATATGCCGTCCTTTCGCAGAGCCTCAGGACGGCTTACATAAATAAGAATAGAATAAAACGTAATATTTCCTATACTGCCCAATAACCAAACTTCTCTGGGCAGTTTACAACCCCTAAAACATGGCCATGATACAATAAAGCATTCATAAAACATTTTTCAAAACGTTTAAACTCACTCTAACAGTTAAATCAATGCTTAATACAAGGCAGACCTATTAAGTGGTATGGGTGCCCACATCAAACTATTAAGCATCCTCAGATACCTTTAAATGCCTCAGCACAGAGGACTCTTAATTTGGTGCTGAAAGGATAACAGAAGGTGCTTGGGGGGCCTTAGCGTGGAGATGATTTCACACTCGGGAGGGCCTTCACTGGGAAGGTGGAACTTGGAGGAAGGCCTCAGCTGTGGATCATAGCGCCTGCATGGACAGCACTTGGGAGAAGTATAGTCATTTATTGGGGATCCAAGCTATATTTTAAAACCCACAGCTTGGTTTGGGCTCAAAAGCATGTAGGGAGCCCGTGTAAGTGTTTCAGATTTGGTATTATGTGTTCAGATTTTCTCTTTCTGTTATTAGTCTGGCTACCGTGTCTTTATAAGTTGCAGCTTCTGAATGGCCTTCAGAAGCAGTGCATCAACTTAGAAATGTCCAGAGTATAGGTTACTGAAAACTGTTTATACCTATCCAGGTAATAATGTACCTGGGCCACCAGCCAAAGCTGGTAGATGGCACTCTGTGCCACTGAGATAACCTCAACCTGACAAAGATGGCTCTAGAAGGACCCTCAAGCTTTGAACCTGCTCCTTCAATGGGAATGCAATCCCCATCAAGAATAGATTGAGCACCCTCCATCTAGTCAGAACAGCCTCCCACTAACAGCTTCTCAGACTTGCTTGGACTGAGCTTCAGTTTGTTAGCCCTCATTCAGTTCATTATTTCAGCCAGGCACTGGTGTAGCACATCCATAGCTTCAACTGAGGGAGATGAGCAGAAGTATGTGAAATGTGTGTCATCAGCATACTGATGTCAGTGCACTCCAGAGCTCTGGATGATCCCACTCAATGGTTTCATGTACATATTGGGTAGCATGGTGAACCCCTGGAACTCTTATGTTGGAGGATCTATGGGATCATACAATCATTTCCTGACTGATAGTTTTCCTTTCTGTTTACAGGGCAAGAAAGAGAATTAGCTTTACTTTATAGGAAACTTGTGAATATTTCAAGATGTTTCTCAGCCTTAAAGATGCCCTGTGTGTATCACTGGCTGATTCCTGACTGGGCATATCTGCCCATCTGGAAAAAAATGTAGCTCTTTGATCTGTGACATTCTGAAAAGCTAGCACTGGGTTTCAGGGTTAAAAATGTTATCACATATGTTTTTCTGGTAGTAATTCGTGGAATTCAGTGGAACGTATTTTTTGTGGATGTCAGCTACATGGAATGTAGGTTGCCCTAAAGCAGCCATTCCAGAAAGGACATCTTGATGGAATCTCTCCAGTTGTTTGTCTGGAGTCAAAACTCAAACTAAAATCTAGATAGATTCACTAAAGTATTTCTATTTTCTCTAGGCAGGTGGGTGGTGGTCTCTGAAAAAATACTAGAGTAAGTGAAACTCAAAAGTAATATTGACTCCATTGGTTTTAACTTGGCAAACTGACTAGTAATTCTGTTCATTTTAAGTATGGGTAAGAACCAAAAACTGTTTAGTCTCATACAAGAGGGCTGTGCTAGTCCAGTCGATTTTTAAATTTGATTTCCAGCCGACTTCTGTGTCACATCACCAACTCCTTTTGAAACATGCTTCAGTTTCAAAAGCATTTTGCTATGTGGCTCTAGGTGGGGCATGTCTGAAGTCCTGGTCCAACTACTTCCCTGGTTCCTCGGGTGGTTGTCACTATTCTTGTTTTTAATTTAACCATTGGCAAATGCTTTGCTGTTTCAGAATAGCAAGATGATGTGCATCCCATAGTTCCCCTCAGGAGCTGGGAGTGATAAATTAGACTCAAAAGTATCCTTGTGGGCTTGTCATATGTACCATTTCTCGTCCATTTACTGTGGTTATATTTTAGGATTCTGTACTCTCAACCACTTTTACATGTAAATTACTAGCAGCCTTAATTTCAATGCTAACTGGGGTTTGCTGTTAATTAGGATTTAATCACTCCAAGCTTTGCTTTCAAATCCTGTTTAAAAATGAACTCTGGTTAATATTAACCATAGTTAGTGTTGATTATGGTCAGTGTTGGTTATGAGATGAACTTCAACACTTTTGTTAGGCCTGGAACAGAGCGTACATGGAAATACTTATTGAAGTGCAATAGAGTATTATTAATTTTTATTTAGCCAAATAGCTAATGGTTCTCTGGACAGTTTACAAAAGTTAAAAGTTAAACATGTAACAAGGAAAACAGACAACATATAAACAACACAATAAAGCAATAAAACCTCAGCAGCTGCAAATCAAATCAGCACAGAGATACAGCAGCAATATAGAATAAAATGCAGAATTAAAAACTAAGTTTAAAATTTAAATATCAAACACAAGGAGAACAAAAAGATTTTCACCTGGTACTGAAAAGAATAGAGAGTTTATGCCAGGCGCACTTCTTTGATGAGCCTATTCCATTGACAGGGTGCCACAACCAAAGAGACCGTTCTCCAGATAGTCAATCCCTTTACTTCCTTTGGAGAGGGCTCCAGAGAAGGACCTCAGGAGATGAACTTAGGCCCTATGTGGGTACATAATGGACAAGGTATTGCTTCAAATAACCTGGATCCAATCCACTTAGGACTTTAAATGTAATGTTAGCACTTTGAATTGGGCCCAGATTTCAACAGGAAGCCAGTGCAGCTGAAAGAAGACTGGCATAATGAGTTGTCATGGGGCATTCCCCATTAACAACCCTGCTGCCCGGTCTTGAATAAGTTGAAGTAAGGGGTTATATGATCCCAGAGCCACAGTTAATAAATGAAGCTATCAATCCCTCTGAAATAGGATGGGCTTCTATGGAAACTGTGGAAGGTGAAGAATTAGTTTCATTAAGTGGTACTGTTTTTTGTTACATAACCATTTATTCCTTGTATCCTTTTCTAGAAGTATAGTATAAACTTTAGGTCCCCTAGACAGAGCATGCTTTGTTTTGTAAACCTGGAAAGCAGAAAAGGAACCCAGGTTTTACCAAACTAATAACATAATTTTAATGTTTTGTACTTGAATCTAACAGCTCACAGGGCTGACTTTTTAAAGTTCTCCTCCAGCCTCTTGTAAAGCATGTTTTCAAGGCGTGTCTATCAAATGTACTTTTTTTGTATAGTGATATTATACTTGCACATAGGTTTGAAGGCATATTTGAAGAGAGAGGCATCATCCTAAATAAGCTTTGCTTAGAAGGTGGATTTTTTAAAACTGTCAGTTGCAGTGGGAATGATACGCTGCTGGGGGCAGTACAGGCTTGGCTCCTTTCCTGTTCTTCTTTTATTAGAAAGAAGACTGAGGCTAAAGAAATGGTTGTTTATCAAAATGCTTCCTGTAAGTGTGTTTGTGTGTGTTTACAGCTCATGAATGTTAGGAGGGTTTTGTCTTTTTTTTTTTAAACAAAAAGCATTTTGTATAAGAGTGGAATTGGGCATTTTATGTCAAGCTATTTTTCCTTCTTGAATAAAAAGCCCCTTTCAATTTATAATGCTATTAACAAAATAGTGCTTGGGTCTTCTCAAAATTTGAAAAGAAAATGCCGTCTCTGCTGTGATTTAAGAAACACCACTACTTAATTTAGATTTGTGTTTACATTTTAATTTTTTCATGCGTTGGGGTCCAATACTTGAATGAATTTGGAAAGAAATAGTACAACAATCAAAATGTTTGGAAGAATGCATGCACAGAAGTGGCACTTGTATTTGATAGTTGGATTTTTCTATCCCCCTGTACCAAAACTATAGGGGTACTTGCATAGTATTGTGGCATGATGACCATCTCAGTTTAATAGAAGAAGCCCTTCATTGTGTCCCTTCTCTTAGAAGAGGGGGCCCATTTGCACCCTGCTTTGGATAAACTGGCAGCTGCTAATTTTCAGTATACATTTTTCAACATATTGTATATGCCCTGCATTTAAAAATATTGTTGCAACTTCTCTTAATTGCTGGAAGAGTAAGATAGAAATATTTTATTTCTGCTGTGTATTGCTTATTTTTTAAAATTTGTATTCCTATCCTGTCATTTTTCTTAAGGGAACCAAAGGCATTTTACAAAATCATCCTCTTTTTCTTCTCTCGCTATGTATAAATTCTTGTTACTACAGTGAACAAATTCTCCTGGATACAAATGCAAACTCAGAGGTAGCACATAGTAATATAGTAAAGATTCTGGTGGAGTAGTTTGATGACATTGATTTTAAAAGTTTAAAGTAAATCAGTGGCCCATTGCAACCTGTCCATTTGCTGGAATTGGTCTCCTCACTCTCAGCATGAATAGATTAGTTTGGGCAGTGATGCCATTAAGGAATGGAAATTGAGGTCATCCACTGGAGGAAGCAGCCACTTATGTGCAGCTCTCTTATTCATTAACCAGATGTAACTGACACTGGTGACTACTTTAATTAGGACAGTATGTCTTATGTGAACTGTTCTCCAAATCGTATTAGAGAAAATCCTGTTTTGCAATGTGGCTATTATTCTTTTTTCAACTATTAAAGTGTTCTCTGTATTGATAACACGAAGATAGATTTTGCTGTTGGAATATCAAAGGGTGTGCAGGATATGAAGTTCACCACTGG